TAACAGAACCACCTTTACCACTGGGGCCTTGTAAAGACCCCAAGATCTCCTGCAACAATTTTGCAAAGTTTTTTGCAGATAAAGTTGCTCATATTCGGAAGGAGGTAGACACCACTGTGGGAGCAGGGCTGGGGCAGGAGAGTGCCAGAGCCCTGTCTGGTCAAGTTGCATGGAATCAATTTCAATCCGTTACCCCCGAGGATGTGGACAGTCTTCTTGGACGTGTGAAACCAACCACCTGTCTCCTTGATCCTTGCCCATCCTGGCTAATAAAAGCAAGCCGGGAAGGGCTGGGCGATGGGCTCTGCGGGGTGGTGAATGCTTCCCTCTGTGAGGGAACATTCCCAGATCTGCTGAAATAGGCGGTCATTAAACCGCTTCTTAAAAAAACATCTTTAGACCCAGCCAGTATGGCCAACTATCGCCCAGTCTTAAATCTTCCATTCTTGAACAAGGTGATTGAGCGGGTGGTTGCTGAACAACTCCAGGCACGCCTGGAGGATACGGACCATTTGGATCCCTTCCAATCGGGATTCAGGCCTCATCATGGGACTGAAACTGCCTTGGTCACACTGGTTGATGATCTCCGGCAGGCTAGGGACAAAGGTGAGAGCTGTTTCCTAGTTCTGCTGGATCTCTCAGCGGCCTTTGATGCAAACAACCATAACATCCTTCTGGACTGTCTAGAGGGGCTGGGAGCTGGGGGTACTGTTATACAGTGGTTCCGCTCCTTCCTCCTGGGCCATGTTCAGAAAGTGGGGGGGGGGATGAGTGTTCAGACCCCTGGGCCCTCACTTGTGGGGTGCCTCAGTGTTCCGTCCTCTCCCCCATGCTTTTTAACATCTATATGAAGCTGCTGGGATAGATCATCAGGGGGTTTGGACTGGGTGCCCATCAATATGCAGATGATACCCAGCTCTGCTTCTCTTTCACATCAGAACCAGTGAAGGTCCTGTGTAAGTGCTTGGAGGCGGGTCCTGTCACCTTGGCAACCTAGGACTTCCATGCACACTGCCTAGGCTTGAGCCCCAGGAAGGTCACATCCGTGTTACTAGCACAGTGGTTTGACTTCACCCGAGAAGCACACTCCATTGTCTCTTGGATGGCGGCTAACAGATTGAGGTTGAATCCTGACAAGACAGAAGTACTGTTTTTGGGGGACAGGAGGCGGGTGGCTGTGGAGCACTCCCTGGTCCTGAATGGGGTAACTGTGCCCCTGAAGGACCAGGTGTGCAGCCTGGGAGTCATTTTGGACTCACAGCTGTCCATGGAGGTGCAGGTCAGTTCTGTGTCCAGGGCAGCTGTCTACCAGCTCCACCTGGTACGCAGGCTGAGACCCTACCTGCCTGCGGACTGTCTCGCCAGAGTGGTGCATGCTCTAGTTATCTCCCGCTTGGACTACTGCAATGCGCTCTATGTGGGGCTACCTTTGAAGGCGACCTGAAAACTACAACTAATCCAGAATGCGGCAGCTAGACTGGTGACTGGGGGCGGCCGCTGAGACCACATAACACCGGTCTTGAAAGACCTACATTGGCTCCCAGGACATTTCCGAGCACAATTCAAAGTGTGGGTGTTGACCTTTAAAGCCCTAAATGGCCTTGGCCCAGTATACTTGAAGGAGCGTCTCCACCCCCATCGTTCTGCCCGGACGCTGAGGTCCAGCACCGAGGGCCTTCTGGCGGTTCTCTCATTGCGAGAAGCAAAGTTACAGGAAACCAGGCAGAGGACCTTCTCAGTAGTGGCGCCCGCCCTGTGGAACGCCTTCCATCAGATGTCAAAGAGATAAACAACTACCTGACATTCAGAAGACACCTGAAATTCATGTGAGACATCTTAGTGTATTTTTGGTCTTTGTGGAAGCCGCCCAGAGTGGCTGGGGAAACCCAGCCAGATGGGTGGGGTACAAATAATAAAATTATTATTATTATTATTATTATTATTATTATTACCCCGGTTATGTAACTGGGCCACAATGCACACAACATGTAGTTCTAATGACCCCCCCCCCCGAACTCCATGGGTTCAGAAAGGTGTCATCTGTCAGGTTGGTACAGCAGCAATAGTTTTCCTGGCTTTGTTATGCAGGTATGCATAAAGCAAAGAGAGTTTTAGGCTGGAGAGAGCAGAGATTTAGACAGGTTAGTAGGTCTTTGAGTACAGCAACCTCAGCCAACCTTGGTGCCTCTGGATGTTTTGAACTGCAGTGCCCCTCAGTCCCAGCCAGCACTGATGGGAGTTGTAGACTCACAGAATCTTAGAACTGTAGAGTTGGAAGGGACCTTGAGGGTCATCTAGTCAAACCGCCCCCCCCCCGCAATCTCAACAACATTATACATGACAGATGGCCATCCAACCTCTGCTTAAAAATCTCCAAGGGAGGGGACTCCACAACCTCCCAAGGGAGTCTGTTCCATTATCAAACAGCTCTTACGTTCACAAAGTTCTTCCTGTTTAGTCAGAATCTCCTTTTTTCTAACTTGAAGCCATTGGTTTGAGTCCTACACTCCAGAGCAGGAGAAAACAAGCATGCTCCATCTTCCATGTGATAACCATTTAGATATTTGAAGATTTTATCATAACTCTTCTCAGTCTCCTCTTTTCCAAGCCATACATACCCAGCTCCTTCAACTGTTCCTCATGGGTTTCCACACCCGTGATCATCTTGGTGGCCCTCATTTGCAAACATTCAAGCTTGTCAATAACCTTATTATAATGTGTTGGCCAGGTGTTGTCTGACCAAGGCAGAATAGGTAAAGGTAAAGGGACCCCTGACCATTAGGTCCAGTCGCGGCCGACTCTGGGGTTACGGCGCTCATCTCGCTTTATTGGCCGAGGGAGCCAGCGTACAGCTTCCGGGTCATGTGGCCAGCATGACTAAGCCGCATCTGGCGAACCAGAGCAGCACAGGGAAACGCCGTTTACCTTCCCACCAGAGAAGGTATTTTTATCTACTTGCACTTTGATGTGCTTTCGAACTGCTAGGTTGGCAGGAGCAGGGACCGAGCAATGGGAGCTCACCCCATCGCGGGATTCGAATTGCCGACCTTCTGATCAGCAAGTCCTAGGCTCTGTGGTTTAACCCACAGCGCCACCCGCGTCCCAGACCAAGGCAGAATAGAGTGGTACTATTTCTTCCCTTGACCTTAGCACTATACTTCTGTTGATGCAGCCTAGAATAGCATTAGATTTTTTTGCTGCTGCATCACACTGTTAACTCAGGTTAAGCTTATGGTCTAAGATCCCCTTGATCCTTTTTATATTTCTGCAGATGGTTCTTCCTGCCTAAGTGTAGAACTTTGCTTTTGTCCCTGTTGAAATGAATTTTGTTGGTTTGGGCCCAGTTCTCCAATCTGTGAAGGTCATCTTGAATTCCAATTCTATCTTCTGTGGCATTAGAGACCCCTCCCACTTTGGTGTCATTTGCAACTTTCCTGAGCATCCCCCCAACTCCCTCATCTAGAACTTTGCAGCACCCCACTTGTCATTTTCCCCCCAGGATGACAAGGAACCATTGGTTCGGTCAGCCAGCCAGCTACAAATCCACAGTTACCTTGTCCAGCCCAATTTTGCCACCCTCTCTGTAAGAATATAATGGGGGACTTTTGTCAAAAGCCTTAATGAAAACAAATACACTACGTCCACAGTATTCCCCTGATCCACCAAGCTTGTAACTTTGATTAAAAAAAAAAAAGACTTGTGAATTGTAGTGGTGAGAGCATAGTTGTACCCACTCGGGAAGAATGGCAGATGAAGTTGATGGACTATATGGAACTGGCGGAAATGACTGGCAGAATCCGAGACCAGGGAGAAGAGTCGGTGGAAGAAGATTGTAAAAAATTTAAAGACTATCTACAAAAATATTGTAAAATTAATGAATGTTAGAAAAATGTTGGAATGAAGTTATATGGCTTTAGTAGAAATGTTATAAGGAATTAAGTACAGATAGATTAATAGAGCATTAAAGGAAAAAATAAGGTTAGAATGAGTTAAGATAATTATAGGATAGAAAACAGAGGAGGATGGAAAGGAATTGCTGAAATAATTAACAGAAGTGGAATACAAAAAAGGAGGTGTGGGGAGGTCGTGGAAATAAGTGAATGAAAGATGGGATAATGAAATTGTTTGATTTATTTTATTGTTTTTGTTTTGTTTTGTTAATTTAATGTATTGTATTGTCTTTTTACTGTTTAAGTTTTTGGAAAAATAATAAATATTATTTTTTTTTAAAAAAAGAGAGAGCATAGTTGGAGAACCTCAGGCCTGTGGGCTAAATGTGGCTCTCCAAAATTCTCTGTCAAGCCCTCAGGACTTTCCCTAGGCCATGTCTCCTCAGGCCGCACCTTTCATTGGTCCCCCTCAAGTGCTTTTACCTGGCTGGAGTGGGTCTGTGCAATGATAATACCTGGCTGGAGAAACATGTCCTTGCGTATATCTGATTTTATATCTGAATGTAACGTCACACCACCCACTTTTGTCTTGTTCCCACCTACCAACAACCCTAAATACACTGGTTTATGATCTTAGGCCATTTTCTCTCAGACTAAACCTACATCATAGGGTTCTTGAGAGGACAGATTTGAAGTGGGTTAGAGGAATGGAAAGAACCCTGTGTGATGACTTTGTGGAGGAAAGGTGAGCTATAAAATAGATGCATACATTAAAAGCTAGACTGTACTATGAGAAGTGTGGGTTTAGCTAGCCCTGAGCTAAACTGTGCCTCACTTTATACCTATCAAAGGGGTGTGTTTTTTTTTCACTCTCCAGGTATTGGGTGTCAGATTTCTTTTGCAGAAACAGAATGTGTGCCTATGCCCCAGTCAATAAGCTAAGTAATAATGTGCAACCTTCTGTTACAAAACAACACAATGACATCCCATATCAGTTAAGCCACCAACACACGTTAGTCAACAAACAATTTTTTTATTAGCAAATCACAGATCACCAAAGCTTTGATGCAAAATGACATAAGAACACATACAGAATTTTTTTTTTTTTTTAAACCAGACTATGAAATACATTTATAACATGACAAATCAGAATGCACTGGGGAAAAAATTCCTAATCAAACCTAACAGAAAGAGGTAGCTGAACCATGATAAGAATTTATACTTAATTTCACTTCAAGTTCATTGTAGTGCAAACTTTTGCTTGTTTATTAATTCATTCATTTTTAAAGAATGCTGTACAAAGTGATGTAATTTCGCAATTTCACAGGAGGTTGGCTACCTTGGGGCGGCTTAATTTCTGGCATCAGAAACATTTTATTGTTAATGCAGGGCTAAGACAACTGAGACCCTCCCGATGTTATTGGATTGCAATGCCCATTGCCCATACTGACTGGGGCTAATGGGAGTTTCATTCCAGCAACATCTGGAAGGCCAGCGGTTCCTCACCCCTGGTTTATGGGATTGCTGAGGAGCAGCAACTTAACCTATTTGAACTTTGGCCTGTTCTACACATGCAGACTAGCCGAGTTGTTGAGAGTACTGCAATAGTAAAATGGGCACTCCTTCCATCTCTGATATTTAAATGCGACTGCTGCGGCATATATAGCTAGAGCAGTACGAACCACATGAAAGAATGAAGCTTCAGCAGGCTTAAAAATACCAACACCTTAAAATCTGCAGAACAACAATAAATCTTTAGAAAAAGCCCTAAAAGGGGCGGTGCAGTGTGTGTGTGTGTGTGTGTGTGTGTGTGTGTGTGTGATGTAGAATTAAGCATGTTCAGTGACCAATGCTGGAAAAAAATGGAAAGTAGGTAGAAAGGGAAATGGAGTGGACATGGAAATGAACAGGAAATGTTAATGCTGCAACATTTTGTTGCATGCCCCACCTGTACTACTACAAACTACAGGTGAGGTGCCATTTTAAAAAATATACATTTCATTAAACAAACCAACATAACTCATTGCATGTAGAAATCTTATACAGCAGAAACCGGGTTGGGATAAAACCTACTCCCCCAGCCAATAGGCTAGTTTTCTACTTGCAGGGAGTTCCTAAACCAACCAACCCTTAAAGGAGCATTCAGACATGGTGCAGTGCAACTCAGGAACAATCTGCCACCTTGTTCTGCTGTTTGTGTAGACTAGGCCAAAGCCTTGACAGAAAACATTTCAAAGCATAAAACACTGGTTTTGCTACACTACGGCTTTGTAAACCTTTTCGTTGCTCAAAATTTACTCTCAAACTTATTTTCAAAATCTTCTTCAAAAAGTAGTATATGGCTCATGAAGTCTGAGAAGCTCATAAATAGCAACTAACAAAAGTATTCAGGCACTTCAAATCCAGGAGTTAAGTCATTCTTGTCGTATGAAAACTTCAAAGTTTAAAGGAACAACAGACATCGACTTTGCCAATGCCTATCCAAGTTTTGTGGGCTCTAGGAGACTGTACGTCAAAACATCCTGAAAAACCAAGAGAGAGACTGAGACAGGTCAGTCTACTAACTATCACAACTGCATATTGTTAGATTTCAGGTTTTAAAAGTCTCTGCTGATTAATTGTATGACTTTTTAAGGCCCACTCAGGAATTCCACTGGCACTGCCCAACAGAGGGAATTCTAACAAGAACCCCCTCGTCCTCCTCTTCATTATTGCAACAGACCAGTTCACATTGGTGGTGAAGAGGAGTACATCCCATGGCTGCTTGCTCACTGATTAGCCCCTGCCTGAACAGCACGCAGGTGTGAGCAAGCGATGAGGAAAGGGAGAAGCAGAAGCAACAGCAACAGGTTGCTATGGTGATGAGGAGGCAGACTCACTCATTGAAGGAGGGAGGCCTTTGACAAGTGCCCCCCCCTTAAAACCCTCATCGAACTGGCTTTTGTTAGTCTTGTTAGTGGGTATAGGGCTGCAGCCCAAAGCTACACTCTTGTATACATTTTTCTGGGAGCCCCACTGAACACACAGCTGGCCCTACTTCTGAATAAACATGAATAGGACTGCACTGCTAGAGCTGCAAAACTTTGCACAGGAATAAAAACAACCATTCTAAAAATAAACATATCATCTCTCCCCCCCCCAGCCCCCCTCAAAATACATGTGTGGCGGCAGACAGCATCTCAGCAGGGCGAGAGAAAGAGGCACCCACCACATGAGGATTTTGAAGTCTGTGTATATATTAAAAAAATATGATTGCTTTTTTTAAAAAAAAGTTCTTTAAATATCTGCAGCCCACTCCATCAGGGTCATCCTCAAAATCCAGTAAAACCTTTTTCAAAACAGTTTCATTTAATGGATTAATTTAAATATTGAATCGTTGATATTCTACCAATCTTGGTCAGTACCATAGGCTTAATATGCATTGCGTGCTTAAGATTTCGCCCCCAGATATAGCATCTCCTCTGACTTGGACTATATTGAAAGATGGCCTGAAGGGGGTCTCTACCAATTAGGGCAAACTGTAGAGGTGCAGAACTGTAAAAAAATCATGATGGCAGTGGCATCATGAGTCCCCTTATTCAGCCATTCTCAATGTCACACAGAGAGAAAGCAACAATTTGGTGTTTCCACCCACAAGAAAAGCTGTTGTCTACATTTCTTTTACACACCCTTAATGGACCTGCGCCAAATTCTTACGTTACCAATATGGCAACCTTCCTAGTAACCAGTGGTTACCAGTGGTTTAACAAAAATTAGAAAAGATTTGGACAAGACCCATCCAGAGAAGATAAATATAACTCATTGCAGGCCAAATTTTCCATTACTGGTTACATAAATTTATTTAGCTCTGCTATATGCAAACTGCCGTTGTCCACCTCCCAGAAAGGTCTTCTACCTGAGGAGGTGAGTATGGGCGCACACAACCAAACCACACAACTGCAGTGTTGCTTTGCTCCCTATTTGTGACTGCATATATTTAATGAGTAGCCTCACAGTACAGTTTTGGTCTCGACACATCTTTGGTTTCTTTCAGGCAAATGCGCACACAAAATTCTGGCCACTTTTGAATGAGATCATTTCCCTTACTGTTTTTCTTTTTCTTTTTTACACTATCACTTGGAGTGGGTGGGAGGGAAACCGGCACAAAAATCCACAGGTGGGAGAAAAGTCTCTGAGGACCTAGTGCTATATAATGCCTGGAGTTACATAGTGCAACAAGTGAGTAAATGCATCAACCAAAAGAAAAGAAAGACAGGTTTGCATAAAGTACAACATGCTGATTTACATACGGATGCACATTTGGAAATAACAACAACAACAACAACAACAACAACAACAACAATAATTCATTAAACTGAACTTGCATCTTCAAATAGAGGTCTTCAAATGCAGAGAACTGTCCTCCAAAATAGAACACAATGGAGATTTATGTAGAAAGCAGTGAGTCAGATTAGTAGCGTAACCAACTTTGACTTTTTTCATGGGCATTTTCCTCAATTGCTTTCCACAATTGCTAGAGCACAGCCAATGAGCAGGTGGAGATTACATCCTCTGCCCCAGTTCCCAGGTCTGTTGGAGGCTACAGATCTGTAAGTACTTGGGGAAAGGACTTTTCTAATGGTGGCAGTACTGCTCTGGAATTGCATCCCCATTTAGGTCCACCATACATCTCTTTAAGTGTCATAGGGTTGCCCCTTCTTCGAGGAGTCATTTATGTAATAATAGTGCATTAGTGGCAGATTTACACTAGGCTGTCCACATGTCAGGCCTTTTTTCAGCTGGAACTCACTAGAACTCAGTTCTGGCACCTCTCAGGTGGGCATCATTGCCATAATAAGAGAATAAAGGAGGCATTCATGGTGAGTTCCGGCACCTCTTTTTCTAGAAAAATAGCACTGTTGTATGCTGTTCTGCAACAGTTGTTCTGGGATGCTCCTGCAATATTATTGTTCTATTGCTATTTGGAAGGGTAAAGGTAAAAGGCCGACTCTGGGGTTGCGGCGCTCATTTCGCTTTATTGGCTGAGGGAACTGGCGTACAGCTTCCGGGTCATGTGGCCAGCGTGACTAAGCTGCTTCTGGTGAAACCAGAGCAGCGCACGGAAATGCCGTTTACCTTCCCGCCCAAGTGGTACCTATTTATCTACTTGCACTTCGTGCTTTCGAACTGCTAGATGGCACAAACAGTACTGAAATCAGAATCAAGTAGAATCACCCCGATACCATCAAGAGCACAAATCGTCATGAATGCAGAATAAAAGGAACGTCTGTCGGGATCCATGTTCGTTCTGCCAGGCTTTCGGCTATTATGAACTGTTTTTAATTGCTATACCCCGCATTTAAGTCTTCTCCTTTGATCACATGTATATGTATATATAGATCTCATGATACCTTTGCACCATCTTGTTTTCAATCATTGCCTACTTTTGCCATTTTTATTTCATATTTTTGTAAACTGCCTTGAGCACTCCAGTAGAAAATAAACAGATTTTTTAAAAAATAAAATAAATAAATCTGGCAATGCAATCGGTAGGAGTGCAAATATTAAATAAGACATTTCACCTGGTTTTAAGGACAGGTTTTCATCATGAGTCTGGAGGAGGGGAGCAGTGCGCAGTGGCAGCAGCATTTCAACCTCCTTCTTTGAAGTTTAAAAAGGGTAAATGTTTCAGCACATTGACGTCCATCACAGTAGTTTTCAGCCCCAGAACAACTCAATCTCCCCTCCACCACTCCCCCCAAAATTTATACAACTGCAATGCATTTCCATTTGCAATGCAGACCTCATGTAAGAGCATTTCAGAGAACTGCAGCAAAACCTGTCCAGAAATACGTTAGGAGGCATCCAAACCACCACCAGCCTCACAGTACAGTTAAGATAAAAGATACATGCTTTTAAAAAGTGATGTTGTTATCACCTTATCTAAATAAAAACAATGCAGTTTTGCAGCAATTGGGAGCCAGAGGATGCAGGTGTCAGAAAAGCAACAAAGGAAAGGGAATGTAGGAGGCTGCCTTAGAACAGAGTCAGATCAATGGTCCGGCCAGCTGAATATCATCTATGCTGACTGGAAGTGACTCTGTGGATTCAGGCAGGGGTCTCTCCCAGTCCTAACTGGAGATGCCAGGGATTGAACTGGTGGCCTTCTGCATACAGGCAGATGTTCTACCACTGAGCAATGACCGTTCTCCAATTTAGGAATACATTCCCAAGGAGAGTACGGTAAATTGAGAATTACCAATGGGAGAGTAATACTGATAAAGCCAGTGGGAGCAGTATCTCAATCTATTACTGTCCTGTTGGCAATGCACATAATCTTCCTATGTGCAAAGTTCTTTGTGTCCTCCTGTTGCTGCCATCCAACCTGTCCCCAGTATAAAGGCTACCAAAGAAATGCTGTAAAAGAGTCTCTTCAAAGTGGTCTGCAGTTGTTTTGTGAACAGCCACCTAAGAGCTCAGCTTGGCAAAGCCACAACATTCATTTAGATCAGAAAAATAACAGCAAACCCAAAGCAAACTGTCACAGCAAGCTTCTCTAAACAACAATATGAAGGACAATGTGTTATGTACACCTTGTTCCCCTGTCCCTGATCATTCTTCCTTTGACCCTCACTGCTGTCCTTGAACATCCTTTTAACAAATTAAATGTCAAAACAGGATTTGTCCAGATGTTATCTGATTCCTGGTACCAGGTACAGATAATTCTGTACTCACAGAAAGAATTGTAAGTACTATTTTTGCTGTTCTTTTTAAAAGAGAGAGAGAGAGAGAAATCCATCGAAGCATACCTTGACACATCTTCAAAAATTAGAGGGTTGGATCCAGACTTCAGTGGCAACCCAAACCCCACTTTCCTAGATGTAAGTCCTATTGAATTCAAGCAACTTACTTCTAAGTGGACTTGGTTAGGGTGGTGCTGTTAGTCATGCTTTGAACAGACCCACCTAAATTAATCTTAGGTTAGTCATCATGATAATGTCACATTCATGTCAATGGGTCTACCCTAAGTATGACAAAGTCTGGATCCAACCCATTTTATCAGTGACATTTAGACCTTACACAAAATGTAAAAGCAAACTAGTTATCAAGCATGAGACTGTGTATTATTAACTCCCACCCCCCATCTTCATGTTCATTATTAAAAACACTATAAGATAGCAAAACAGACAGACTTCTATGAAGAATACACACAGTCTTAGGCTATGATCCTAAACACACTTTCTAGGGGAGTAAGCTAATCACCACTGAATGTAGCAGGATTTACATTAGAGGATCATGCTGTAAATTTGCAACTGAAAACCAAATAAACATTTTTTAGTCCAAAATAATACTAATAATATCCATCAAAAACTTGTAAATACTGTTAATATACAGATTTTTTTAAAAAACACACACCAAACCAGAACCCTTTGGAATATGCCTTGAAATAAAACAGCACGATGGCTAGTTATTTCAGCTTCACATTAAACCAGAAATATTTCAATGCATCTGTTCCCAGATAAAATAAAATAAAAATTTGGACAAACCTTTTAAAAAAAAATTTATAGCAAAAAAGGAAAAAGAAAAAAAGTTCACATCAGTTTTGTTCACTTTCATTATGCATATATGTAGAAATATATCTATATATTTATGGAAACATTGGTAATTCTTTTTGAACTGAAGAACCAACTCAACAACATTAAGGCTGCAGCCCTTCAGCGTGGTTACATGGAAGTGAAGACCTGTCACGCTTTTCAGGACTTACTTCTGAGTAGAACGTGCTTGGGATCGTGCTGCATGCTCCCCGCACAGTAGCTATAGTTTTTGCTGTGTTGATGAACTCAAGTTAGAGCCATTTCTTGCTCCAAAAAATCATTCTCTGTTAACACATCATTGCAACTAGTTAAAGGGCTCTTCCACCCACCCATTAACCTTGCAGACAATGAGATGTAATAGCAGGAGAGAAAGCTCAAGAAGTCATCAGTGTAAGGAAACAGCCGAGAGACGCTCAAGTATTCTAACAGGATTCACAGGATCTCTTGCGCCGCCTTATCCTCATGGTCCCGGGTTGGCCATGAAGTCAAGAACGCGCTTGATGCCGAGGAGACGGTCTTTCAGGGATGTCATGGCAAGAAATGGGAGCTGGGCTCTGCTCTCAAGAGGAAAGACAGCAAGGATCCACCAGCACCAGGCAGGGCCATTGGGGTTGCTCTGCAAGGAAGAGCAAGCATTATTCTTAACAGCCATGGTTAATAATTGGAGAAAGTGGCAGGATGGAACCCCGTATTCAGGAACCGCCAACCTAATTGTAACATCTTAAATTAAAAGGCAACGTACCGTATTTTTCACTCTATAGGGCACACTTTCCCCCCTCCAAAAATTAAGGGGAAATGTGTGTGCGTCCTATGGAGCGAATGCAGGCTCCTTGGCTTCAGTGATAGTAACGCGAAGCCTACCAAGCGCAGAGGGAGTGCTCCCTCCGTGCTCTGGAGGCTTCGTGTTGCTTTTGCTGAAGCCTGGAGAGTGAGAGGGATAGCCGCCTGAAGCCTTTGGAGCGCAGCGTGAGTTCCCGCTGCGCTCCACAGGCTTCAGGTTCCTTTTGCTGAAGCCGGGAGAGCAAGACTGTCTGCTGTTCTTTGGGGCTGGGGGGGAATAAGATTTTTTTTTCTTGATTTCCCCCTCTAAAAACTAGGTGCTCCTTATGGTCCGGTGCGCCTTATGGAGCGAAAAATATGGTATATAACAATATGAATAAGCTTAATATAATTAAATAGCTGAAACTATACCCAAGGTAAAATACACAAAAAAATGCAAGGATGGCATGCAAAGCATCACTCTGTTCTAAACAGTGCACTCCAAGGTTAAGGAATAGAGGAAGCTGCCTTATACCAAGCCAGACCATCAGTTCATCCAGTTTGGTACTGTCTACACAGACTGGCAGCAGCTCTCCAGGTTTCCAAGGTTTTCACACTCCCAGGCCTGCCTGGAGACGCCTGGGATTGAACTGGGCAAATTGAGTGAGCTCAAATTCTTGTCCCTGCCGGAGTGTTACATCCTGTACCTACCTGTGGATCTGAATCCTTGGCAGGCATTGGACCAAAGTGACCGAGGATACGACCCTTGAGCCCTGCACCGAGGGCATCAAACCACTGGTAGGCCTCGTCATATACAGACTCGTGAAGGAGCATCAGCTCAGCACTTTCTGCTCCTTGCACCTGGAATCATAGAGTTGTAGAGTTGGAAGGGGGACACAAGGGTCATCTAGTCCAACCCTCTACAATGCAGGAATCTTTTGCCCAACATGGGGCTTGAACCCACAATCCTAAGATTAAATCTCATGCTCTACCAAACTGAGCTATCCCAGGAGGTATCACCAGGGAGCGTCAGGGGAAAAACAGTTTTAGAGGGATTCTAACAAAGAAACCTAGGCACCTGTATTAGTTGTCAAGATTGTAGGCTGGATTTGGGATGCTCAAGTCAAGGCATTCCTCACTGAAGCTGGCCTAGCTCACAGGGTTGTTGCAAGAATAAAATAGTATACCACAATCAGCTCCTTGGAGGAAAGGGGGCTATGGAATGATACTGGTAATAAATAATTGATATTAAGCAGCTGCCTTTACTGTACTGTTTTTGGCACCTGCTATAATTTATATATAATTACCCACAGTGCAGGTGGCGCTGTGGGTAAAACCTCAGCGCCTAGGACTTGCCGATCGCATGGCCGGCGGTTCGAATCCCCGCGGCAGGGTGAGCTCCCGTCGTTCGGTCCCAGCTCCTGCCCACCTAGCAGTTCGAAAGCACCCTTAAGTGCAAGTAGATAAATAGGTACCGCTTTATAGCGGGAAGGTAAACGGCATTTCCGTGTGCTGCGCTGCTCGCTAGAGCAGCTTCGTCACGCTGGCCACGTGACCCGGAAGTGTCTCCGGACAGCGTTGGCCCCCGGCCTCTTAAGCGAGATGGGCGCACAACCCTAGAGTCGGACACGACTGGCCCGTACGGGCAGGGGTACCTTTACCTTTTTATAATTTATTATTATTATTATTATTATTATTATTATTATATTATTATTATTATTATTATTATTATTATTATTATTATATTATTATTATTATTATGCAAGTCTACCTAGACATGGCAATTTGACATGTAGTTTTATTTTATATATGTTTATCTTTGAACCTGCTGGTTTTATTTTTAAAAAATATTCCACCCAACTTACCTTACCTGGTAATTTTAATGTATATATTTATGTAAACCAGGTAGGTTTTGATGAAGCAGCATATAAATCCTGTTAAGTTTAAATTAAATTAAATTAAATTAAATTAAATTAAAGCAGTAAAAAAGCATGGATATGTCAGGAACCCAGAATGCAGTGGTGGCCATGACACTGAATCAATAGCCGCAGGTCCACTGGCTGAGGGGCTGGACTGGCTTTCTGGCCCTGAGCCAGATACTGGGGCCCACTGAACCAGAGAGTGGTAGGCAGGAGACCACTGAACATCAGGACTCCACAAATTAGGGTCTGCAGAGCCAAGGCCATGACAGACACCTTCCCTGAGCCTAAGGAGCAAAGTAGTCCTGTTACTATCTTGTCGGTCCAATGGTCAAGGGAGGACACAAGATCACATCCCTACTATGCATCAGAGAATTGTAGAGTTGGAAGGGACCCCAAGGGTCATCTAGTCCAACCCCCTGCAGGAATCTCAGCTAAAGCATCCATGACAGATGGCCATCCAACCTCTGCTTAAAAACCTCCAAGGAAGGAGAGTCCACCACCTCCCGAGGGAGAACGTTCATGGCTCCCTGCAAAGAATTCTAGGAACTGTAGTCTGTTGAAGGGGCTGAGAGTTGTTTGGAGACACCATAGAGCTCTAGTTTCCAGAGTGGTTTAACAACAATTCCTGTTCCCAGGGAACTCTGGAAGCTGTAGCTCTGGCACATCGAGTCAATGCTCACCTTCTGATCTTCTATGTACTCAATGTCTGCGGTGTTGTATCCATCGCGTTGGCCATGCTTCAACACCTTGAACCTCCTCTTGCCAATACTGTCAATCACAGATCGGCCGTCAGCAAAGAACTGCACATTTTTTATCTCCAGCATACAGCCATAATCTGCAAATCTGTTAGCCAGAAAGGACAAGGTAAAGAAACAAAAGTTACTCTTTTCTGGTCGCAGTTTCCACAGGTCAATGGTGAAGACATTCAGCAGTCTACTTCAGACTTGCTCAACTTGGTGTCCTTCCAGACATTTTAGGATTTACCCCCAGCCAGATGGAGCTTGTGGTCCACAGAACCATAGGAAGCTGTCTAATCAGACCATTGATCCATCTCACTCAGTATTGCCTACAGCAGGGGTTGGGAACCTCAGGCCCAAAGGCCAAATGTGGCTCTCCAAGCCTCTCTATTTGGCCCTCATGACTCTCTCCACACCACACACCTCATTGGCCCAGTGTTGCAACCTCATTGCGTGTTGGTACCTGTCAGGGCTGGGTACCAGGAGCAGGTCAGTAATAACTCACACAGCATCAGTGTGAGCTATTAAAGGAAAAAAACAGCTCAGGAGGCCAGGCCTAGTGAGCACAGCTGGTGGATCTTGCCCCTATAAGGGAGTGGCAAGGACTGAAGGTCCCTGCCTTCCCACAGCTAAGTCTCCTCCTTCTTCCAAGGAGCCTGAGCCTTCCTCACCTTCTGTATCTCTGCTCTGCCCTCTTCATACCTCTGTGGGTACTGGGCAACCAAGATGGAGGGGAGCTGGTCACAGCAGGAAAGGCAGACTACTTGGCTTCTTCTCTGCCTCTTGGCCCCCCTCCTCTACAGCCTCCTCTTCTGCCTCAGATTCTGGACTGCTCTCTGCCCCAGCCTGTTCCCGCTCACTAAACCCTGTTGCGTCTTCAGCTTCCAACACCTTCTCCCCACACTCTGCCCCCTCTTCTCCCTCTGGCCATTCATCTTTGCCCCACTACCACTCAGCAGGCTCTGAGCCATCTTCCCTTGGGGGTTCCTCAGCTGGTTTCTCCCACCATTCCTCTGTGCCCAACCAGTCCATGACAAAGCCTGGCTGGAATGTGCCCTTGAATTTTGATAACGCCTCTTGCTTCCCTGGGTGGAGGAAAGAGTGAGTGTGCGCACAAACTACCCTGTTGTACAAAGGCAAAATGTTCACCTGTTGCTCCACCCATGTTTTCCTCTGGTACTACCCACCACTGGAATTCAGCCCCTGCTGGGAAGGGAATGTGGCCCCTGGACTCAAGAGGCTTATTCCCCTCTGGTCTACGCCAACTGGGAGGAGGTCCCCAGGCATTCAGAGAAGAGCCCCTCCCAGCCCTACCTGGATATGCAGGAAAATTGTGCACTACCACTGCGCAGTGACCCTTCCTCCCCCTCCCCCCCACGTCCAAAACATCTGGAGGGACTCATGTTGGGCAAAGCTGGTCTAGCAGCACATAACAGCATCATGCTCTCTGTCACTCACCCTCTGACAGGGTCCCCAAGGCACATCCCAAACTGCTTGGTGCCAGTTTCCATACATCTGCGGATCATCAGACGGTAGCACGGTTCAAAGATGTGCAGCGGGCAAGGGACGGTCGGATAGGCAATGGTGCAGACAAAGATGGGGACATTCTTATTCAAGCTGCAGGACAAACCTTTGGGTTAAAACTCTGAACGTGCCACAACACTTGCTCACAATGCAAAACACAAGAGAGGCAGGATGTGGAAGAGGGGCAAATATTAAACTGACAGAGAGGGCGGCGATCAACTCAGAATATCGTTTGTTTCTTCGTATCGTACTAGGAGGGCAAGCCCGCAGTTCCTGGTTTTTGGTATCGTTTTGCTAATCTACTAGATTTTTAGCTGTCATCTGCATTCATATGTGGGGTTTACAGTGGTACCTCGGGTTACATACGCTTCGGGTTACATACGCTTCAGGTTACATACGCTTCAGGTTACAGACTCCGCTAACCCAGAAATAGTACCTCGGGTGGAGAACTTTGCTTCAGGATGAGAACAGAAATTGTGCTCCGGCGGCACGGCAGCAGCGGGAGGCCCCATTAGCTAAAGTGGTGCTTCAGGTTAAGAACTGACCTCCGGAACGAATTAAGTACGTAACCAGAGGTACCACTGTATTGTGTTAGTTTTTCCTGGCGCTTCTGTCTCGGTTTCTAACATCCCTTTTACGCTGCAGCATCTGTTGGTCTATGGGACTGGGCTTTTTGATCAATATACTGCAATGGAACACTAGTTTTTAAATGGTGAGAAAGAAGTGTATGCTGGGATGCCGCTTCATATTTAGTCACACACAACTCCTGCTATTTTCCAAGTTAACAGGGTGGCAAGCTGATTTTCTCTCTCTCTGGAAACAATGAACACGAATGGGTACTAAACTTCCACTAGATTCCCAGGTGGGTTTTTTTATGTTGTGGGAAAGATCATAGCCATATTCAGGCCACACCATGCATTTAAAGCAGTATTATACTACTTTTAATGGTCATGGCTCCCCCAAAGGATTCTGGGACTTGTAGTTTAAGGGTGCTAAGAGTTGTTAGGTGACCCCTATTCCCCTCACAGAGCTACAGTTTTCAGAGAAACTCTGGTAATTTTAGTTCTGTGAGGAGAATAGGTGGTCTCCTAACAACTCTCAGCACTCTTGGCAAACCACACCTTCAAGGATTATTTGGGGGAAGCCATGTTTGCTCAAATCCAAGAACAGGGTCCTCTCAGAGAAAAACAGACTTCATTCTTAATGAATCCTTGCTCCTGGCCTGCGAGTGCTCCAGTTGGAGAACAGCCTTTACCAAAGGTGTCATGAGCTTTGAAGACACTTGAACTCAGGAGGCAAGGGAGAAACATACTAAAAGGAAGGCACGCTTGTCAAATCCACACCGTGATCAACTCCTGCCTGGAAACCAATGTCCCCACTGTGGAAGGACGTGTGGATCCAGATTTGGCCTCCACAGTCACTTACGGACTCACTGTTAACACTGTGCTCATGGAAGACAATCTTACTCAGCTACGAGTGATAGCCAACACTACCCAAGGGTGGTTGTGATAAATGTTTTAACACCTCCCAGATTTTTTTTTGGGTGGGGGGGGGGAAGCCATGATTGCCTAAAGTAGCACCACAGTGTTTTAAATATATGGTTTGCATGTGGCCTATCAGGTAAGGAAATGTAAAGAAAATGTTCTTCTTTGAATAATAGGTTTGGAATTGCCCAAGAAAGATGTTAGATTGTTTTTGTATGCCACAACTGCTGCTAGAATTTTGCTGGCTAAAAACTGGAAAACACAAGAAGTGCCAACAGTGGAGGAATGGCAGATGATGATGATGGACTTTTGGGAGCTAGCCGACCTGACCGGAAGGAGGAGGAACGCCAGGAGGAATGGACGAAATTTAAAGACTACTTAGCTAAATATGCTAAGATAACTAAAACAGAAATACTTGCAAGTACCATATTGGCCTAGGATTTAAATATGTGATGTTATAGAACAATATGTTTAAAGTAAAAATGAAAAGAAAGAAAGATGTTAATTGACTAAGTAAATTTTATGTGAAAATAGTTTTGGAAAACTGTTACAATGATATACAGAGAAACTCAGCCAGGGGGATTCAAAGAAGTAACCCAACAATGTTAACAAAAATGGAACTATTACAGTTAGGATCTATGTTTGTTTGTTTGTTTCCTTTTTCCTTTTTTGATGTTTGTTATAAATTTGGAAAATCAATGAAAAAATTAGGGGGGGGGGGGGAGGAAATGTAAAGAAAATGGAATAAATGTTGTCTGAATACAGCCATACAGCAAAACCCAACCAGTGCAACCCCAGCTATCTTGATGCAGTCAAAATTAGGGATGGGTCGGTCCAGACTCCCGCACAACACAACAATTTCCAACAGAGTAGGCTCTTCCCTGCTGCCCAGCTAAAAAGAGTGGGCAAGTCTCTCCCGGGGGGGGGGGGGTTGGTGCATCACATACAGTGTAATCAGTGAGTACATCAGCCATATGAAACCCACGCACAGCTGTACACATTGCCGAACCTCTCCAGCAGCGCATGGAGGGTTATTCAGAACTAGCCGCCCCCCCCCAATCTCTTGTCCTTCTCCAAACACCTGTTTATGATCTGTTGGGCACAGAGGATTATCTTTTCAATGTACTGCTGATGAGAGAATCAAGGTCGCAGCTTGTGATCCCTTATCTTGTACCAGGATGGCACATCGTGTTCCTACCCTTTCCGCTCAACTGAACAGAGAAGGGGAAGCTTGCAAATGCAGACTTCTGCACAGAGATGTTGCAGGAGATAGGGTACCAAAGCCTGCTTGGTGTGAGAGTTCTGAGCAGTGCTTTTTTCTGTGGGGACGCAGGGGTATGAATACCCCAAACATTTTGTGAATCTTTGTACTTTTGTCCATTTACTGTATTTATTTTTCCAGATTTGAACTATAAAATGTATTTATTTTTTTTTGAGTCAAAATGAGAGTACCTCTAAACATTTTTTAATTAAAAATACCCACTGGTTCTGAGAATGCTAAAAGCTTATGTGAATCCCCTCTGGAACCAGAGATAGATTCAAGAGAAGATTGATAGGCTTTATAATTATAATAATAATTATCATTATTGTTACTGTATTATTATTATTATTATTTACCAGCCCATCTGTCTGGATTTCCCCAGCCACTCTGGGCAGCTCACAGCACATATCAGAACATACTAAAACATCAAACATTGAAAACTTCCCTAAACAGAGCTGCTTTCAGATGTCTTCTAAAAGTCAGGTAGTTGTTTATTTCCTTGACATCTGAAGGGAGGGTGTTCCACAGGGAGGGTGCCACTACCGAGAAGTGCCAATTTTGCCTTGGTTCTGCTGCCACCATCTACCTGTTCCTGCCACTGCCTGCTCTCTGCATGGCAGAGATTAGGCACTGCCATCAGCGCCACAAGATCTCATGCGATTTTGGGAGAAATCCTGCCCCAAATGGATGCAATCTTGCCCAAAATCAGCACAGATAGAGTTGGCACTTTGCCTGTGGGTGTGCTTCCCCAGGGGCTCCTGCTGCCTGAAGTAGCAGGCTCAAGTTGCCTAATGGGTGAGCTGGTTCTGAAGGAGGCAACAGTCGGAAAATTCTCCTAAGCCTTTGCCTCCAGGTGAAAAAGTTTTATTGCTTTGCTGGACTTTGCTCGCATAAACCCCAACAACACCTTGGGCACAAAGGAATTCTACCCCAGCTGACAGGATAATTAAGAAACAAAACTTTCAGGTCAAACCTTAAGTCATAAACACTTACGGTTGTAGCCACTCAAGAGCAGACCTATTGAAATTAACGGACATGGGTCTATTAATTTCAGTGGGTTTGCTGTAAGCAAGAATTAGCTAGCAATAACCCTTATCCATGAATCTACAGTGGTACCTCAGGTTAAGTACTTAATTCGTTCTGGAGGTCCGTACTTAACCTGAAACCGTTCTTAACCTGAAGCACCACTTTAGCTAATGGGGCCTCCTGCTGCTGCCGCGCCACCGGAGCCTGATTTCTGTTCTTATCCTGAAGCAAAGTTCTTAACCTGAAGCACTATTTCTGGGTTAGTGGAGTCTGTAACCTGAAGCGTATGTAACCTGAAGCGTATGTAACCTGAGGTACCCCTGTATTTAAAAATGATTATACAGAACTATTGCAAACATTTGTTACATGAAACCATTTTTTGGTAGGTTGATAGCTGAGTGTATTTGAGGTAAGGTTCTGATTCCCTCCCCCAATGCACTAGGTCAGTTCTGTGTCAACAGAATAACTTTCTGACACCTTTCATAACTCTTCACTCCTGGAGGGTTAAATATTGGGAAGGGAGATGGAAGAGGGGAAATCCACTTGGAGGGGACTGGGGAAAAGACATATGACATACTTGGAAAGTTCAGCAATTTCCTCTTCATGAAGCCTCCTTCTTTCTGTGAGTTGCTCAGGAAGGTACTTGGCTATTAAGTCTTCCACCAGCACTGTCTTACAGTGTTTCCTCATTGCCAAACACTGGAACAGAAAACAGGGATTCCTCTCAGGCTTGGTTTAGAAATGTTCAGGATTCTGTTAGAGCAGCTTCCCCTGTTAAAATCTTCAGCTTCATCTGATTTTATTTTTTTTGTCCTCTAGCTAACAGACTGCTGACAAGCCTAAGTGCCTCTGAAACTGCCCTGCCTTGTATCTACCTGGAGCCCTTTCAAGGGTGTATGGAATAAAATGTGACAAGCAAATAATAGTGCCATTAACATGTCTGAATCAATAGGTTCTGGGGCAGAAGCCCAATATGCTAAATTCTACTAGTGTGTGGGGAGTTGTGTGATTTCTGGGTGGGCGGAGTTATGAATACGAAAGTTTGCAAAGAAACCATGCTCACCGACCAAGCATTGCTACCTGCTCTACACCTGACATCAAGTGTGGGGCAGGCAAAGATGGGGTTGGGCCTAAGGCAGGTGGGGGGGGCGCGTTCCACACAGTGCTTTGCATGCCCTGAACATGGTAAGGGTTTTTATACCTAGCAGGGAACCTAAAACATACAAAACGTTAAATGCTAAATGGACTGAAATGTTAAAATGGATTAAAATTCACACCAGTATTTGTAAGCATCGGGGAAAGGACCATTAGGTCCAGTCGTGAATGACTCTGGGGTTGCGGCGCTCATCTTGCTTTATTGGCCGAGGGAGCCGGCGTACAGCTTCCGGGTCATGTGGCCAGCATGACTAAGCCGCTTCTGGCGAACCAGAGCAGCGCACGGAAACGCCGTTTACCTTCCCGCTGGAGCAGTACCTATTTATCTACTTGCACTTGACGTGCTTTCGAACTGCTTGGTGGGACCGAGCAACGGGAGCTCACCCCGTCGCGGGGATTTGAACCGCCGACCTTCTGATCGGCAAGTCCTAGGCTCTGTGGTTTAGACCACAGCGCCACCTGCATCCCATTAAGCATTGGGGTAGACTTGTATAAGCATGAATGTCCAGTAGGATACCATGGTCAATGGTATCAAATGCCAACAAAGGATCAAGTGGCAGGAGCAAAGTCACACTCCCTCTCTGTCCTGCTCTCTGCAAAGGTCGCAACCGTTGCATCAGGGCAACCAAGGGCGACTCAGTTCTGTGGCCAGGCCTGAACCCAGCTGTTGACTTCCGTCCTTCCCTTCCATCAGTTTTCCTATTCTATTCTATAGTTCACAGTTTCTTTGATTAGATATTACAACATGACATAAGATTTACTTCAATCCTGCCAAAGTTTTCAAATTTGTACAGTTCTCACTTATATAGATCAAAAATTTACACCATTCTTTTTGGTACTTTGTCTCCTCCTGATTGCGAATTCTGTGTGTCAATTTAGCCATCTCAGCGTATTCAACCAGCTTTATCTGCCATTCTCCTATTGTCGGCATCTCCTGTTGCTTCCACTTTTGAGCTATCAGAACTCTAGCTGCTGTTGTTGCGTACAAATATAATCTTTGATCAGTCTTCTTAATATCTTCTCCCACTGAACCTAGCAAGAATTCTTCCAGCTTTTTGGGAAACCTATACTTAAACATCTTTTTTAACTCGTTATAAATCGATTCCCAGAACTCTTTTAATTTATTACATGACCACCACATATGAAAGAAGTCGCCATCCTTTTCCTTGCATTTCCAGCAAGTTTTACTACTAGTTCTGTACATTTTTGCCAATTTGGTGGGAGTAAGATACCAACCCTCTGCTGTATTTCATAAGCCAAGAGGGGCAGGGGTTGAGGGGGCATGAGCAGAATGCCTAACATGAGCTATGGCAAAAGGAGCATTTCAATACAGGAACTCAGGAAGCTGCCTATTCCAGAGGGAAATTCCTAGCCCTACATGGAGATGGAGGGATTTGAACCTGGGATCTCCTGCATGGAAACCAGTTGTTCTGCCCATTGCGATAGAGTCCTTCCAGTTTCACGACTCATTTCAGCCCCTAACCCACCCCAGGTGCATGCCAATATTTAGAGAAACATCAGTGACAAGACACAAGCAACACAGGCTCACCTCAGAGAGACCCTCTTTGCACAGGGGGCAATTTGGTTTGTGATCCAAACATCTTTCAAGGCATTTCAGGCAGAAGGTATGTCCACAAGGGGTGGTGACAGGTTCGTAGAAGACCCTGGTACAGAAAAATCAGGAGAGGAAAGAAAAGCAATACAATCTTTTAGCAGGAATAATGGAAGGCATGGGAATTCACAGCAGTTGACACCCATGAACCATCAATGTTGCAAGGGTGAAGTTCCAAACATCCCAAGGACCAAAAACATCAGGAGTGTTACAAGTAGAACAGCAACAGAATGCTGCTATGTGAGGTCTTCCTATCCAGAGTTTCAGCCAGCCAGCCTTACCCTTTTGGAGGATACTCCACTCAGTTTCCTCATTTTTCTTGTCTAAATCAGTCAGAATGCCTTGATCATTGAGCATACTCAGTCCTCATTGGGCTGACTGAGGTGTCCCTTCCTTAATTTTTTATTTCTTTCCAAATCCTGGGATTTCCCTGAACCTACTGATGTCCCTTTGTTCGTGTTATATAGTCAATAGTCACATATTAACTATATAAGGATCCACAGAGAGAATGAGTTCCTTTAATAGTGGAGAAGCTGATCTGTATAGGGTTTCCTTGTTACGTGTGCATATGTGTAACTAAGAAATCATATAAGTAGAAATCTATTTTATGTGTCTAGGGCCCCACATGCACTATACAGTTAAAAGCAATATCATGGAGAGCCCTGGGAACAGCAGCTGAGAGTTGCTAGGAGGCCTCTATTCCCTTCACAGAGCTACAATTTCCAGAGTGGTTTAACAACCAATCCTTCTTCCCAGGGCACTGTGAAAACTGTAGCTCTGAAAGGGAAATAGGGGTCTCCCAACAATTCTCAGCACCTTTTACAAACTACAGTCTCAGGCTGCTTTGGGGAAAGCCATGACTCAGCTGAAAGTTGTTATAGATTGGGGGCCTGAAATGTTAATACGGTGGTGGTGGCTGAAAGTTTTAATATTTGGGGTGGGTCTGAAAGTCCTCTCCTCCAGTAACTTGTCACTTCCAGCAGAGCAGCCAAAATTACAGTGGACGCTCGGATTGCGAACATGATCCGTGCGGGATGCAAGTTTGCAACCCGCAGCAGCGTGTCTGTGCACGCGCGGGTTGCGATTCGGCGCTTCTGCGCATGAGCAAAAGCGATTTAGCGCTTCTGCGCATGTGCGACCACCAAAACCCGGAAGTAACCTGTTCTGGTACTTCCGGGTTTCGGAGGTCCGTAACCCGAAAAAACGCAACCTGAAGCGTCTGTAACCCGAGGTATCACTGTATTCTATTAGCTCACCTGGAACAAGGCTGAGGATTCAAGCACCTGAGTTCAAAGCAGTTCAGGGTACGAGTCTGAATGTGTTTTATGGAGAAGGATCAGGGGAGAGGATTAAAAAGCAGCCTCTGAGAAATTCTGTCCAATTACCTAGGTGTGCTGCAGGTGTTTATGCAGGTTTCTTGGTCTGTCCCTGACTCACTCCCTGGATGTAGGTCAACTACATTACTTAGTTGGGCGGGCAAACTGGGTTAATAACAGCTTGGGCTGGTTGGAGATGAGATCACTGGGTTACTGGTTCATGGAAATACAGTATGCAGATTTCGTTGAATTTCCTTATGGGCAATTATGACAAGCTCTACAAGTTAAAGTAAAAAGACTCAGACCCATGCCAAATCAGTTGCATGGATTTCCAGCAATTCAGGCAACCTATCACCTGCCTAGCAACCTGAACAATTGTTTCTAGGTGTTCATGCTTACATTCCTTTTCATTCCCTCTCCTGAAGAATTTGAATGCCACCCTCCAGCTTTCAGGGTTATGTTGGCACCACCATCAACCATGGTTAGCACTAAGCAGGTTCCGGAATCGGTTTCAAGCGGGTTTCTATTCCTGAGTTAACACTGCACCTTGGTTTGCATCTGTCACAAAGGATAGATCTCCTGCTTCCACCATTTCTCTAAGCCAGTCTGTCACCTATTTCCTGCCAGTTCTGTTCAAATGCAAAAGGGGACTTGGGTTTCCCATATGTGAGGTGTGACATATCTCACAAACTGACTGTGGCTGTCACTAGTCAGAAAGAGCCAGGGGTTGCTTCCTCCAAGGAGAGGAGAGAAAGCCTTTAAAAGCTGAGCTGCAGCTATGGTCCCTCTTACCATTAGGGATCCAGGCTGGATCTGACCATCCTTGCTGCCTACTTGTAAGTAGGCAGCAAGGAAATACTCTCCTGTGGCGAATAGGCTAGGATTAGTCCAGCTATACAGCCAAAGCACTTTGATTTATTTTGCATTCTGTTTGACCTGTTGCCTGCTTTCCCCCACCATTTATTTCTTTTTTAAAAAATAATTTTTATTAAAGATTTTCTTGGTTTAAAAAATTATGTACATTGTCTCTTTTTTCAAGACTTGTTTACTTCTGATAAAGTTTCATAATCCGACTGTTGATACGTATGTGGTTGCCAGTCCCAGCACTCTAGAATCCCTAGAAACTTGGAATCCAGTTGCTGAAAGTTTAGGCTCAGAGTCATAAGAGATCAGCATATTCTTCCACCCCTGGAAGAGACTTGTGGGAGCATGGTCTACCTTTATGCTCTGAATAAACTATCATGGAGCTGTCTGGGAAATGCAAGGTGAGTTTGTCTTGGAGTTCCTGGGCTTTGGGAAATTGAGGGGGTCTACCAGGAAAATGAGCAAGCTGCTTTGATCTCAGGGGTGGGATAAGGCTAGAAACCAGCCCTGTTTTCCCCAAGCAAGTTGTGAGTCAGTTAGGCTGATGAGTGGAAGGTCCACTGGTTTGGACCCTATTTAAGAAGTACAGGCATCCCCCCACTTACATGGGGGTTACATTCTAGGCCCCTGCATGCCTAAGTGGAATTGTGTAAAGTAGGGAACACCCTCTAAAAAGCCTCTAAAAGCCTATTTTCCCCTGCTCTCCAGCTCTCTCTCCCCCAGTCTCTTTCCAATCCACACCAAAATATCTGGAGGACACAAGGGAAAGCGGCAGCTGCTGCTGTGTGACCGTGCACATCAGCTGTTAGGCAGGGAGGCTGGGCAGCCTAAACAGAGCCCTGCTGTGCCTCTGGTCTCTTTGGGGTTTCCTCCACCCTCCTCTGCAGACCTTGGGGCTCCTCATGAGCCACAAGGCTCCACCCTCCTCTGCAGACCTTGGGGCTCCTCATGAGCCACAAGGAACCTCTGGCCCTCCAGAAGTTGCTGAATGCCAGCTCCCATCAGCCCCAGCAAGCACGGAGAAGGACTAGGGATAATGGGAGTTGTAGTCAATCAACATCTGCAAACTGAAAAGTTCCCTGTACCTATTTTAGACAAGAAGATAGTAATGGTTACCTCATGCACAACGAACACTCCATATCTGACGGTTCCACAAATCCAAACAGAGAACTCTTCCCAGCACCGGATCCTTTCCCCTTACTTGCATCTGTTAAAAGTGGGAGTGGGGGGGGGCGGGACAAAGAAGGGGGAAAACCAAACACACACATTACAGACCTGAAAGGAGCATATATTGGAGTTAAAAGTGTGCACTTGGTCACAGATGTGTAGACGCCAAACAATCAAAATTGGTGACTTAACAATCGTCTCTCCCACAAGAACCCACCATTTGCACCTCACATTTTTGGGCATCACAATCATGTCTGCAGGTTCAAAGGTCTAACATTTGTAAGTGCTTAAAACAAAAGTTTTATAATTTAGAGAAAAGTGTTGTCACTCACCCCACACCATTGTGTTTAGGGGGGCATTTAATCCACACGTACTTTATGCAGAACATAAAGGTAAAGGTAAAGGGACCCCTGACCATTAGGTCCAGTCGTGGCCGACTCTGGGGTTGCAGCGCTCATCTCGCTTTATTGGCCGAGGGAGCCGGCGTACAGCTTCCGGGTCATGTGGCCAGCATGACTAAGCCGCTTCTGGCGAACCAGAGCAGCGCACGGAAACGCCGTTTACCTTCCCGCTAGAAAGCGGTCCCTATTTATCTACTTGCACTTAGGGGTGCTTTCAAACTGCTAGGTAGGCAGGAGCTGGGACCGAACGACGGGAGCTCACCCCGCCGCGGGGATTCGAACCGCCGACCTTTCAATTGGCAGGTCCTAGGCTCTGTGGTTTAACCCACAGCGCCACCCGCGTCCCCGACTTTACTTCAGTGCTAAAATAGATTCTTTTTTTATTTTTTAAAGAAAGCTTACCCCTTTTCATAATTTTGCTAGGTGGGTCGGTGTTTGGGGCCTCATCAGAGCAGTATTTTCTCTTTAGGAGACTGCACTGATCAGATATAAGGGTGGCTGATTCAGTCGCTGAAGAGGCATGACTACCTTTCTTGCTCTCTGCCACTGGGGTGGACTTTTGTAATCCACTGCGGTCAGCTGCTTTCTGATCTTCACTGCGTGCAGCACGCATTTCCATATTTTCCTGTGCAAAGAAAAAGGTTATTCTTTAGAACTATTGATCCCCAGCAACGATGTTCTTCACAAGACCTTCACAGATATCCTCAAAGCGCACCTGCACAGAACATGGAACACCTCTGTTAACAACCTTTTTATCTTGCATTCCTGACCAACTACAGTTCCCAGGATTCTTTGGGATAAGCTGTGATTGGTTAAAGCAGTATGATATTGATTTAAATGTAGAATGCAGATGAGGCCCAAGAAATAACAAAGAACAGGGTTCTATCAGAGAAGAGAGCAGGCTTCATTCGACTGCCTGCTCACCACGGGCAGCAGGGAGATATTTTAACTCCCATTCTCATGGTGTTTCTCCCATATAGTGGCTTTTAAAATTTTCTTCCTGTTTGCATGTTTCCCAGAGAAATTATCACTATGTGTTGGGTAACTGATAAACAAATACAGAGGTAGTTTGGAAATATTGAAAGGAAAATGAAAAGTCAGTAAATAAAATAAATCTGCTTCAGGGTGGTATCATTTCAGCCTACAAGTGAAGGCTCACATGATTCCCCCCTCCCCCTCCCAAACATACCCTGCATGTAGAAAAGTACGATGTCAGGGAGAAGGTTTCAAACTTTGCTTTCTGCCCAACACGCTGGTTCGCAACATGCAGGTATATTATTAGCAGTATTATGTTAATAAAAAAAAATAAAAAATATCAGTAGTTGTAGTAGTATGAAGTGGTATGGCTTTGAAAAAGATTGACTACTTCATTCAATTGATTTGTGAAAATTGAGGCTATTTCTTATGGGAGTTAATAACACTCAAAATAGAAAATAAGCTATTGTTGAGGTTAAGCTTTAAAAGGCCTGGTTACCAGAGCCGGTCAAGATTTAACCTTAGCAGTCATAAGCCAAGGTTTGCCATTGGGGCAAACTATTATCTGAGTTTTTACAAGGGGCCTTCCAGGCAGGGTACATCTCATGCTTCTACATAAAATCTGGAGTTTGTATGTGACTAAGTTATAGTAGACCTTTAGTTAGTCCTGTCTATTAATGGTCCCTATGTTAGTCAGGCCCATTAACTTTAATGCGTCTGCTGGGAGTAGGACTAGCATTGGTGGGATAGTTCAGTTGGCAGAGCATGAGACTCCTAATCTAAGGGCTGTGGATTCAAGCCCCACGTTGAGTGAAAGATCATTGCATTGCACAGGGTTGGACAAGACTACCCTCATGGTCCCTTCCAACTCTGTGATTCTGTGATTCTAGATGGGACTCACAACAAAATGGTGCCGTGCAGAATATTCCTGCTCAGAGTTCCTGCCAGCCAGTCACACCTTTTCCCAAGACAATCCGTTCCAATCTATTCCCCTCTCTGCAGTTTTCCATCTAACCCACCCACCTGAGCACTTTTCCGGGTCCATTTAGCATGCTCAGCCTTCACTAAGATGCTTTTTGGGAGTTTCTTCTCCACCTTTGGTTTTTTTTTGTACTTCAGCAAACATTGCAATTCCCCCAAGCTTGTCCACACCGCCCTCTTTGGCATGGATACTAGACGCAGCCATTTGGACTGTGCAAGGATCTGCATTTGGAGAATGAGTTTGCTATGTAGGATGCTTTGGCAATGATTCTGTGTTTTAGGAACCTCTTCCCTGCACCATGATGAAAGAGCAACTCTTCCCCAAAGCTACCTTGACCCGTTTCAGAGATAGCCACCAGAGACAAAACTGGTCCAATACATTTTGGCAACTGAGGCAGACCCCAAAATGGCAGCCCCTGCCCTCCAGGGAAGAAGGCGTCAGCAAAGACCTACATCAGGAACAAGGTGGGGGAGAAAGATTGACATTGGGATCTGCTGCCTGAGGCAGTCACCTCACCTTGCCTCATGAGTGGGCCAGCCCTGATCAGAGGTGCCTACCAGAGAATGGGGAAGAGGTAGGGGGCCTTTTGTTTCCAAGGAACAATACTTAATGCTGGAAGGGAGAGTCCATAAATTAAACTGCCTCTCAACTCAAGCCCTAAAATGCAATTTGGTGCTTCAAAGCAATCAAATCATCCTGCAGAAAAAGCTACACATCCCCCAAAATCAGGCTTAAGGTTGCAGAGTCATCCCTAATTCTAAATAGAACTTCTGCAACATCTTGCCTGTACAGCATCTTGCTCACAATTTGTCGTAAGACAACTGAAGCAGGATGAGCAGCAAATGACTTCAATAGAAAAACAATCCTTCTGCAAAAGTAACAGGGGTAGACTTGGATAATCTTTTGTAATATGACGCCCTGTGCGTGGCCAAAATTTTGCATCCCCAAATGGATCTTCTCAATTATGGATCTTCTTAAATTTGCACCCCCTTGGTGCACTTTTTTTGTGTGGGGGACGGGGACTGACTGCACAACACTAAACCCGGTGCTGAAAGTACAGATAATACACTGGGTGCAACACTAAGCAGTAAAACAGTTTAAGGGTTGCATTCCCTGCCAGGGCCACAGCCAGAAGTGGGTGGAGCAATGAATGTAAAGTTTACCTTTATGCAATAGGCTAGCTTCTATACCCACCCACCCACTCACCCCTCTCTCAGTCCTATATCCAGACAAGCAAGAAGCATGATCAGAGTTCAACAACATGTTCCAGCAAGGCAAAAACACTCAAGGAAGGTTTGAAGCAGGGCTGGTGAGCGGTGTGGCCTGGGCAGAGTGCCAAGGGCCAGACAGAGAAGGCAAATACAATGGCTGTTCTATCTCACCAGCCCAAAAACACAAGATCAGTTCTTTGCAGCCTAGTAAATCCATACAAAGCCTATTCTGAACTCATAGATAACACTTTCTGGTCAAGGTCTTGAAAGGAGAACTTATAAAAAAATAAAAAACATTGCCCACATGTCCAGCTTTGACATTTCCCAGAAGCACCTGGCTGTGGGGGGACTTGGGTACTATGACACCCCTCATTCATCTTACTGCCTTCCCAAAGGCAGATAATGAGCCCCCCCCCTTAGGAAGGAGGCAAAAGGATTTTGACAGGGTCCTAGAGCCTTCCCCCTCCTTACAAAGCTGGGAAAGCACAAACCAGGCTTTGGGAAGGAGGCGGGAGGCCTAGGACCATTTGGGTCTGATCTATCAGCCAGACTCTTCTTAAGTTGTAAGAAATGAGACCCAGTTTAATGAGTCTTCAACCCCAACCTTTCTGCCAAGGCTTTCCCTAATGACTGGCTGCAATTCTCAGAGAACCCCATGAGCATCTTGTTAATAAAACTAGAACCCCCATGTGCCTTGCTAATAAAATCTCAGGGTGGTCAGCAGCGTGCACTCATGCACCAGGCCAATGACCCTACACACTCACCCAGCAGCAAACTGCGCAACCACCTCCCCTCCACAACCAAATATTAACATACAAGGACAGTATCACAGACAAGTGTTACCTTGATCAAACTTTGTAGGCTATGGATGGTGCCTTCAGATGGTGCTGAACTTAAAAGGTTCCCTTTTAATTTAGGGTGACGGGATACCAGCTGCAGGATATCAGGCATGCGTTCCTGAGCATCCCTCGGGACACGCGAAATTAAATTAAGTAGAAGCTATGATATAAAACAAACACACACACACACACTTCATTACTTAATTTGAACACAAAGTCTTGCGTTCAGTTCCTGGCATTTCCATTTCTGAGGACTAGGCCACATCCACACTATAAATTTAATGCACATTTGATTTAACACACATTTAAAGCACATGGCTTGCCCTAAGGAATCCAGGGAACTGTAGTTTCCCCCTCACAGAGCTACAATTCCCAGCACCCTTAACAAACTGCAGTTTCTATAATTCTTGAGCATGAAATATGCTTTAAATGTATGAAGCGGATGTGGCAGCAGGTGATGGAAAAGCTCTACAGGGGCTCCAGAGAGCCATTGTCAGTCATGGCCATCAATACAAGGCTATCTGGGACAAGGATCTTATTTAGTGTAAGCTAGCAACAGATGTTGAGGCTTGGGGTATTCAGGAGAGAAGTGCTCTTTAAGCTTCCCTGCAGAACAGTTAAGCTATGAAAAGCACACACACAAAAGGCTGCTGCAATGCAAACTCATCTTGTCAGTGCCAACAGGTTGATAGTCATACATTTCCTGTTTAATAGACAGACTCCTAGCAAAACAAAACAAAACAATTTTCAGTCATCTGGGTTTGACCACAGGGCAGGGCAGATTTGACTAGTGTTCTACCCACACCATTAAAAATTTAAACACCTGCATCCTACCTGTCTTTCAAAGGGAAGAGGCGAGCATACCTGGGGTTATCCTACTTTTATCTACACAACCACATTGTGGGGTGGGTTAAGCTAGAACACATTCCCTGTCTCTTGGGATAAGCATTAGAACATAGTTCAAAGCTACACCAAGTGGGCAGGAATCTAAACCCAAGGTTCAACAGGATGGGCCAAGCCTGTGCATCCCATCTCTGAATGAAATCCAACAGAGGTAAGCATCAAGTTTAATCCTCTGCACCAAAGCAAGATTTGCTGTGTGCTTTTACATTCCAAAATGGGATCATCATACATTCAGGGAGAGAGAGAGCCAACAGATTCACAAAGATGTGAAAACCACTGGTTAAGTGCCAGCATCAAAAGAATGCTGATTCATCTGAAAACTATTAACTGCAAGCTATCTCAGCATAAAAATAAAATCGGAGGCTGGAAAATTCTGCTGCTTTATTTTCTGGGCTCCTAAAATAATCCAAGGCTTGCTTCTGTTGCCTTTTTGGCAGCTACCAGAAGATCCCCTCTTTCAATAAGACTTTTAAGTAGGGAGCTTTCAAAGTCTACACCTGTAATGGAATTCTTTTAAATATATTTTATTGCATGTACATTTGCTGCCCTGGGCTCCTTTGGATAATAATCATTAGCCCCTTCCCTCTCCAGTCAAAAGGATCAGGTAACAACAGGAAGATTCCTTTGCCCAAAGAGCAGCTGCCGGTCTGCATAGACAACGTTGGGCTAGATCAGGGTTTCCCAAACTTGGGTCTCCAGCTGTTTTTGGACTACAACCCCCATCATCCCTTGCTAACAAAGCCAGTGATCAGGGATGATGGGAATTGTAGTCCAAAAACAACAGCTGAAGACCCAAGTTTGGGAAACACTGGGCTAGACATACAAATACTCTGATCTGGTATGAGGTTGCTTCCTATGTTTTTGTTTCTTAGAGGCAATCCCTTTTTTCTGCCCTCTACATCAGGGATAGGGAGCCCAGTCTTCTCCAGAGGTTGTAAGGACTACAACTCCCATCAACCTTGACCATTAGCCAAGCTAGAGCCCAGCAACATCTGGAGGGCCATTTATCCCCTACCTGCAGTTTTGCATTCTCATCTCATGAGACTAAGAAGCTAACGCTAACCATTGGCATCAGTATTGCGTTGCATGGGCCCAGTGCAGTTTGCTGCAACCCTCCTAGCTTGAATTGCACAGTGGAAGCCTCATGCACACTGTGTGATGTGACCAAGTCACAGGACAGTACGGGTTTCTCTTGGCTGAGATGTCTCCCAACTCCTTTCCCCTATATTCCTGAACAAACAGCATTTGTGAAACCCGGAGGCAATATTCTGAATTGAGCAAGGGCTAGAGGGCCAGAAACTTATTTGCTTCCATATTACCTAAGACCCAAGCCAAAGGGCTCTTTAACCTCCCCCCCACACTTTATTTCAGGGCTGGGGAACCTGTGCCCCTCCAGATGCCTCTCCCTAGCCAGTATGGCCAATGGCCATGATTGATGGGAGTCTGACCATATCATAGGCTCCCCACTCCTACCTCCCCAACCCTACCTCCCCTACCTGCAGCTCATTTTTCTGAATGCCAATTGCTCAAGATACAGTACTCAAATCCTGCCAGAGCCTCTAGTTATTTACACCGGAGAAGGAGGTGACTTAAAAAGCCCTTGCAAGCAAAGGTATATACTGTAATAAACAGGCATTGAATCTGGAACAGAGACTTTTCCCAGTCTCCACACTGGAATTCCAAGGTAGAAGGGAGGTCAGGTTGCTTCCCCGAACTTTATCATGCTCACTGAACACAACCCACTTCTTAGGATGATGGCAATTATAAACTAAGCAACCAGCTAGGATGAGCTCAGCTTCATGGGTTCAGTCTGAGAGCTTCTGAAAGAAGAGTGTCACAACTGCCCAAACAGCCTTAGTGAAGAATCAGACAAGTTCACTGTGCTGTGCTCTGAGGACAGTCATCCAATTCACCCAAAGGCTACTTTTATCATTAAATGCAGCAGTGAACAGCCTCCTTCACACAATGCACTGTCACCAATGCAACTTTGGAAAATGAACGTTATCAGTTCATTGCAGCGTTGTGCTGAGGAACAGCACTGAAATGAGACACACCAGTACAAAAACAGCACATGGCACAATGACAGCACATAAGGCAATGGTTTGTCAGGGAGGCAGGGGGAAAGGGACATGCCAAGATACAAAAGTTGGCATATATTTACGGCATATATATATATATATATATATATATATATATATATACAATATATATATATGTATGTATTTCACCTTACCAAGAAAAGGAAGTTAATTTTAAAACCAGTTGCAAAATTGCTCCAGGGGCTGCCAAGAAGAAAAGAAGAAGTGGCGGGTTGGTGACATCAGAGTCACTAGCCAACTGGCAGCCTTCCTCCCCACAGCCAGCTTTCCCCAGTTCAGCCTGAATCATGCCAAAAACCTTGTGCAACTGGTTTTTCAAAGTTCATCCCAGGGAGGAAAACTGTGTGCATTTGATGGCACCAACATCACCATAATTAAGCTATCTCTACCCCTTTTTAAATCTTACAACATGATGACATGACTTGGCTTAGAGGTTTAATATGACAGCTGACAAAAAGTGGACTAAAAATCATGATTATGGCTGTTTTTTATTTATACAATGCCATTAGGGAGATGGATGCAGAGGGCAGACACGGGAACAATATGCAATTACTTTAGAAACCCATGGGCAATAGACGTGAGGCATGGGGTTATGCTAAGTACTTCTAAGGGAAAGGTGGGTTTTGAAGAAGGAGCTGATGGGGCAAAGGTGGAGTCATGTAGGGCAACCAGGATACAGTTACAAGTAAGGGGAACTTGCAAAGGGAGAAAGTCACAAGATCCATGACAACTTCACCACCAATCCCTGAAGCAGTTTTAAAAAATATTATTGATGAAGTGGTGGGGATCAAAGTTGAAGTGAACACCCTACATTTTAAAAAGTGAGCATGGTGCAAAAGGGGCAAGACCGATGGCTGAACAAACATCTGATTTGCTATTTTGCCTGACTGTCATGTGCACTGCGAAGGACTCGGTGTGACCTCTCCATCACAGCACCACCGATGTGCTTGGCAGCTTCATATGGCAACAAGATGGTGACAGTTCCCTGCTCCAAAATAACTTACATAAGGTTCACCCAGACAATACAATAGTGGAGAGCATAATGAAGCACAACCACATCCCATAAACTGATAAACTGGCAAGCTACAGGTTGGCTTCTTTTTTAAAGCAGGAGATGGTGCTACTGTTAGAGATGTGGACATCAGATAAAAAGATACATAGGACTCACCCTTTGAGCTTCTGATCTGGCCATTTTGTTCCCAGAATCCAAGGCAAGGGAGAATAAAAAGGCCTGAAAAGCTTCTTCTGTTTTCCCAAGTTTAACAAGGGCTTGTCCCTTCCGTAAGTGACCCTGCAAGAAGGAAGGGAGTCATCACTGCCTTTTCCTAGGCTCACCTAACAACTTAAACATATGCAGTAAAAACACAGGAAATTGCCTTGTATAGAGTCAGACCATTGTTTAGTTCATCAAGTTTAGTATTGTTTACATGGACTGGCAAGGGCTCTCCAGAGTTCCAGAGAGGGAGTCTCTCTTGGCCGTACCTGGAGACTCTGGGAATTGAACTTGGAACCTTCTGCATGTGAAGCAAATTCTCTGCCACCCAGCTACAGCCCTTTCTGTGCTTCTGGGGATACAGCAGAGAAGACCTATAGTTTGTGCACCAGCATCTTGAAGGTGGCAAGTGCACCAGCCCTGTTATACCACAAAAGCCGATAAACATTTTCTTACTGAGGGCCACATTCCTTCTGAGGAGTCTTCTGGAGGCCACATGACAGTGGTGGGCAAGGCCAGAGGCAAAATCATGCATACACAAACCATTATCAGAGATCAAGGAGAAATTTCAGCCAAGCAAAACCACTCAAGGAGGGTGAGGGCTGGGAAGAGGAGGTGTAGCCTATGGAGAGTCCTGACAGACAGACAAAGATATCTAATGAGCTGCATTTGCCCATGAGCCTCAGATTCCTCACCGCTGCCATACTAGGTCATCTGTAGTGAGCAAAATTACCTCTAAGTGGCTAGGCAAGGAAGAATATTTTGTAAAAGTAGCTGATAATTTGATTTTTTCTTTCAGGCCACCAATTTGCCAGAAACTACCAAAACGTTGGGGGACGCGGGTGGCGCTGTGGGTTAAACCACAGAGCCTAGGACTTGCCAATCGGAAGGTCGGCGGTTCAAATCCCCGCGACGGGGTGAGCTGCCGTTGCTCGGTCCCACCAAGCAGTTCGAAAGCATGTCAAGTGCAAGTAGATAAATAGGTACTGCTCCAGCGGGAAGGTAAACGGCGTTTCCGTGCGCTGCTCTGGTTCGCCAGAAGCGGCTTAGTCATGCTGGCCACATGACCTGGAAGCTGTACGCCGGCTCCCTCGGCCAATAAAGCGAGATGAGCGCCGCAACCCCAGAGTCGGTCATGACTGGACCTAATGGTCAGGGGTCCCTTTACCTTTACCTTTACCAAAACGTTTGTGGACTAGTAACTTGCGTGGAGTTATTTGCAAGCTCAGGCCTCCTTTATATCTCAGAAATTACCACTGCATATTTCCCATCACAAATTTAACTGCGCACAATCTGCTGGCCTGTTTGAGGAATTGCCAATTGGCCATAAATCAGAGACATTTATTTCCACTGTGACACGGACAGTGACGATTTGCTCAGTTAAATAAAAAAGATGTGAATCTGAAACCGGCACTCACCTTTATCCACGTTGGCTGGAGATTACAGGCCATTTCTGCATCTTTCAGAGCTTCTTCCCAACAGTTCAAAAGTGAGTTAACCTGGGACCGGTTGCTATATGACAAATGATCATTGGGCTCTGGAAGTAATGGAAACATTGACTCAGTACAACTATTAACAAGAACTATAGGCACTTCTGATGTATACAGTATCCTTCATAATCACTTCGACTCCGGTACGTCTTGGAAACATCCATTATTTAAGTTTTAAATTAACTGGAGCTCTCAGGAACTGGTGTTATAAGAGCCATCATGTTTGTCTTACACAAGCTCTTCAGGAGTTTCATAAACACAGGTGATGACAAAGCTATAAGATCACACAGTTTCTATAAATCAATGGGGAGGAAATGAAGGTTCTGTTATTTCTACAAAAGGGTGGATCAAAAAAGGCTACCTTAGCAGACAGTGACGTTTAAAACATGAAATTCCTGATTTTTAAAATAGTGTTTTTCATAGTGTGTTCTATGCAATATAAACTTTACATAAGGGTGACAGGAATCAGTTGCCTGAACAGTGCTCCCCTCCCTCTGTTTGCAATGTTTAGAGGCAGGTGCTGCTGCTAATGCAATTGAAACAGCACCATCCACATAAAATATAGAATCATAGAGTTGTTTTATTATTATTATTTATGCTTTTCAGGTTTATACATTTCACTAATTTTACAATCATTTTAACATTTCAAAACTTGACTTCCTTCCCCCTTTCTGGGGTTCCTTAAATTTATTTTTAATATCTTCCACACATCCAAATTAACTTAATTTGCTCATTTATTCGTCTACTTTAAATATGTACAGTGGTGCCCCGCAAGACGAACGCCTCGCAAGACGAAAGGTTTTTTCGTTTTCGAGTGGCTTCGCAAGACGAATTTCCCTATGGGCTTGCTTCGCAAGACGAAAACGTCTTGCAAGTTTGTTTCCTTTTTCGTAAAACCGTTAAAACCCAGGGTGCATTGTTGGAAGAGGTGCAGTTGCGACTTGACTTCGAGGAGCAACGCATTGCACGCGGTGTGGTGGCCTTTTTGAGCTTTTTAAAGAGTTTGCTGAATTTTTGAAGCTTTTCCAAACCTTCTTTGCAGCTGTTTGGTAAGTTAAACTTTTAAAACTTTTTGAGGGTTTTTGGATTTTGGGTTGGGGTGTTTAGAATTCAAGGACTTGGTGTTGGGGAGAGGTTTGCAAGCATCTGGGAGCTTGTGTGGTTTTTTCTGCATTTTTATGATTTTCTGTGACCATTGGGCCATGTTGTTTTTTTTTGAAAAAAATTTCTGGGTTTGAATTTCTGTGTGCTGGGTGGATGGGGGAACAGTTGAGGAGGGGTTTGCAAGAATCTGGGAGCTTGTGTGGTTTTTTCTGCATTTTTATGATTTTCTGTGACCATTGGGCCATGTTGGTTTTTTTTGAAAATTTTTTTTCTTTTTTTTTTTATAAATGATTTTTATTAAGGTTTCAGAAAAAAAGTTAGACAGGAAAACATAAAAAAAAATACACAAATACACTATACATAATCCAAAAAAAGGAAAATAAACACACACAAAAAAACAAAAAAAGCAAATAAAACAGAATAAACAGAACAATTAAAAACAATATCACTTTTTCATTTCCGTTTTTAAATTTACTTATTTTCTGGACTTCCTCATACCTCCCTCTTTTGTATTCCAGTCCAAATTGTTTGTCCAGCAATTTCTTTTCCACTTTTTTAATCCCAGTCTTTAATCTTAATATAATATAACATCAAAATTTTACCTCTTTAGTACCAAATTTCCATTTCCTTAAACTTCTTTAATCCTAATCTTTAATCTCACTGTAATATAACTTTAAAATTTTACCTCTTAAGTACCAAATTTCCATTTCCTTAAACTTCTTTAATCCTAATCTTTAATCTTGATCTATCTATAACTTTATCCTGTACAGCTGGAAACCACTTATTTTCAATCCAACATCACTCTAACATTCATTAATTTTGCAGTGTTTCTGTAGATAATCTTTGAATTTCTTCCAATCTTCCTCCATCGACTCTTCTCCCTGGTCACGGATTCTGCCAGTCATTTTCACCAGTTCCATATAGTCCATCAGTTTCATCTGCCACTCCTCCAGCGTGGGAAGTTCTTGTGTCTTCCAATACTTTGCGATGAGTATTCTTGCTGCTGTTGTTGCATACATAAAGAAAGTTCTATCCTTTTTTAACACCATTTGGCCGACTATGCCCAGGAGAAAGGCCTCTGGTTTCTTAGGGAAGGTATATTTAAATACCTTTTTTAATTCATTATATATCATTTCCCAGAAAGACTTAATCTTTGGGCACGTCCACCAAAGGTGAAAAAATGTACCTTCAGTTTCTTTACATTTCCAACATTTATTATCGGGCAAGTGATAGATTTTTGCAAGCTTGACTGGGGTTATGTACCACCTGTATATCATTTTCATAATATTCTCTCTTAAGGCATTACATGCCATAAATTTCATACCTGTGGTCCACAACTGTTCCCAGTCAGCAAACATAATGTTATGTCCAACGTCCTGTGCCCATTTAATCATAGCCGATTTTACCGTTTGATCCTGAGTATTCCATTTCAGCAGCAAGTTATACATTCTTGACAAATTCTTAGTTTTGGGTTCTAACAGTTCTGTTTCTAATTTTGATCTTTCCACCTGGAAGCCAATTTTCTTGTCCAATTTAAATGCCTCCATTATCTGAAAATAATGAAGCCAGTCTCGCACTTTGTTTTTTTAATTTTTCAAAACTCTGCAATTTCAGTCTGTCTCCGTCTTGTTCCAAAATTTCCCAATATTTCGGCCATTTGACCTCCATATTGACCTTTTTCAAGGCTTTCGCTTCCATTGGTGACAGCCACCTTGGGGTTTTGTTTTCTAGCAAATCCTTATATCTTATCCAAACATTAAACAGCACTTTCCTGACAATGTGGTTTTTAAATGCTTTATGTGCTTTGACCTTATCATACCATAGATATGCATGCCATCAAAATACATTGTTAAAACCTTCCAAGTCCAAAATGTTAGTGTTTTCAAGAAGTAGCCATTCTTTCAACCAGCAAAAAGCTGCTGATTCATAGTAAAGTTTGAGGTCTGGCAGGGCAAATCCACCTCTTTCCTTTGCATCCGTTAGTATTTTAAATTTTATTCTGGGCTTCTTGCCCTGCCAGACAAATTTAGAAATATCTTTCTGCCACCTCTTGAAACAATCCATTTTGTCCACAATCTGCAAAGTTTGAAACAAAAACAACATTCTAGGCAATACATTCATTTTTATCGCAGCAATACGGCCCAGCAGTGAAAGCTTCAAATTTGACCAAATTTCTAAATCTTTTTTCACTTCAGACCAACATTTTTCATAATTATCTTTAAATAAATTCCCATTTTTTGCTGTCATGTTAATCCCCAGGTATTTAACTTTCTTAACCACTGTTAAACCTGTCTCATTCTGAAACCTCTCTCTTTCAATCGGTGTTAAATTTTTCTCTAAAACCTTGGTTTTTGACTTGTTCAATTTAAATCCTGCCACTTGACCAAATTCTTGAATCAGTTCTAAAACCCTTTTAGTACTAGATTCTGGCTCCTGTAATGTCAATACTAAGTCATCTGCGAATGCTCTCAATTTGTACTGTTTAGTTCCGACCTGTATACCTTTAACCAACTGGTCCCTTCTAATCATATTCAGCAAAACCTCCAGAACCGAAATATAAAGAAGTGGGGAAATTGGGCAACTTTGTCGTGTCCCTTTTTCAATTTTAAGTTCTTCCGTCACAACATTATTTACAATTAGTTTAGCCTTTTGTTCTGAATAAATTGCACTTATACCATTCTCAAAACCTTGGCCTACCCCCATACCCTGTAGATTCTTCTTCATAAAATTCCAAGAAATATTGTCAAAGGCTTTCTCCGCCCCTACAAATATCAAAACTGCTTTAGTGTTTATATTCACTTCTAATTTTTCCAAAATATCAATTATATTCCTCAAATTGTCAGACAAATGTCTTCCTGGGAGAAAGCCTGCTTGGTCTTTATGAATCTCTTCCATCAACACTTTTTTAAATCTCTTAGCCAAAATATCTGCAAAAATTTTGTAATCCACATTAAGTAATGATATAGGGTGGTAGTTCTTAAGCTGTGTCTTTTCAGTCTCTGTTTTTGGTACAAGTGTAATATATGCTTCTTTCCACGACTCTGGTGCTCTTTCCCCCTCCATTATTTTGTTGCAGACCTCTTTCAAAGGTTGAATTAACCATTCTTTTAAAGATCTGTAGTATCTAGAAGTCAAGCCGTCTGGTCCTGGAGATTTACCCAATTGCATGTTTTGAATGGCACCTTCTATTTCCTGTTCGGTTATTCTATGATTCAAAATTAATTTATTTTCTTGAGATATTTTTGTAATCCATTTGTTTTCAAAAATTGGTCTAGGTCTGTTTCTTTCAATGGCCCTTGAGTGTATAATCGTTTAAAATACCTCTGGAAACAACTTCTGATCTCTGCAGGGTTCTGTATGTTTCTTCCTTCCACTTCTAAGTTCGTAATTGTATTTAATTTTTGTCTCTTTTTCATTTGCCATGCCAACAGTTTACCACATTTATTGGCCGACTCAAGAGTCTTTTGTCTCATTTGTTTAATTTTCCATTCTATTTCCTGATTCATCATTTTCATATATTGTACTTGATATAACTTTAACTCTCTCAGAATCTCTTGAGATTTTGGGTTTACTCTCAGTCTTTTTTCACATTCCTTTATTTTGTCCATTATCTTATCCTTCTTCTCATTTTGAGTTCTTTTCTTTATTGCATTCTGTTGTATTAAGAACCCTCTCATAACCGCTTTACTTGCGTCCCAGATTACTCTTCTCTCCACGTTGGTACTAAGGTTTATCTCAAAGTAATCTCTCAGGGTTTTTTGGGCCTTCTTAAGTTCTTCTTCATCTCTAAATAAGGTGTCATTCATCTTCCATCTGAAGGAGCCAGTTGGTGTTAGTCTCATTTCCATCTTAACAGCATTATGGTCGGAGCAAGTTTTCGGGCAGATTTCCACCTTTCTTGTCTTTGGTGCCATTCCTCTAGTTATCCAAATTTGGTCAATTCTTGTCCATGTCATTTTGGCTTCAGAAAAGAAAGTTCCCTCTTTAGCCATGGGGTTTCTTATTCTCCAAATGTCAACTAAATCCCAGTTGTCTGTCATGTCAAAAAAAGTTTTCAGTAGTCTACCATCCTTGGTGACTACCTGTCTTTGTGCCTTGTCCATATATGTGGATACCACTCCATTCATATCTCCCATCAAAATCATGTAATCCATATGGTCCATCAGGGTCTCATGCAACTTCTTAAAAAATTCATATTTCCCATCATTTGGTGCGTAGATTCCTACTATCAAAAATTTTTCTCCTTGTGTTTGAATTTCAATTGCCACAAATCTTCCTTGGTCATCTTTAAAAACAAATTTTGGTGATAATCTGTCCTTTGCATAAATCACAACCCCTCTTTTTTTAACTTTGTTTTGAAAAAATTTTCTGGGTTTTGAATTTCTGTGTGCTGGGTGGCTGGGGGAACAGCTGGGGAGGGGTTTGCAAGAATCTGGGAGCTTGTGTGGTTTTTTTTGAATTTTTATGGTTTTCTGTGACCATTGGGCCATGGTTTTTTTTTTTTTTTGAAAATTTTTTCTGGGTTTTGAATTTCTGTGTGCTGGGTGGCTGGGGGAACAGCTGGGGAGGGGTTTGCAAGAATCTGGGAGCTTGTGTGTTTTGGTTTTTTTTGAATTTTTTATGGTTTTCTGTGACCATTGGGCCATGTTGGTTTTTTTTGAAAAAAATTTCTGGGTTTTGAATTTCTGTGTGCTGGGTGGCTGGGGGAACAGCTGCGGAGGGGTTTGCAAGAATCTGGAAGCTTGTGTGGTTTTTTTTGAATTTTTATGGTTTTCTGTGACCATTGGGCCATGTTGTTGTTTTTTTGAAAAAAATTCTGGGTTTGAATTTCTGTGTGCTGGGTGGATGGGGGAACAGTTGAGGAGGGGTTTGCAACAGTATGGGAGGGGTTTTCAAAAGTTGGGGTGGGGCGGGGGCAACAGTTGAGGTTTTTGAAGACTTTGGTGATTTTTAAAGCTTTCCCAAAACTTCTTTTGCAGCCATTTGAGGATTTTGAAGACTTTGGTGATTTGCAGCCATTTCGTAAGTTAAACTTTTAAAACTTTTTTGGGGGGTTTTTGGATTTTGGGTTGGGTGTTTGGAATTCAAGGACTTGGTTCTGGGTTTGAATTGCTGATTTCTTTTTCTTTTTCTGAGTTTACGAAGGTAAGAGCTGTGCTGCCATGGGACCCAAGAAGACTGCTGCTGCTGCGGAGGCCGGCGAGAGGAAGAAGGAGAAGGTGACGCTGGAAATGAAGAAGGAGATCATCTGGAAGCACGACGGTGGAATGCGTGTGATGGACCTCGCCAGGGAGTACGGCAGGAACCCATTGACCATCGGGACCATCCTGAAGATGAGGGAGAAGATCCTTGCGACTGATGCAGCCAAGGGAGTCACCAGGATCGTGAAGAACCGCCCAGCTGTTCTGGAGGAGGTCGAGAAGTTGTTGCTCATCTGGTTAGAAGAGAAGCAGCGTGCAGGGGACACAGTGACTGAGGCCGTCATTTGTGAGAAGGCCAAGGCCTTGCACGCAGACCTCATCCGGGAACAGCCAGGAACCTCAGGCGAGCCAGAAGTCTTCAAGGCAAGCAGAGGCTGGTTTGACCAGTTCAAGGCAAGATCTGGAATCCACACGTGGTCAGGCATGGAGAGGCTGCCAGTTCTGATGTTCCTGTGGCTGAAGACTTTGCCTTGGAGTTCCTGGGGGCTGTGAAGACAGAGGGCTACGTTCCACAGCAGGTCTTCAACTGCGACGAGACCGGGCTGTTTTGGAAGAAGATGCCCAAAAGGTCTTTCATCACACAGGAGGAGGCCAAGTTGCCTGGCCACAAGCCCATGAAGGACCGCCTGACCCTGCTCTTCTGTGCCAACTCAAGCGGCGACCTGAAGATCAAGCCCCTGCTGGTGTACCACTCGGAGAACCCACGGGCCTTCAAGAAACACAAGGTCGACAAGGAGCGGCTGAGTGTCATGTGGCGATCCAACAGCAAGGCTTGGGTCACACGTGTGCTGTTTGTGGACTGGGTCAATCTTGCTTTTGGCCCTGCTGTCAAACAGTACCTGCTGGACAACGACCTGCCGCTGAAGGCTTTGCTTCTGATGGACAATGCTCCTGCTCATCCTAAAGGCCTTGAGGAGGACTTGTTGGAGGAGTTCAGCTTCATCAACATCATGTTCCTGCCGCCTAACACCACGCCACTGCTCCAGCCGATGGATCAGCAGGTCATTGCCAATTTCAAAAAACTCTACACCAAGGAGCTTTTCAGGCGACGCTTCGAGGTGACTGATTGCACCACCATCACCCTGCGGGAATTCTGGAAGGACCACTTCGACATCGTCACCTGCTTGAAGATGATCACCACGGCCTGGAACGGGATCAGCCAGAGAAATTTGAATTGCGCTTGGCGCAGCCTGTGGCCGGACTGTGTGGCACCAAGTGACTCTGATGCACCAGAGTCAACAGTGGTGCAGGACATTGTTGCCTTGGGGAGGACCATGGGCCTGGAGGTCACAGAGGAGGATGTCTGCGAGCTGGTGGAGGATCACGACCACGAGCTGACCACCCAGGAGCTGGTTGAACTGCAGGCAGAGGTTGCGCAGGAGCAGGCCTCGCTGGAAGAGGAGGAAGCAACTGAGGAACGGCTGTCCTCCAAAGAACTGAGGGACATTTGCCAGAAGTGGAAGGAGGTGCAGGCTTTGCAGAGCGGCACCACCCTAACAAGCACGTGGCACATGACCAAGCGAACACTTTTGATACGACGGTCATGTTGCCTCTCAGGGAGCTGCTGAAAAGGCGGATGAAGCAGCAGACCATGGACAGGTTCCTCAGCAAGAAGCAAAGAGTGGAAGAGAAACCTTCTTCGAGTGGTCCCCAGAGTCTTAGAAAATGTATGTACAGTACACTTTGTTGATTTTTAAATGTTTTTCTGTCATGTTTAGAAACTTAATTTATTGTTCCTTCAATTTTGATATGCTCTTTAAAGTATGTGTGACTTTAAAGAGCAGTTAATAAACTATTGTTGTACCAAATTTGGCTTTGATTGGACTTTTTTTGACCACAGGAACGCATTAATTGAATTTCAATGCATTCCTATGGGAAACCGTGCTTCGCAAGACGAAAAATTCGCTAGACAAAAAACTCGCGGAACGAATTAATTTCGTCTTGCGAGGCACCACTGTACTCTTATGAAACTGCAGGTTATTACAAGAATCCCGCCAATGTTCTTTTTCTGTTTGCAATTTATCTGTAAATATGTAATGAACCATTTGCATTCTTTTAGAAAAAGTTTGTTATCTTGATTTCTTATTCTTCCGGTAAATTTCACCATTTCTGCATACTCCGTACATTTTTGTATCCATTCTTCCTTTGCTGGGATTTCTGCATCTTTCCATTTTGAGGGTGAGTAACATTCTTGTCGCTGCAGTAGCATACATGAATAAGAAAACCCAGAAGCTTTTCTTTTGGAAATTATAGGGGCAGAACTACTTAAACTGCATAGAATTGTAGAGTTGGAAGGGACCCCAAGGGTCATCTAGTCCAACCCCTGCAATGAAGGCAGTTGCCTAATAGGTACATCTAGGCTACTGGTTCTTTTAGCTCAACGTTGACTACGCTGATCAGGGCCAGATTTAGGTTTGATGAGGCCCTAAGCGCGGGTGGCGCTGTGGTCTAAACCACAGAGCCTAGGGCTTGCCGATCAGAAGGTCAGCGGTTCGAATCCCTGCAACGGGGTGAGCTCCCGTTGCTCGGTCCCTGCTCCTGCCAACCTAGCAGTTCAAAAGCACCTCAAAGTGCAAGTAGATAAATAGGTACCGCTCTGGCGGGAAGGTAAATGGCGTTTCCGTGCGCTGCTCTGGTTTCGCCAGAAGCGGCTTAGTCATGCTGGCCACATGACCACAAGAACTGTCTGTGGACAAACATCAGCTCCCTTGTCCAGTAATAATAATAATAATAATAATAATAATAATAATAATATTTTATTTATACCCCGCCCTCCCCAGCCAAGACCGGGCTCAGGGTGGCTAACAACCAATAATAAAACAAGTTGATTAAAATACAATTTAAAAGATTAAGATACAACATTAAAACAATTCGGGAGCAATCTCTTCATAGGAGGAGAAAGGAAAAAGAAAGAGGGGGAGGGAATCAAACTGATTCTGAGCCAAAGGCCAGGTGGAACAACTCTGTCTTACAGGCCCTGTGGAAAGAGATCAGATCCCACAGGGCCCTGGTTTCAAGAGACAGAGCATTCCACCAGGCCGGGGCCAGTGTTGAGAAGGCCCTGGCTCTGGTTGAGGCTAATCTAACTTCCTTAGGACCCGGGACCTCTAGGGTGTTGCTATATGTGGACCTTAAGGTCCTCCGTGGGGCATACCAGGAGAGGCGGTCCCGTAGGTATGAGGGTCCTAGGCCGTGAAGGGCTTTAAAATTCAAAACCAGCACCTTAAATCTGACCCTGTACTCCACCAGGAGCCAATGCAGCTGGAAAAGCACTGGGTGAATATGCTCCCATGGCAGACACCCTGTGAGGAGCCTCGCTGCAGCATTCTGCACCCACTGGAGTTTCTGGGACAGCTTCAAGGGCAGCCCCGCATAGAGCGAATTACAGTAGTCGAGCCTGGAGATGACCGTCGCATGGATCACTGTGGCCAGGTCGGGGTGGGAAAGGTAAGGGACCAACTGTTTGATGCGGCGAAGGTGGAAAAATGTCGCTTTGGCTGTTGCTGTAACCTGTGCCTCCATGGAAAGGGAAGCGTCAAGGATTACACCCAAACTCTTAACAGAAGGCAATGGCACTAATTGGGCCCCTGCAAGAGAAGGGAGTTGGTCCCTCATCCCCATACCATCCCAACCCAGCCAGAGGACCTCTGTCTTTGAAGGATTTAGTTTCAATCGGCTCCCACGAAACCATCCAGTCACAGCTTCCAAGCATCTGGTCAGTGTGTTCGGGGCCGAGTCGGTGTGGCCATCCATCAGCAGATAGAGCTGAGTGTCATCAGCATATTGGTGACAGCCCAGCCCAAAGCTCCAGATAATCTGGGCAAGGGGGCGCATAAAGATGTTAAAAAGCATCGGGGAGAGAATTGCGCCCTGCGGCACTCCACACACCAAGGGGTGGCGCGACGACAACTCCCTCCCTAGTGCCACCCTCTGTCCCCAACCAGAGATAAAAGAGCACAGCCATTTATGGGCTATGCCCTGTATCCCCACATCGGCGAGGCGGTGGTCCAAAAGATCATGATCGACCATGTCAAAGGCTGCTGACAAATCTAAGAGAATCAGCAGTCCCGACCCGCCTCGATCCAGTTGTCTGCGGAGATCATCTGTTAGGGCGACCAGAGCCATCTCGGTCCCAAAACCAGGACGGAATCCGGACTGAAATTGATCTAAAGCCGATGTTTCCTCCAGAAACCTGCCAAGCTGTTCAGCAACTGCTCTCTCAATTACCTTACCCAGATATGGGAGATTTGAAACTGGGTGGTAATTAGATAGATCTAAAGGATCTTGTGAAGTTTTCTTTAAGAGCGGACACACGATTGCTTCCTTCAGCTCCCCTGGGAATGTCCCTGTGTTAAGGGACAAATTGATAATTTCAACCAGGGGGGTCCGCGCGATATCTGGGCACGTAAAGCGAGATGAGCCCCGCAACCCCAGAGTCATCCGCAACTGGACTTAACTGTCAGGGGTCTCTTTACCTTTAAGCTACTGAAGGTAATGGGGCCCTTTATATGTCCAGCTGTCCTTTGTCAACAACAAATTGCCGCTGTTTTTTGTGTTGAATATATGCAATATGGTAATTTATGGACCTAAAGCCATTTGCACATAACAAAATATGTACAGTGGTGCCTCAGGTTAAAAACTTAATTAGTTCTGGAGTTCCGTTCTTAACCTGAAGCACCACTTTAGCTAATGGGGCCTCCCGTTGCCGCCACGCGATTTCTGTTCTCATCCTGAAGCAAAGTTCTTAACCCGAGGTACTATTTCTGGGTTCGCGGAGTCTGTAACCTGAAGCATCTGTAACCTGAAATGTCTGTAACCCGAGGTACCACTGTACATCATAGGAGCCTACACAACCCAAAACACTGTTGTTGTATGTAGGTTTTATTTTATTTGTTTTTTAATCTTATATTTTGGAAATGTACATCCAGGTTTTTTCCCTTTAAATTTTTTTGGGCCCCCCAAGTGAGTGGGGTCCTAAACTATAACTTGTTTAGCTTATACGTAAATCCGTCACTGAGCTGATTGACAATGTCTCACCGGAGTGTCAGGCAGGGTTCTCTCCCCGCCATACTCAGAGATGCCAAGGATTGAACCCAGGACCTTCCACACACAAAGCAGATGCTCTAACATCTTCCTTAAAAAAGAAACCAGTTTTGAAAGGATGAGGGAGACCAATTAGTGGACACAGGAAGTTGTTGTATACCAGGTCAGATTACAGTGGTACCTCGGGTTACATACGCTTCAGGTTACATACGCTTCAGGTTACAGACTCCACTAACCCAGAAATAGTACCTCAGGTTAAGAACTTTGCTTCAGGATGAAAACAGAAATCATGCGGCAGTGGCGCAGCAGAAGCAGGAGGCCCCATTAGCTAAAGTGGTGCTTCAGGTTAAGAACAGTTTCAGGTTAAGAAGGGACCTCTGAAACAAATTAAGTACATAACCAGAGGCACCACTGTACTGAGCTAAAACACTCATGTCAAATGCACGGTCAAATTATGACTGTATGATATTATGGCTGTATGATAGTGTGATGATGCCTAATGCTGTATTGTTTTTAATATTCAGTTGGAAGCCACCCAGAGTGGCTGAGGAAACCCAGCCAGATGGGCGGGGTATAAATAATAAAATTATTATTATTATTATGATTTATGGCTGTTTGAACGATTGCTTGATATTATGGTTACATGGTATGGCTGCATGATTTGATGATTTGATTATATGATATTATGATTTTCACTACGGATGATGCTCTATGGCTCAACATTTTTTTTTCTAAACACAACAAAAACTTCATGGCATCCCAAGAGTTTTCCTTTCATCTTTAAAAGGTGCCACAAAGAACATCTGATCTCTCTCTTTCTCTTTTTTTTGGCTGCAAAATACTTAACACAGCTACCACTCTGGAAGTTATGCAATAGTTTGCCAAAAGAAAAAAGATTTTAAAAAAAGCCAGCAGGATTCATGTGTCAAGCCTCTTGCTACAGAAAAGGTAAATCAAGATTCTTTATGGAAAAGCTTCCACAATTTCTGAAATCAGTGACACTGACCCCTTCGATTTGGCACAATCAATACTTTCTTAAAAAGGCATTTCACTCAATTCAACAGTGTCTATTAATCCTAGCTTGCATGCTGCTTTAAAGAGAAATGCGTGGGGCGGCGGCGACGGCGCGCGGGGGGGGATCCTTTGCAGACAAAAAGCCACTGTTCACATCTAGAAATAAAATCTAATTCCAGTGAGCAAGAGACCACAGCAATGAGTCATTGGCAATTTAACTAAATATGATCAGCCCGCCAGTGGGATGCTTTGGAAAACGCGACCTGTGCTTCGTTACACAACCATTCCATAGGAAGGGGGCAGGGAATTAAGACCGGGCTACTAAGCTTATGCAACATACTATTCTCCTGACCTACTTTCACTTCGGACGGAATCGACAAGACTTTGGTGAGCATGCAAAGGTGAGGGTTTGCCTGATGGACAAGACACAGCCAGGGTTCATTGCTCTTTCCGTTCCTGGGCTAGATGCTAGTTAGGGGGTGTTGCTATTCGTGTGCGTGGTCCAGGGACTTACGTGATCTCCTGTCATTTCCTCTACTTTTAAAAAAGCTTTTAAAAAACAACAACACGACGACGACAACAACAACAACGACAACAACAACTTTGTTTATAGGGCAGCTCAGCATGCTGCAAAGCACCGTGCAGCTTACAGATCGATATTTGTAGCTGTACATATAAATCAGCATATGCACATTTTAGTCACGCCGAACCTTTTAAAGACCTTGCAGGCTACACCCCTCGGAGGGGGGTGGGTACTTAGATCCCCTTCTACAGTGGTACCTCGGGTTAAGTACTTAATTCGTTCCGGAGGTCCGTTCTTAACCTGAAACTGTTCTTAACCTGAAGCACCAGTTTAGCTAATGGCGCCTCCTGCTGCCGCCACGCTGCCATCGCGCGATTTCTGTTCTCATCCTGAAGCAAAGTTCTTAACCTGAAGCACTATTTCTGGGTTAGCGGAGTCTGTAACCTGAAGCGTATGTAACCCGAGGTACCACTGTATTTCGTGGCCGGCAGTATAAGCTGACCAAGATATTCAGGTTGAAACCCATCACATTAATTGATACCGTCAGCATCCCAGTGGAAACACACCTGTCGTTCTTTTAACACACTTTGGCTTTATACAAAGATGAGAGGCCGCCAAAAGCATAGTGGTGATAAGACTACCTTGAAGGTCTGAATCAGTGTTACTAAGCTGTAATTTATCATGTTTGTATTTACCTTCTATTCCATCCTGCCAACAGGCAAGAAGAGCTTTCTTACATGGCAGGTGTAGATGTGGGGTACATTGGTTGTATGAATGCGCACTCTCACCAGGTACCACACTATGCACAAGCAGTTACACTGATCTGCCCTGGATAACATACACGGCAAACAGAGCCCTTGTTTAGGCACTCACAATAGTGACCCAACACTAATACTAAATCTGTCAAAACAAGCTGCGATTGGAGTACAATAAACTCAGATTCATAACAATCGGTGCACATCTTCTGTATAAGGTTGCTGGCTTCTTCTTTTTCACTGATCTGCTGCTATACCTTTACACCCATCCACCCACACCCCAGCAGCAGCTCTACATATTGCCAAGAGCTGTACCAGTTGAATTTCTGCCTGTCAGGATACGAGACAGGGCCGGAGAGCAGGGCCAGTTTAACAAATAACAGCAGCTGGCCACCTCACCTCTGTGTCCCTCAGAAAAGTTTAAGAAGTTGCAAGGAGAACGGGAAACGTCAAAGGAGTGACAAGGAGCTGGTTCACACGTGCGTATTTATTTCTAGGAAACGGAAACTTCCTGTGGTAGCTTGCACATGTGCACGAGTCACCAGATAGATAAAAACACGGAGAAAAGTTTCAACCCCACCCCGCTACCCCGCCAAGAATACCACTTTCCCCCATCAAAGCGAGGAAACTCACACGCTCATTTGCGAGTCAGCAAGAAAGGAAGGGAATAACGCGTTCTACGCTCACGCGTGAACAGGCTAGCAGAAATACAACCCCACAGGTCCCTGGTTAAGCGAGAGGAAGAGAGAGAAAAGAAAAGAAAAGGTGGCGCTGAGTAATCCACTGCCCACCTCACCTACGGAGCGCATCGCAAGGTAACTTACCTAATCGGATTGCTTCGTTGTACTTCTGAAGGGCAGCCTGAAGATTCTTCTCCTTATATAAGAGATTCCCTTCACACCGGAGCTGCGACGCCTTCACTCTTTCAGGAAAGCATTTGGCCAACAGGTTGCTGAGGACGACGTTTATCCGGAGCCGGGGCAGAGCGCCCTTGCCCTGTGGGCAGATGTTGCATCCTGCCGCCTGGCCCTTTTCCTTCTCCAGGCACTTTTTGCAAAAAGTGTGGCCGCAGAGCAACGAGACAGGCTCGTAGAGGAAACCTTGGCATTTGTGGCAGCCGAAGACCTCCCATTCACGTACCGGCGCCGAGCTGCTTTTCAATCGGATGCTGCGCGCCATGCAATCCACCAGCTCGCCCATTTGCTCCGCGCGCAGCAGCCGACTGTTGCCCGACGCCAGCTGACAGAGCCGAAGGACTTCGGGGAGCTGCCCGCTCTGCGCCAGCCACCGTTCTGCCCTCTGGAGCATCCCCTGCCACTCGGGCGGGCGCATCGTGGTCTCTGGCTGCCGCGAGGACGCAGAGAGGGCGACGGAAGCCGAGGAAGAAGAGCGCTCTGAATCGCGCGCCTGGAGAGCCTCGGCAGCCACGCTTAGAGCTGGTAGCTTTTGCTCCTCCTGCCGCTGCGGGGAGCCCATGACTAGGCGGGCTGCTTGAGCGGAGGCGGTGGGTGGCTTCTGCTCGGGAGGGCGGCCACGCTGCTCAAGTGGCGCCGCGGAGCACGACAAGCTGGAGGAGGCAGAGGCAGCGTCTACACCGCGCTGTTGCTGCTGCCCGTCTGTTTCTGTGGAAGCGCCAGCCCCTCCATTCTGCCGGCTTCCCTCCCCAGACACGCCCCTCATGAAAGTACCTCATCTATGCAAAATACTTATGTAAAAATCAAGAGGCCAATGTGATTGTCTGCCTCGCTTTCCTTCTCTCCACCCCTCCCTCCTCCCACTGCAGCCGCTCATTGGGCAGCGGCGTGCGGGATGGTTACAAAACCCAGGCAGTTTTATAATGTGTTGTTGCTGCGAGCGAGTTGCAGGACGAGGGAAGCGCTTGGAGTTTGGGTTCACCTCCTCGTTTCAGTTAGCTCGCCGAAGCAACCCCACAACACGGGTGGGTAAACAGGGGCAGGATTCAGCCTGCCGTTCGTTTCTAACAAGAGCTCCCCAAGATCCCATCCACGGAAGCCCCATACGAAAGAAATGCACTGTGTCCACACGTTGCACTGTACACGGTGAGGTGCCTCTGCGTGTGTTCAAATGTTTGTGCACATGCTTTGGGGCTTTCCAAAGGGACCTGGTTGGGCACCATGAGAACAGGATGCTGGACTAGATGGGCCATTCGTCTGATCCAGCAGGCTCGTCTTATTTGGATTAGCAGAACTGCAAACCTATGCATCCAGTTTAGTTTACCTAGGAGTAAGCTGCTGCATCAAACTCTCTCAGGTGGTCCTTCTGTCCTTGCATGCTTTCATTCCCGAAACTGACAACATTCCCTTCCCTTACAGAAGCAGGTCTGCAAACATTCCAGTAGCTTCATCCCCTGAGCACACCAGCTTAGCCAGTTGATAGGCAGCTAGGCTTCCCCACTGCAAGTGCATCACATTACAGTGAACTGCTCAACTTACCCTTAAGTGTGCTTCGGTGTGTTTACAGTATACACATTGACTTTGCATCGCAGTTGACCCATTTAATGTAATTTTGACTGCAGAGCTACAGTTTGGTGAATTATGCCTCAAATAGCTGGGAGAGGCACATTTAAAGTGACTAAGGTTTAGATTTCAAAACAAACAGCAAAAATGTGTCATTGCTGCAAGAATATCTTCATTCAGAGATCAAGTGGCCAATTGCCTCTCACAGTGGGAATCACTCTTACGATGAAGGGTATTGAAAATAGCAACAGGTGGCCATCAAAGCAAGAGCCAGGAAGAAAAACTGATGATGCAATTATGAAAAGATGAGTGAAAAAGGGGGTCAGACTTTCTCAGTTTGTAAATAAGCTCTCAGAATAAAAAATGGGGGCATGAACAACTTTTACACATCTCCCTATAATAGACTTGTTAAGTGTTTGTGGCTCAGCACGGCTCACAGCTCAACTAGGCTTGCCAAAAGGGGGGGCTCAGATGATGATAAAATGGAGGCAGGATGTGGTGGTACTTGGGGAAGAGCGACAGCTCAGTGCCAGAGGTTGCAAATTCAATCCTCAGCATTCCCAGGAAGTGTCATGGACTAGCTGGATGCAGATGAGTGGTGCGAGGAACTAGCTGGGGAATTCCTAAGGGAAGAAGGTTCAGAACCCGGGGATTGGTGGTGGGACAACAATGAGTGGTCAGAGGGAGAAGAGGGAGCAGCCTGGGAAGAGGAAGTATTGGAAGCTGAAGAGGTAACAGGGCTTAGTGGCCTGGAGAAGTCTGTGGCAGAGAAAAGCTCAGAAGGCAAAAGCTGAAGCGGAGTAGGAAGGAGGCCAAGAGGCAGAGAGGAGTCTGGATGGTGAAGAGCCTCTCCTGCTGCAACTCCCCTACCTTCTGGTCTCCAAAAACCATTGAAGGTATGAAGAGGAAGGAGCAAAGACAGGCACCGCAACCGAGTCTCAGATTGCCTGGGGAAGACCCAGGGGAGGAGGAGACTTAAGCAATGATGGGAGAATTGCAGAGTTGGAGGGGACTCCAAGGGTTCCCTGGTCCAATCCCCTGCAATGCAGCAACCTCAACTAGATCACACATGACAGATAGCCACTCAACATCTGCTTAAGAACCTCCAAGAAAGGGGAGTCCACTACCTCCTGTGGGAATCTGTTCCACTATTGAACAGCTGCTTTGCTCAGCAGCTATTATATAATAGGCAGTTGCTTAACTGCTCACAATGAAAAAAATAGTAGCTGGAGATGAAAGCGGAGGGGCTTCATAAATTAAATGAGTGCTGAATATTTAAGGTATCAGACAAGTCTGGCTCTTGGCTGTCAGCAAAGATGACTGGGGTTAGCAATGGGTTTTGGTTTCTCAGTTCACTTTTCCACTCTTGAGTTCAATTCTCCACATTAGTTTGCTGACACCCTTTCTCCTTGTCCAGGGGAGGGTCAGATTGCTCTTGCCAGCTGTCTCAACTGACCACTTGCTTTTGCAATTAGGCTAGCAGCCTTAGGGGTGCACGTTTCCCACTCCTGTTTTAAAGTGTCATGTAGGCATTGATGACAAAAGGAAGTACTGCAGAATTTGCCCCCCCAAGAAGGAGTGGTGGGAAGCAGCTTAGACTGGTTGTTGCAACGATTAGAAAAATTCATGGACGATAAAGCTTTCAGTGGTTACTAGCCGCAAGGGCCGTGTTCTACCTCCATTGTCGGAGGCAATACATCTCTGAATATATTGCCTCCGACGATGTATCCAGAGCACTGTTGTTCTCAGATTCCGCTTGGAGGCTTCCCAGAGGCATTTAGCTTGCTTCTGTGAAAAGAAGATGCTGGACTAGATGGGGCCTGATCCAGCATGCTCTTCTTTCCCCTCTGAATGTATATATTGCTCAGTTGAACAGAAGAAGTTTGGATAACTGGGTCCATAGCTCCATCGGTAGAGCAAGAAACACTTAATCTAAGGATCATGGATTTGAGCCCCACATTGGGCAAAATATTCCTGCATTGCAGGTTGTTGGAGTGGATGATACTTGTGGCCCCTTCCAACTCTATGCCAAGGATCCTGTGCAACAGCAACACTACGGTCTGGCCAACAGTCCCCCCCCCCAGTTCCCCACAATAATTAATAAAGGCCTTGACCCTTAAGAAAGAAGGGCATTTTTGCTGGCCAGGTTTAATTCAAATCCATCAAACCTCCTTTGGGGAAGGTTCTCAGGCAGGGTGGAAGGAGAAAGAACTTGCCCATGTGAAGACCACCTGGTGGAAACCCTTACACATATGGTTTTCAATTGTAAACTATATGCTGATCTCCGCCAGCAATTTCTAAATCAACTCTGTATCCCCAAATGGAAACCAGAGTCAGAGGTCATACATTTACTATTACTGGGGGGAATGATCAGGAGCTCACCAAGTTAGTGGCTAAATATCTCTATTTGGTTTTTTTGTCGTCGAAATAAACTGCAGACGTCTGATCTCCCTGGAGATGTGACGATAGACTACTCTGCCTCCTTTCTTTTAGCAAATGTTTTGCACCACTGGGGAAGTGGTAATTCTGTATTGATTTGTTTTGGATGTTGTATGTGATGCCAATAAAGGTTTTACGATACGATACGATATGATAAAGGCCTTGAGTGGAGTTACACAGTTTAGGGATACTTCCCTGCTTCTTCTTCAACAAACTTCAAGTCTCTTTTACTTTCATTGTATACAACACAATGCCAGCTGCAATTCTTCTTTAAGCAAACAAGCAAGCACACATGCACACACGCACGCACGCAAGCAAGCAAGCAAACAAACTGAATTTCATTCCTGACAAATTTCCCTGTTTTTCAGCTAAAGGTCATCTGAAAGGCTACAACACCTTTCCCCACCTGTTTTGCTATGCTCCCTGTAGAGCAGGCTATGAGCAGATCTCTCACAAACCCTTAGAAATAATTAGTGAGATGAATCAGCACTCTTTCAGAAAGGGCTTTTTCACATCTATAGGGACAGCTATTTTTAAAACGTTTCAATGAATCACGCAAAAGGGCTTATCCAATGAGGATAATGCTATCTTTATGTGTAAAACTTAAAGGAAAAATAACAACAATCTAATAGCTGCTTCTATTACACAGGCGAAAAAATATTTACAGCCACATTATCAGAAGGGTGACGTTGCAATACATGTGATTACAAAACAGAAGCAACTTCTTTTTGATGGTGTTTCTTGTGTGGTTCTCCTAATGTCTTCAAGCCCCAATAATTTAATCAGAAAGGGTTCAGTCCTGAATTTTCAGAACACTCCTTTTCTCCAGGTCATTCATCTCCTTCAGGATCAGAGCAACATTGTACCTTAATTCTTGGAATTTTCCAGCTGGCACCTGGAATATAAAAATACTCGGAAAGGTCAGGGTACAACATCTCCTTCTGAGAATATATAATAGGCTTGTAGGAGGCTCCTGAATCCTGAACCTATTTAGAGGACAAGTCACTAGAGGAGAAATCCGACAGATCACCTGAACATTATGTCCCCCAAATTGAAATGATCTAATTAATTGCATTTTTGCAGATCTTAACTAGCCCACAAAAATTTCCTGCCCAACCTGACTACAAAGGGAGACCGTGACTTTCCTTTCCTAGCCACTTTGAACCTCCTTCAATTCCGTACCCATGCATTTGGGAGTAAGCGCTTCAGAACTCAGTGGATTTACTCCCAAGTATTCATTTACAAATTGCAAAGCTTTCTTACCTGCCCTTCACTGTAAGGTCCGAGGGCAAGTTATGACAATATGCAATTACAGAAAATGAAATTATAAGAACAAGTCAACAGCATTACAATGATAAAACACATAAATCCATTCCAAACGCAACAGAACGGTATAAATTCAGCAAAAGGGGCGGGTCCCACAAAACACACTACTTTAATCGTCAAAGGCCAGGGGCAAAAAGGTGAGACGTCAGCATCTGTCAAAAGCTGCATAACGACGGTGCCAGATAGGAAGGCAGTTGTACAATTTAGAGGTTGCCACAGAGAATGCCTTTTCCCAGGCTGTCATTCCCTGCAATTCTGAGGGTGAGGGATCTACCAAGAGAGTTCTCTCCTCTGCAGATAATAATAACGTTCAACCAGTACGTATGTACAGGATTGTGCCATTAAATCTGTCATCAAAACTTTTTATCAACAGCAGATCTAATTGTTAGATTTATTAGCAGCAGCCTTGCACTTGTTACTCAGGAACTCAAAGATACCAAAATATCGGGGCAGTTTTGAAGTCAGCGATTAAAATCAGTTTTGAAACATTTAGCTTGCCATCTTGATTGAAAATGGCATCCAGATATATCCAAACCTAGGTGAAAACCTGCTCCTCAGGAATAATCACCCAAAATGTGCTAATGATATCTTAAAAGGTGTCCGAATGCACAACTTTCCAAAATACTTTTTAAAAAACAAACAAACCCAAATGCATTGAAAAACATTGGAAAAAAACTTCTTTCATGTTGCTTTGATGGAACAACCTCCTGAAAACACCCAGAACAAAACAAACAAGCTGGTTGCATAACTTTGTATAAAGAAAAGCCGCGGTTTCAGCAACTTCTGTGTTTTCCCCACCTCCTGGAGAGTACAGGATCCGACCTGGCCACTTAGCACACGAGTGTGCTGACTTAGAAAAATGTGATAGCTCAGGATGAATTTCTCTTTCAGCCTGCCAACAGCATTAAGGATTTTCCTCATCTAGTTGCCAAATCCCTTCATTAGATTCATGAACTAAATGAGAGATAATCTGTGGAAATGACTGCTTATCTCCCTGCTACCAAACGTACAGCTCAGTAGGTAGAGCACGTGACTTTTAATGTAAGGGCTGTGGGTTTGAGCCTCACATTGGGCAGGAGTCCTGCATTGCAGAGGGTTGGACTAGAAGACCCTCAGGGTCCCTTCCAACTCTACAATTCTATGATTCTATACCAGGGTCTCCCAAGCTTGCATCTCCAGCTGTTTTAGGACAACAGTCCCCACCATCCCTGACCACTGGTCCAGCTAGCTAAGGATGATGGGAGTGGTAGTCCAAAAAACAGCTGGAGACCCAGGTTTGAGACACACAGTTCGATACCAATTCACCTCTCACATCACACACTTCGTACTCCAGATTAAGCTTTGTAGGATCTACATCAGTGCTGGGAAACCTGTGGCCCTCCAGATGTTGCTAGACTTCAACTCCCATTATCTCTGAATGCTGGGGGGAGGGTGTGTGCTGCTGATAGGGGCTGGATTCCAACAACATCTGGAAGGCCACAGGCTACCCAGCCCTGACCTACATTATGGATTTTCAAATCAAATTTAGGCAAAAAGGAGAACTTGCTCTTTGCAGAATTATTTCTTGTCCGCACCACAACAACTGCATTTCACATTAATTTCTGCAGAGCTACAATACTGCCCACTCAGTTCCATGTTGCCCCCGCCTTCCAAGAAGGAATGGGGGAGAACTTAAGAGCCCTAATGGACCAGGCTAAAAGCCCACCCAGTTCAGCATCCAGCTCTCACAATGGCCACCAGAAGCCTGGGAGTCCATCAGCAGGACATGGGGGCAACCCAATGTTCTCTGCTTGCAATTTCTAGCAACTGGTATACATGGGCTTGCTAAAACTTGTTGCTTAAACACGAAGGCAGGCTTGCAGGAACCACTCTGAGAAAGAGGTGTGAACCACTAGAAGGGACCCCCTTTCAAGAAGGCACTGTTTGTGTGGGCAAGCACCTCTCCATGGCCACTGTACTTTACAACCCTGCAATTCTCTGCAAAAGCAGAGTGGCAGCTCTAGAAAGGTTTGAAGACCAAAGCTTAGTGTGAATTTACAAGGCTGTGCACCTTAGCTCACTGGGCAGAGCATCTGCTTTGCATTTAGAAGGCTTCAGGTTCCATCCCTGACATCTCCAGGTAAGGCTAGGAGACAACTCTGGAGAGCTGTTGTCAGCCAGGATGCACGGCCAGATGTACCAGTGGTCTGACTTGGTATAAGCGAGCTTCCTACACTCCTAACTATATCTTGCATTTCAAATGTTCATTAGTTACCGTATTTTTCGCTCTATAGGACACACCGGACACACCGGATAGGAGGGAGAGAACAGGGGAAAAAAATTTCTCCCCCTCTCTGGTCAGCGCCCCTTCAGCGAAGTGGCAGGAGAAATGGAGCCCCTTCCATTTCTCCTCCTGCTTCACTGAAGGGGCGCTGCGCAGAGAGGGAAAACTGTGCAGCGCCTTTCCAGCGAAGCGAAGCCTGGAGAACAAGAGGGATCGGTGTGCACCGACCCCTTTTGCTCTCCAGGCTTCAGGCGGCTATCCGCAAGCCTTCGGAGTGCAGCAGGAGTTCTCGCTGCACTCCGAAGACCTGCGGATAGCTGCCTGAAGCCCCCGGAGCGCAGCGGGAGTTCCCGCTGCGCTCCGGGGCTCAGGCGGCTTCAGCGAAAGCAACGAAGCCTCTGGAGTGCGGCGGGAGCACTCCCACTGCGCTCGGAGGCTTCGTGTTGCTATCGCTGAAGCCAAGGAGCCTGCATTCGCTCCATAGGATGCACACACATTTCCCCTTAATTTTTGGAGGGGGAAAAGTGCGTCCTATAGAGCAAAAAATATGGTGTTTGCATATTTAGACGGCTGAGCTGATTAAAGTCTGTTCAGCAGCAGCAGACAATGCTAGGAAAAGCCAGTGTGGCTCCCCTCGCGATGCTGTTGAACTCCCCTAAAACCCCAGCCAACATGGCCAACAGGAACTGCTCTTGGCATCAGTCTGTCTCAAGAGGCAATGGAGTGAGCCTCCTCTCTGGGACGCAACCCTGGGCAGTGTGTATGGAGGTCCTGGGCTACCCAGACAACAAGAGTCTCCTAACAGCCTTCTTGGTGTGGCCCAAAGGACATCTGAGCAATACATTTGGCACCACCTTGGCTGCAGCAGTTGCTGGAAGGAGGAGTACAAGGCGCCATCCAACTGTCTTAGGGACTCTACTCTGGATTTGTGTTGGGTTTACTCCTGAGCCTTTTCTTCTTCCAAAGATGTCCCACAAAGCAGCAGGGATGGATTTTCCCTTGGGGTTTACTCCCGAAGCCTTTATCACGAATGAGTATAGCAGAGGTTTAGGACCAGAGTTTTCCTTCTCCTAGATGAGCTACCTTCCCAGGCTGACAAACCCCATCTGCCCCTCACCTCTTTCAACAGCTTATTCAAAAACCACCATCTTGACCATTGGACCCACTACTGGTCTCTTCATCCAATCTGTTAGAGCCTGTCTTCACATGCAGGGGAATTCCCTAATTCACCAAAGGTTTGAGACCCTTTGGCTACCCTCACTTAGTTTAGCCAGCTAGTTGAAGCAGTTTTCTGAGTTGTGACTGCTGTCACATGCTGACAGTTTCTAGGAGCCACAGGTGAGAGCTGAGTGCAGGGTAGGGACCAAAGGTGGACAAGCTATCACAGAAGGAGAATGTGCCAGGGGTGCTACCTTTCCCCTAATACCCCATACACTCCTCAGAAATGGTTGACCAACAAATATGGAGAACCCACACTGACACTTTGTGCTGAATTTCTTCTGAGATGATGAGCTGTGGCTTTTGGAGAAGAATGTTTTTATTAAACAATGCCTGACACACTACAAATCAATTATTTCCTATTATATAGGAATATAATTCTGGTATATTCTGCATTTCCTTTTTGGATGAAATGACCAGGAGATGGTCGCAACAACACATACACTTTGATTGATTGATTGATTGACTGACTGACTAATGGATGTTCATAAGTGGCAGGCTTAAGTGTAGTTTCAAGGGAATCTTAAAGATTTTAATTTATTTTTAAAATGCAATTAAATGTAAGCTGGATAAACTATTAAGGTGAATGCATAAGAAGTGAACTCCTATGAAGATCTGCTCAGAAGGAAGTACCTTAAGCTCAATGGGACTTACTCCCAGGTAAGTATGTATAGGATTGCAACCTAAATGTATGGGAAACAGTAAACACACGAAGCTGCCTTATATGAAGTCAGACCAGTGGTCTATCTAGTTCAGTATTGTCTACACTGACTGGCAGAAGCTCTCCAAGGTTTCAGGTGGATGGCATTCCCAGCCCTAGCTAGAACTGGACCTGAGACAACTGGCATGCTCTATCACTGAGCCAGAGCCCATTCAGTTGGATTTATCAGACTTGTTTGCTTTTCATGTTTCTCTCTGAATCCAGAAGAGCAAGAGATGTATATTTCCATTTTTTCACCCATCAAGCTCAGCCCTTGTTGGGGTCTCCTTCTTGGAGTTTTCACTAAAGCACACAACCCTTATGCCTCGGCGCTGTTGTTTTAACCTCTTAAACCACAGCACTCAGTGAACATTGGAAATAGAGATAATGCAATGCACTCTGAGAGCTTTAATTTGTTTTGCAGCCCAGGTCACCCTGTACCTGATTCTTAAGAGCAGTCTTTCAGAGAACTCCATACAAATCCATGAATATAAAATGCTTCCAAAGGCTTTCTAAAATTCCTAGTAAACAGCTATTCACTGTCATACGAAGAATGTAAAGCGAGCCCACTCTTATTTAGCAATGGCAGTACTTACTTCAAAGCGATGAGCTGACCCGTCAGAGAGCTTTAGTTGCATTAAAATGGATGGCTGCAAAGCCCGAGCCAATGAGCTGAAATCAATCACATTATTACCATTAGAGTTGCTAGGGGAACAAGGAAGACTTGGACATGAGTCCTTTACATGTAGTGCAAAACAACAACAACAACAACAACAACAACAACAAAACCCCACAGGCAGTATCTGCTACATTCCAGGGGAATGTGTGCCTTTAAGCTGGACAGGAAACCAGATCCAATTGATGGCCACCACAGCTGGACTCTACACGTAAGCAAATGTGGGTATATGGGTAAAAAATACAATGCAAATTTTCTTAAGTTATAACCACTATATGAAAAACACAGGTGTCAGGGCTGTCTTAAGCATATGCGGCACTGGGGTGCAAAGATCCGCCTGGCGCCCCCCCCCCATCCCCGTGCAACAAACGAGCCCGAGGCGTTGGCAACTGAGCGAAGCCAGGCGCCTCGTGGTGTGAGCAGCATGCACTGGGCGGGCCTCTCCACGGCCCTACACCAATCCCAGGCACGCAGGAGGGAGGAGCCAGCCGGCCACCTCAGTGCCTCGCTGGCTCGCTCGCCCCCGAACTCATGGTGCAGAGCTGCCCACAACAGAAGAGCCTGCAGCGGTGCTCCGACGGGTGGCCTCTTCCCCAGACTCCAACTCTTGGGCCCCAGACTCTTGGTCTGGAGCCCCTGAGAGCCTGGCTCCCGGGTGCCCCGCACCCTTGGCACCTATGGTTAAGACGGCCCTGACAGGTGTTCTTCCAACCATGCGCTCTTGGAGGAAACTGATTTTATATAACCATTTCAATGAAGGTCTAGGCCCATTTTGGCACAGAAGCTGCTTTTTTCATAGGCCTTTGGCTAATTAAACACTCTACAGCCTTTTAAACCGTGTGCGTGCGTGCGCATGTGTTATTGTTTTGTTTATTGTTAGGCTATGTATTTTTGTGTTTTTATACTGCAAACCGCCTTGTGATACTCTGAGGAAGAGCAGCATATAAGATTTAATAAATAAATAAAATAATTGACGAGCTCTCCACAGTTTAAAGCATGAAACAAGATGTATTCCTGGAGACTATGGTTACGTGCTTAAATAATCATTATTGCTGGTATCGTTTTATTGTTTCTTGTGACTTCATCATTCATATACTTCCCCCCCACCCCCCAATGAAAGAAAAACTGCTGGGGCTGCCCTATCAAAGGCTCAAACAGCTGGACTACTAACACAGTATATTACCTACTTTGACAGGCAACTGCTCTCTTAAGATCTCAGGAGCAAGCCTTTTCTTCTTCCTATCAGAGAAGTTTTTCACTGGAGATGCAAAGGACTGATCTAAGGTCCTTCCAACAAGCCAAAAAAGGTTCCATAACATTATAATCTATCCCATAGTATGATGTCAGCTGCTTTCAAACTGGTATTATGCCCCCCTCTAAATTCCTTAATTCCCCTAATGCTGGTCCCAGCTAAGTCCCACTCAGAGCAGAACCACTGAAATTAATGTGCATGACTAATTTTGCCCCATTGATTTCAGTGGGCCCAGGTTTCGTTGAATGCAACCTACTGCTCTCTCTCTCTCTCTCTCTCTCCTAGCAGTGGGATTCATTTCTGAAAGTGTTATGAGTATTAGCATTCCTCAGTAAGGATGCACTCTCAGCAAACTAGCACGCAGGAAGTCAACAGGGTGGCAGGGGAGAGAAGTTTCCCACTACAGTGGTACCTCGGGTTAAGTACTTAATTCGTTCCGGAGGTCCCTTCTTAACCTGAAACTGTTCTTAACCTGAAGAACCACTTTAGCTAATGGGGCCTCCTGCTGCCGCCGCGCCGCCGGAGCACGATTTCTGTTCTCATCCTGAAGCAAAGTTCTTAACCCGAGGTACTATTTCTGGGTTAGCGGAGTCTGTAACCTGAAGAGTACTGTATGTAACCTGAAGCATATGTAACCTGAGGTACCACTGCGTTTCTCATTTGCGGAAAATTTTTCCATTCCTGAAAATACACTGTTTCATAAAGCTAATTAGAAACAGGATGATTGCATGATGATATCACTCCAACTGGGCAGTTTCAAAAACAGTAATTCACTCTCTGCTACCCTGCAAAACAGGTGAAGGCCACCATCCCCTTACCTAATTAATACATGACCCTGGAAGCAACCTTGAGTCATTATTGTTTGTTCAAGGTTTTCTAGCTGGATGAGAACATCCCTGCCTTAGGTGTTCCTGCCGCTTTGTTTTTAAATTAATCCTTAGTTGTTTTTATGGCTATGCTTGGAAACCACCTTGAGCCTGATATGAAAGACAATCTGTAAAATAAATTAATGAATTTGTATTTGCAAAAGGGGGCGGCAGGGGAGTTGAAAGGTGTTAAAACTGAAGGAGTTTAAATTTGATTTGATTTGAAACCAAAAGCACACATAATTCAAACATGGAAAATTAGATCTAAATAGAGTTAGGGCATGTGGGGAAACGTTCTGATTGAAAGTTATCAAAACAACAGAGTCGGTGGAAGAAGATTGGAAGAAATTTAAAGACTACTTACAGAAATATTGTAAAATTAATGAATGTTAGAATGATGACGGATTGAAGTTAAGCGGTTTCTAGCAGTAATGGTTAAAAGAATGGAAAAATTGGTTTTTAATAGGTAAAAATTTAATGTTATAATATATTAAGATTAAAGATCAGGATTAAGAAGGAGGGAAAGAAATTGCTGGACTAACAAACTGAATTGGAATACAAAAGAGGGAGGTATGAGGAGGTCCGGGAAACAAGTAAACGTAAAAGAAGTGATGAAAAGATGGAATTGTTTTTAACTGTTTTTTCTTTTCTTTTTGTATTTTGTATTGTGTATTTTTCTTTTTATTGTTAATTTTTTTCTTTTTATTATTATTAATGCGGTCATTTTCTTGTGAAACTTTAATAAATATTATTTTTTTTTAAAAAAAGAAAGTTATCAAAACAACAACGGCAACCTCACATCGGCTGAGAAAGAAACCCATCTCTCTGAAAACAGGACAAGGACGTTATGGCAACCAAACTGAGGGAAGGGCCTTTCTGGAGCCAGCCTTGTTGAACACCCCCCAGAAGTAGAAAATGAATCACTGTGTGTGCCATTCTGCCAGCCAGTTGGCCTCTACCAAAATTAGAAAAGAAACCAGCAGATGCCAAGAGCTCTATGGCCAAGAATGAACTCTCCCCGTGCCTGTAGGTGAGGCTGTTGCCTGAGGATAAACAGGAAGTTTCTGGGGGAGCTGGCAAGGGATGGAAACCAAGAAGGAAGAAAACCCAAAAATGGAACCCACGTTCTCCAAGGAAGGACTATTTACACCTCCCAAAACAACTAAGGTGAAGAATATTTAGCTATGTGTTCTCCAGTCTTTCGCTGGTGCGCGATATATAATAAAATCCACTGTTATGATAGTACTGTTGACTCCAAATAAATAGAGGGATCCAGCTCCCTCAACAGCTCCTGTCAGGTCAGGTTTCTCTACCTAAAACATGTTCAGCAGATTACCGTGTTTTTCGCCCTATAGGACGCACTTTTCCCCCTCCAAAAATGAAGGGGAAATGTGTATGCGTCCTATGGGGCGAATGCAGGCTTTCGCTGAAGCCTGGAGAGCGAGAGGGGTCGGTGCGCACCGACACCTCTCGCTCTCCGGGCTTCAGGAAGCTATCCGCAAGCCGTGGGAGAGCTGTGTGAAATCGCACAGTTCTCCCACGGCATGTGGAGAGCTGCCTGCACCCTGAAGCCTGGGGGCATGCTGAGCTCAGCGTCCCCCAGGCTTCGGGCTTCGTGCAGCTCTCCCACGGCTTGTGGAGAGCTGCCTGTTCTGGGGGCTGGGGTCGGGGGAAGCTCGGGCTTCCCCTGCCCCAGCCCCGCACCTGGGGGGGGGGATTAAAAAAAAATTCTTTATTTCCCCCCCAAAAAACTAGGTGCGTCCTATGGGCCGGTGCACCCTATGGGCTGAAAAATACGGTACCTTGAGACACTGACTACCCGGCAACTACATAGAGCCTTTGTTGAACCAAGGTTCCAACAGATGCCTTCAGCATACTTAGAAGGGAGACACCCAGGAATTCCCAATATGGAACGCAAATGCATTTATGGATGCAATCAGGTCGAGGGTATCATGCAATACCTGCTGATTTGCCCCTTATAAACCGTATTTTTCGCTCTATAAGACACACATTACCCCCTCCAAAAATTAAGGGGAAATGTGTGTGTGTCCTATGGAGCAAATGCAGGCTCCTTGGCTTCAGCGATAGCAACGCGAAGCCTCCGAAGCACAGTGGGAGCGCTCCCGCCGCACTCCAGAGGCTTTGTGTTGCTTTCGCTGAAGCCTGGGAGAGCGAGAGGGGTCGGTGCGCACCGACCCTCTCGGTCTCCAGGCTTCAAAGATAGCTTCATGAAGACTCTGGAGCGCAGCGGGAGCTCCCGCTGCGCTCCAGAGGCTTTGGGTTCCTTTCGCTGAAGCGTAGGTGCCCCTTCAGCTAAGGCGCAGCACCCCTTCAGCAAAGCGGGAGGAGAAATGGACGGGGCTCCGTTTCTTCTGCCGCTTCACTGAAGGGGCGCTACGCAGAGAGGGGGAGAATTGTTTTTTCTTGTTCTCCCCCTCTAAAACAAGGTGCTGCCTATGGTCGGGTGCGTCCTATAGAGCGGGAAAAAAACGGTACAATGCACGGACAACTTTTTTTTATCTCCTCTTCTCAGGCTGATCCCCCTCAGGAAGTGACAGTCAAACGCCTAGGCTTAGCTGATAATAGATCTACAAATTACACACCTGGTAGCCAAATTTGCTCTGTTCCAGTTATGTTAATGCTTCCTAATTTTAAATATTAATGCTGCAAACTTTTTATGCTGCAAACTTTTATAGGTTACGTCGTGTGATTTCAGAGTCTTGCTCCTGCCTTTGTAAAGGCCTTTAGCTATACACAATAAATGGATTGATTGATTGATTGACTGACTGACTGACTTTCAGCAGACCAGCTCCCTACTTCCCTGTCTGCTACAGCCTGGAAAACTACCAACTATGAGAATGGCAGACTGTCAATTGGCAACAAGAACACAATCAGGGTCCCTCTGGGTTTACATCTGTCCTGGTGGTTAGGTTTTTCCTAAATGTGCTTGAGAAGGTGCTTATTTTTTAAGAATGGGGACGTCTCTGCTGCATGAATCCAAAGGCCTGTCCAGTCCAGCATTCTGTTCTCACAAAGGCCACCCTGAGGCCTATGGGAAGCCTGCAAGAAGGACACTCTCTTTCTCATGACCCCCAGCTACTGGAGGTAACACATAACCTTCATGCTCGTGTTTTCCTAACCAGGTGGGACCTGGCTGAGGGAAGATTTGAGTTGGGGAGGGGACGACACTTTTGCCATCTGCCCAAACTGGGCCAGCCTCCACAGACACCCACTGAAAATTCAGGCATGGGCTTCATATATCCTGTACCTGGTAGAAATGGCCACATCTACCCTCCACTTGAAGTCTTCAATTCTAGGCAGCTTACTAGCTTGCTTCTGAATGGCCTCTTCAAGAGCAGGTTGCCTGTTGGTGAGAAAAAAAGAAACGGCACTCAAGAAAGCAGGAGCAAGACTCTTCAGAGCAGTGGTGCAATGGAACCTTTGTACCTCAAGGGCCACATTCCCTTCTGGACAATTTTCCAGGGGGCCACACCCACCAGTGGGCAGGATCAGAGGCAAAAGCAGCTTGAGAGGCAAAAGCAAATTTTACCTTTGTATACCAAGCTAACTTTCTGCACACACTCACTTAGCTCTCTGCCCCCTTCATTCAGGCAAGCAAGCAAGAGAAATAGCCAAAGTTTAAGGGCAAATTCCAGCCAGGCAAAAACACTCAAGGAGGGTGTGCAGCAAGACACTGGTGTGGCATAGGGAGGGAGTGTGGCATAAGGCGGGTGTGTGGCCTGGAGAGAATCCCGAGGGCCGGACAGAGAGGTTGGGAGGGCCACATTTGGCCCCAGGGCCAGAGTTCACCAACATTGCTCCAGAGGCAATGAACTGGGAAAACTGGAGTATGACTTCAGTGAATAATCTAAAGAGTAAGGTATACTGCCATGACTAAGGAACATGGGCCAGTATCAGTGTCTGGGATATTAAGGGGATCCTCTTGGTACGTCCACCACCCACAAGAGAGGGCATTCTCTGTGGTAACCCCCTAATTCCCCCTCCTTAATTAGGGGGAACCAATAAACTTTCTGATAAATGGCTTGTTCAGAAATATATTAAATGAAAGAATAAGACCTTGTGGAGAGAAATATAGGTTAGGGAATGATGCAAATCTCAAGAAAGGGAAAGGGAAAAACTGAAAATCTGCAAACTTACCTGTTTCCAAAGACTACAGTGGCGAAGTCCACAATGAAATCTTCTGGAATCCTTAAAATAAAAGAGCAAATTGAGGCAAACGGCACATGAACCCCATTATGAAGTATGTCCTTCTCCCAATTATTAAAGGAAGAAAAGATAGTAGCTTACTGGATGTGGAATTGCATTTTAGGAAGTCCCCCATAAGGAAAGCCAGCACAACAACCTTGTGGTCAAACTATACAGAATCAAGTTTTTAAAGAGAGATTTTGGTTACTGGTATGTATTTCAGCCTAAGGGTCTTGGACAGCTGATTTTGTTATCACAAATGCTTCTCCGATGTTTTAATCCTCTAATGTTCAATTTCTGTTTTGAATTCTGTATATTGTATTTTGTAAGTTGGTTTGGGCCCCAGGTGGTGAAAAGTGGGGTATAGATTTTTTTAAAAAGATGAGTACAGAGGTGCCTCGCAAGACGAAATTAATCCGTTCCGCGAGTGTCTTCGTCTAGCGGTTTTTTCGTCTTGCGAAGCAACCCTATTAGCGGCTTAACGGATTAGCGCTATTAGCGGTTTAGCGGCTATTAAAGGCTTATTGGTTTAGCGGATTAGCTGCTAAAAGGCTATTAAAGGCTTAGCGGCTTAGATAAAGGGGGGGAAAGTGAAAAAAAATCTCAAGACTCGCAAGACATTTTCGTCTTGCGAAGCAAGCCCATAGGGAAATTCGTCCTGCGAAGCAACTCAAAAACGGAAAACCCTTTCGTCTAGCGGGTTTTCCGTCTTGCGAGGCATTCGTCTTGCGGGGCACCACTGTAAATGGAACAGGGAAGTTTCCCTAGCTGAGCGAAAACCTCACCCAGAACTTCAGGGTAGGAGAGGAGGCGAGAGGTGAAGGGGTTGGGGAGCCAACAGTTCACCAACGTAGCTGGTGATGGAGGCAGGAAGAAGAGTCTGTGGCTCAGTCTCCACTATACGTTTAAAGTGGTATCACACCAATTTAAACAGCCATAGTTTCCCCCAACGCGGGTGGCGCTGTGGGTTAAACCACAGAGCCTAGGACTTGCCAATCAGAAGGTCGGCGGTTCGAATCCCCACGACGGGGTGAGCTCCCGTTGCTCGGTCCCTGCTCCTGCCAACCTAGCAGTTCGAAAGCACCTCAAAGTGCAAGTAGATAAATAGGTACTGCTCCGGCAGGAAGGTAAACAGCATTTCTGTGCGCTGCTCTGGTTCTCCAGAAGCGTCTTAGTCATGCTGGTGACATCACCCAGAAGCTGTACACCGGCTCCCTCGGCCAATAAAGCGAGATGAGCGCCACAACCCCAGAGTTGGTTACGACTGGACCTAATGGTCAGGGGTCCCTTTACCCTTTACCTTAGTTTTCCCCAAAGAATCCTGGGAACTGGCATTTAGGAAACCCCTATCCTGCACAAAGAGCTACAACTTCCAGAGTGGTTTAACAATCAATCCCTCTTGCCAAGGAACAAGTAGCCCTAGGCAAGTTAAGGGGTGGGTGTGTCTCTGAACAACATTCAGCACCCTTAACAAACTACACTATCCAGGATTCTTTGGGGGAAAGCCATGGTTGTTTAAAGTGGTATGATACAGCATTAATGCAACAGTGCTGATGCATTTTTAAACCCCAGCCAAATCTTTGCCAGCAGGTCTCTCTCATTTTCTCTCTCTTGCTATGTCCAATGACAGGAAGTTTCAAATGCAGCCTCTGCAGCACTTTAGTGCTTATGCAAAGCCTTTGCTCTACGCCACCCGGCAGAGATTTTGACTAAGTACACGTAACAAATGGCATATTTTGCTTGCTAATTAGAACAAGCGATCACACCCAGACAATACAGGCGGATTCTGCTTGTTATATCACCGTCCTTTGAAAACAGAAGGAAATGTTTTAAAAGTAGGACAGGGCGTCTCATTCAGAAATACCAACTGTCTTGCTATTAACAACAATAAAAAGTTTGTGTGTGTGTGTGTGAGGGAAGGTATTAGTGGGTAATTACATGCATGCGAGAAAGATATAATTTAGGAGAACTGATAGAGGCCCATCTCTTCTATATAACATGCACTCAGCAACACATCAAAAGAAAAGGACATGTTATACAACATCAGGGTGATTCTCCTGGCTTCCAATGAGCTCATTAGTAAACTATTACATGCAAAATTCCATCTGAGTGGGACGACAGGGCAATGCTTCTCTCCTAAGCACCAATAATCTCTTTTGTGATAGTTGGGGGTGGGGAGAAGAAGCTGCCAGCCATATTTCATCAGCTGATTTGTAATATTAACAGGCTAATGAATTAGCCTGCCTGAAAACAGATGAAGCAGAGACCAAGCCCACTTCTACACTATACAGCCAAAGCGTTACGATACCATTTTAACCAGGCATGGCTTCACCCAAAGCATCGTGGGAACTGTAGTTCGTTAAGGATGCTGCTAGGATGCCCCTATTTCCCTCGCACAGCTAAACTTCAGAGACTTCCCTGGGATAAGGGATTATTAAAGCACTCTGGGAATTGTGGCTATGTGAGGGGAATGTGTGTATGTGTGTGTGGGGGGGGGGTGTTTCCTGACCCTCTGTGCCCTTAGAGCAAACTACAGTTACCAGGATGCTTGTTTAAAATGATATCATTGTGATTTAAGTTTACATAGTAAATGGGGCCCTACGCTTAAAGTTTTATTTATTTATTGTATTTTATATACTGCCTTTAGGGACGTGGGTGGTGTTGTGGGTTAAACCACAGAGCCTAGGACTTGCTGATCAGAAGGTCGGCGGTTCGAATCCCCGCGACGGGGTGAGCTCCCGTTGCTCGGTCCCTGCTCCTGCCCACCTAGCAGTTCGAAAGCATGTCAAAGTGCAAGTAGAGAAATAGGTACCGCTCCGGCGGGAAGGTAAACGGCGTTTCCGTGTGCTGCTCTGGTTCGCCAGAAGCGGCTTAGTCATGCTGGCCACATGACCCAGAAGCTGTCTGCGGACAAACACCGGCTCCCTCGGCCTATAGAGCGGCCCTGTGAGGTGGGTTAGGTGAAGAGATGCTAACTGGCTGAAGGTCACCCAGGGAGCTTCATGGCTGAGTGGGGATTCAAACCCTGCACCCCCAGGTCCTACTCCTGACCATTGCGCTTTGTGTTTCAGCTGGTTGGAGTAAGCCTAGCAGCCTACAACTGAAACCTGAAATCTGTCAAGTTCTTCGACTCCAGAACCGTGCTCTCTCCCTCTTACTCTGTGTGTACTGTGGCCTAACAAAATGTCTTCCTTAGCTCCCACTAACACTGAGTGATCAACTGTTTGTGTAATTTTAAGAAAACCTGCCCCATTTCCAAGACCTCACTATTCTCTCTTTGCAGAGGGCAGTGGAGCATAAAAGTCTTATGCTCCCTCCATGTGCTCTGGAATGTAGGTGCTGCCTGTTGACATCACACACACTTGACTAGCCCCGCTCAAGATATCCATGTGTTGAGAATGGGCACCCGTAGTTTAGGTTCCCATGAGCTGACTCCAAAATGCTTTGAAACCCATGCCTCAAGGATGCTGGAGGCGGGGCCAACAGGGCATCCCCCAACCACTGCTCCCATCAACATGTGGAGCCTTGCTTCATCCAAGTAACACGTGAAGGGGCTCTATGGCAGGGGTGAGGAGCTTGAAGCCTGCGGGTATAATGTGGCCCTCCAAGCCTCTCCATCTGCCCCTCAGGAGTCTTTCCAGGTCACTGTCCCTGAGCTGTGCCACTCTCAGGTATGCATTCCAAGCTGGAAAGTATTTCTCAACCATGATAATGCTTCTTGCTTTCCTGGTGGGAGAGAGGGAGGTGGAAGTATTTGTGTGTGCCACATGGAGAAAGAGAGAGCAGAAATTCAGTCTACCGTACAAAAGGTACGAGTCACACCTGTTGCTCCAACTACTTTTGCATCTGGTATCACCCACCACGGGGATGCAGTCCCCCTCCCCCCAGAAGTCTAGTTCTTCTTGGGCTGGGGAAAAAAGTTTCCCACCCCTTGCTTTTCAGAAACCACTTATGCATCAGGTTTGACACAAGCAACTGGCAGATTGACCAAAAAACAGGCATACCTGAGCTCCTGTAGGTCTTCTTTAAAAACCTGCAAAACGAAAAGACAAGGAGAGTTCAAGGAGAGTTTCTGCAAGAACAAGGGTGGGTGCCCCTCAGACGTCTGGGAAACTGGAAAGGGATCCAGAAGACAGTGAAACCGCCCCCCCCCCCCCGGCAACTGATGCATCCAAACCTCAGGGTGAGAGTATGCCAAGTCTGGGTGACCCAAGATAGGCAGCTTTCATGAGTGGCTGACACCACACACCCGAACAGTTGAAACCGTTCCCGGGGTGTGGCCTCTGTTGCATGCTGACAGCGTCTAGGAGCCAGAGGTCAGAGCTGAGTGCAGGGTGGGGAGCAAGGGTGGACAAACTGCCCAGAAAAAGGAGTACGTGTCCCCTGCCAGAGCTAGCTCAGTACTGTCTACACTGATGGGCAGCAGCTCTCTAGGATTTTAGGCAGAATTATTCCCCTGCCCTAACCTGGGAAATGGGACACGGGGGGGGTGTGTGTGTGTGCTGTGAGTTAAACCACAGAGCCTAGGACTTGCCGATCAGAAGGTCGGCGGTTTGATTCCCCGCAACGGAGTGAGCTCCCGTTGCTGGGTCCCTGCTCCTGCCCACCTAGCAGTTCGAAAGCATGTCAAAGTGCAAGTAGATAAATAGGTACCACTCCAGCGGGAAGGTAAACGGCATTTCCGTGCGCTGCTCTGGTTTGCCAGAAGCGGCTTAGTCATGCTGGCCACATGACCCGGAAGCTGTACGCCGGCTCCCTCGGCCAATAAAGCGAGATGAGCGCCGCAACCCCAGAGTCGGCCATGACTGGGCCTAATGGGAAATAGCAGTACAGTCATACCCCTGGTTACATCCACTTCATGTTCTTTCAGGATACGTCCCGCAGCGACCCGGAAGTACCGGAAACGGTTACTTCCGGGTTTCACTGCTCGCGCATGCGCAGACACGCAAAATGGCACGCGCAGAAGTGGCGAATCGTGACCCGCACAGACGCGGGCTGCGTTCTGCTCATGTTGCGAACGGGGCTCTGGAATGGATCCTGTTCGCAACCAGGGGTACCACTGTAATTGAACCTCAGACCTCCTACACGCGAAGCAATTGCTTTACGACTGAGCTAAAACATCTGGAGGGTCACAGGTTCCCCATCCCTTTTTTGGAGCTACCATCTTGCTCATCTCACAGTTTAGCACATACATAGTTTTTATTGAGGAATGTGTATGCCTTCTACTCACTTCTTGCTTCAGAGACGATGTGGGCAGCCTCAAGGCCTCTCGCAGGAGAGTATACATTCCAGAGATGAGGACAGCAAGCTGTTCATCTGATAGTTTTGCATTCTCGGCAATCACTTTTACCAGTTCTTTGCAGTCTTTTCCTTCTAAGGCGCTGACAGTGACTGTTTGGCAAAATAACGATAAAGGTTAAGTTATCAACTTTGGCAGAGTCCCGCAAGTACAAGCAAATAATTTCACCATGATCAAAAGCCCCTGGGAAAAGACTAGCGACTTTGTTTTTTTTTTTTTTTTTGTAAATAATTTTTATTTCAGTTTTGAACAACAAAGGAAGAAAAGAAAAACATACACAATACACATCTCAAAAAAAGAAAAGAAAAAAAGACAACAAGAACACGCAGAAAAGAACACAATTCAACAATAAAAAACAAAAAACCTAACAATTAAAAACAATATCTCTTTTCCATTTCCGTTTTTTTAGTTTACTTATTTTCTGGACTTCCTCATACCTCCCTCTTTTGTATTCCAATCCAAATTGTTTGTCCAGCTATTTCTTTTCAACTTTTTTAATCCCAATCTTTAACTTTAATATAATATTGTAATATATATCTTCAATTTCTTTAAACCCGATCTTTAATCTTAATATAATATAACATTAAAATTTTCCCTCTTAGTTGTCAGATTTCCATTTCTTTAAACATTTTTAATCCTAATCTTAATCTTATTCTATCATTAACTTTAACCTGTACAGCTGGAAACCGCTTATTTTCAATCCAACATCACTCTAACATTCTTTAATTTTACAATGTTTCTGAAGATAGTCTTTGAATTTCTTCCAATCTTCCTCCACCGACTCTTCTCCCTGGTCCCGGATTCTACCAGTCATTTCCGCCAGTTCCATATAGTCCATAAGTTTCATCTGCCATTCCTCCAGTGTGGGAAGTTCTTGTGTCTTCCAATATTTTGTGATGAGTATTCTTGCTGCTGTTGTTGCATACATAAAGAAAGTTCTATCCTTTTTTAACACCATTTGGCCGACTATGCCCAGGAGAAAGGCCTTTGGTTTCTTAGGGAAGGTATATTTGAATACCTTTTTTAATTCATTATATATCATTTCCCAGAAAACCTTAATCTTTGGGCACGTCCACCAAAGGTGAAAAAATGTACCTTCAGTTTCTTTACATTTCCAACATTTGTTATCGGGCAGGTGATAAATTTTTGCAAGCTTGACTGGGGTTATGTACCACCTGTACATCATTTTCATAATATTCTCTCTTAAGGCATTACGTGCTGTAAATTTCATACCCGTGGTCCACAACTGTTCCCAGTCAGCAAACATAATGTTATGTCCAATGTCCTGTGCCCATTTAATCATAGCCGATTTTACCGTTTCATCCTGAGTATTCCATTTCAGCAGCAAGTTATACATTCTTGACAAATTCTTAGTTTTGGGTTCTAACAGTTCTGTTTCTAATTTTGATCTTTCCACCTGGAAGCCAATTTTCCTGTCCAATTTAAATGCCTCCATTATCTGATAATAATGAAGCCAGTCTCGCACTTTGTTTTTTAGTTTTTCAAAACTCTGCAATTTCAGTCTATCTCCATCTAAGACTAGCAACTTTGCAACAGCAGCAGCATCTAGGGATCTGACACCATCTAGTCGTGCTTTAAAGGGGGAGGTTTGTGCACAAAACAGGGGAGGGAAATTTAAATGGGAAAGAACAGCATACAAACTTCAGAAGAGCCCTTTTGAATCTGGCCAATGGCCAATCTAGTCCAGCATCCTGTTCTCACAGTGGCCATCACCAGATGCCTGCCAACTGGACCTGAGCAGAACACCACTCTCCCACTTGTCACTCTCAGCAAACTGACATTCAGAGGCAAACTACCTTGAACAGTGGAGGCAGAACATAACCATGTGGTTTAGCTGTAAATAACTTTCGGAAGAGTCTCATTCAGTGTTTTTTTTCTTTAAAAAATGTTTAGGGATACAGTGGTACCTCGGGTTAAAAACTTAATTCATTCTGGAGGTCTGTCCTTAACCTGAAACTGTTCTTAACCTGAAGCACCACTTTAGCTAATGGGGCCTCCCGCTGCCACCGCGCTGCCAGAGCACGATATCTGTTCTCATCCTGAAGCAAAGTTCTTAACCCAAGGTACTATTTCTGTGCTAGCGGAGTCTGTAACCTGAAGTGTATGTAACCTGAAGCGTATGTAACCCAAGGTACAACTGTACTCTAATTTTGACTCAAGAAAATCACCATTTTATAGTCATACCTTGGGTTACAGACGCTTCAGGTTATGTTTTTTCAGGTTGCAGACCGCCAAAACCTGGAAGTATCGGAATGGGTTACTTCGGGGTTTCAGCGGTCGTGCATGCGCAGAAGCTCTAAATCACGCTTTGTGCATGTGCAGACATGCTGAATCGCAACCTGTGCATGCACAGATGCGCCGCTGCGGGTTGCGAACGTGCATCCTGCACGGATCACGTTCGCAACCCAAGCGTCCACTGTATAGTTCAAATCGGGGAAAATAAATACAGCAAATGGACAAAAGTAAAAAGATTCACAAAATGTTTAGGGGCATGTGTACCCCTGTGTCTCCCCAGGAAAAAAAAGCACTGGTCCCATTTATTCCCACTACTGTGGATAACTGCTCCCTCTAACAGCAAATGCAGCTGCTGAGTGTCAACAGGATTAAAACCCAAACCTGGAAACTGAGAAACAAGAGAGGTATCCGTATACTCAGGGAAACACCAAGGTTTGCAAAGTACAAAAGAAAAAGGGTGAAAAATCCTAAACACACTTCAGTGAGGGGGCAACCATTCTACACCCCCAAACCCCACCCCCAAAAATTCAGCCTAATGAGGAATGAACATACTTTATGACCACAGAATGTTAGGGGTGTACAGGGGCAGGGAATGGAATCAGTGTTCGAAATTAGCCAGGTGCCAGGCACCTTTTGCACCTGACTTTTGACCACTTGCGACCAAGTGAAGATTCCGGGGTGCCAGTATGGCACCTGACAGCTCCACCACCTAGAGGTGCATGCCTGGGAATCATTGGATCTGGACTGTTTTCACACACTAATACTCGATACTGCAGAATTCTATGTTATATTTTATTTACACCAGTGGTTTCAACCAGTGTGCTGTAAACCCCTTGAAGGATGGTCATGGGTGACGCAAGCAACACTGGCCTCTGTCCCTCTTTCCCATCCTCCCTCCTCTGATGCCCTTTTGCATCTCTGCCCCCCCCCCCAGCTTGCACAGCTGTTTGTTCCAGCAGCCCTGGCTACAAGCTCCCAAGGTGAATGGTGCCTCCGGGGCTGGCCAGGGGGTGCTGGTTGCCAGGAGATGAGCAAGCAAGCAAGTGGATAAGAGAGCCCAGCCAGCTACTCCACCAACCCTTGCTGTTGGGAATGGACAGACAAGTGGGAGACCAGGCAGACAGGCAGGCACTGCACTGGCCTTTCTTGTGCTTGCTGTGTGCAAGGCCTGCCTGGGAGCTGAGTGCCTGGTGCTGAAGGGGAGACAGTCTGTCTTGGCAGTGCCTGCTGCTGCCACTGCTGCCTCCCGAGGTAAGGTGCTCGCCTCACGTTCACCTTTGCCCACTCTCCATTAGCCCACTAAGGCTGGGGGCATCCTCCGCCAGGCCCCTATGGGCAGTGTGAGGAGGCACCTTTCTTTGGGGCTGGGTGGGGGGTAGCTCAAGAACCAGGGGCAACAGCAGCGGCTACCCAGAGGACTCCCAAGGAGAGGGGAGGGGAGGCTGGGGTAACTCTACAAGGGAGGGTGAGAGGCTGCCAGCTCTGCAGGCAAGGGGTGACATAACTAGGCTCCTGAGCCCCACAGGTGTAAGGCAGAAAGAATGCAGTTGGTCAAGGGAGCCACGGATTCAAAAGGGTTGAAAACCTCTGCTTTACACAATCAGAATGAATTTCTGCAGCCAAAATGCCTTTTCTGTGCAGCCTGGGCAGTATACAATATGCAGTATACAATAAAAAGAAAAACAACAACCCAATAGCCCCCCCCCCCCCCCACAACAAAAACAGCAACACATTTTAAAAGGGCATACTATGTAAATTGATCAACCAAAGGCCTGGTTAAAAAGGAACACTTTTGCCGGGCGCCTAAAGGTGTATAATGAAGGTGCCAGGTGAACTTCCGTGGGGAGAGCATTCCACAGACGGGGAGCCGCTGCAGAGAAGGCCCCTTACCGTGTTGCCACCCTCTGGACTTCATGTGGAGGAGGCACACAAAGGAGGGTCTCAGAAGATGATATCAGGGTGTGGGTATAGGATTGAGTCTTGCGGAACCCCACAATGAAGGTCCACAAGGCTGAAAAGCATTCCCCAAGTAATTAATTCTTCTGTGGTGAACATTTGTGCAAGCACTCCCCCTTATGGTAAAAAATTGAACTAGAATTGCAACAATAATTTTAAGACTACTATTTTTAAGCACGTCAAAGTGCAAGTAGATACCACTCCGGCGGGAAGATAAACAGCGTTTCCGTCCGCTGCTCTGGTTCGCCAGAAGCGGTTTAGTCATGCTGGCCGCATGACCCGGAAGCTGTACGCCGGCTTCCTCGGCCAATAAAGCGAGATGAGCGCCGCAACCCCAGAGTCGTCCTTTACCTTTTTTATTTTTCGCACTATTTTGTGGCGTTTACACAGGCCTAGTAAAGGGACTGTCCTAATACGGATTTTAGAATTCTTCTAAAGTGTGAACATAGTAACTTTTATTCTTGGTGTGACAAAATAAACGTGTGGCTATAGCTCTGTCTTTCACTATGTGAAGTACGGATATAGCCAGGATTTTTTTTTGGGGGGGGCAGCCAAAGTTCATGAATTTTTTTTAGGATGTCAATGTTGTTGAGCTTGGAGATCACAGGGAAAAATACCTGTGAAGAGGACATTACAGATGGCATTATTATATAGTTTCATTATCTTTTATATTTATATATTTAATTGCACCTTTTCCCCTGAGGGAACTCAAGCATAGAAAAAGTTATCATTAAAAAGCAATGAAATATTAATAGAATAAAAACTATATACATATGTAAAATCTGTTTTGTGTTTTGATCCTGCAACACCCTGGCCACCAAATTCTGCACCAGCTGAAGTTTCCAAACCGTCCTCAGAGACAGAACAGTCTCGGGTTAAGAACGGACCTCCATAACGAATTAAATTCTTAACCCGAGGTACCACTGTAATTACCGGTAATTCTTCCATGGTGAACATTTGTGGAATCACTCCCCCTTATGGTAAAAAATGGAACTAGAATTGCAACAATAATTTTAAGACTCAACTATTTTTAAGCACATCAACGTACAGTGGTACCTCGAGTTACAGACGCTTCAGGTTACAGACACTTCAGGTTACAGACTCTGCTAACCCAGAAATAGTACCTCGGGTTAAGAACTTTGCTTCAGGAAATCGCATTCCGGAGCCCCTTTTGCAACCGGAGCAGAATGCAACCCGCATCTGTGCGTCTTTGGGTCACGATTCACCGCTTCTGTGCATGCGCATGATGTCATTTTGATCATCTGCGCATGCACGAATGGCAAAACCCGGAAGTAACCTGTTCCGGTACTTCCGTGTCAGCTCAGGACGCAACCTAAAAAGATTTAACCCGAAGTGTCTTTAACCCGAGGTATGACTGTAATTAATTCTTCCATGGTGAACATTTGTGCAAGCACTCCCCCTTATGGTAAAAAATGGAACTAGAATTGCAACAATAATTTTAAGACTTTACTATTTTTAAGCACATTGAAGTACTAGTAGATAAATAAGTACCGCTCCGGCGAGAAGGTAAACGGCGTTTCCGTGCACTGCTCTGGTTCGCCAAAAGCGGCTTAGTTATGCTGGCCACATGACACGGAAAAACTGTCTGCGGTCAAACATCAGCTCCCTTGGCCAGTAAAGCGAGATGAGCGCCACAACCCCAGAGACGTCTGCAACTGCACTTAACTGTCAGGGGTACTTTACATTTTTTATTTTTCACACTATTTCATGGCATTTACACAGGCCGAGTAAAGAGACTGTCCGAATACGGATTTTAGAATTCTTCTGAAAGTGTTAACCTTTATTCTTGGTGTGACAAAATAAACATGTGGCTATAGCTCTCTCTTTCATTTTCCTGGGTATAGCCAGGATTTTTTTTGGGTGGGGGCAGCCAAAGTTCCTGAATTTTTTTTAGGATGTCTATGTTGTTGAGCTTGGAGATCACAGGGAAAAATTACAGGGGGCATTATTATATAGTTTAATTATCTTTTATATTTATATAAATTGCACCTTTTCCCCTGATGGAACTCAAGCACAGAAAAAGCTATCATTAAAAAGCAATGAAATATTAATAGAATTAAAACTATATACATATGTAAAATCTGTTTCGTATTTTGGTCCTGGGATAACCTGGCCACCAAATTTTGCACCAGTTGAAGTTTCCAAGCCGTCTTCAGAGGCAGCCTCACCTCTGACACATTGCAGTAATCTAACCGAGAGGTTACCAGAGCATAGACAACAGTAGTTAAGCTATCCCTGTCCAGACAGGGGCGTTGCTGGGCCACCAGCCCAAGCTGATGGAAAGAACGCTGGGCCACTGAGGCCACCTGAGCCTTGAGTGACAGCAAAGGATCCAGGATTGCCCCCAAGCTGTGAACCTGCTTCTTCAGGGAAAGTGTAACACCATCAAGAGCAGGCGATCTCCCACCCATCAAGTCTAGGGAACCACCCACTAACAGTGCTTCAGTCTAATCTGGATTGCGCTTCAGTTTGTTGGCTCTCATCCAGTCCATTACTGAGGCAAGACCCTGGTCCAGCACTTCCACTGTCTCACCTGCAGATGTAAAGGAGAACTAGAGCGGAGTGTCATCAGCATACTGCTGACAACGTACTCCAAACCTCCAGATAACCCCACCCAGTGGTTTCATGTAGACGTTAAACAACATGGGGGACAGGACTGAGCCCTGCGGAACCCCACATTGAAGGTTCCATGGAGCTGAAAAGCATTCCCCAAGTACAGTGGTACCTCTGGTTACAGACACTTCAGGTTACAGACTCTGCTAACCCAGAAACAGTACCTCGGGTTAAGAACTTTGCTTCAGGATGAGAACAGAAATTGTGCAGCGGCGGTGCAGCAGCAGTGGGAGGCCTCATTAGCTAAAGTGGTACCTCAGGTTAAGAACAGTCTCGGGTTAAGAACGGACCTCCATAACAAATTAAATTCTTGACCCGAGGTACCACTGTAATTACCTGTAATTCTTCCGTGGAGAACATTTGTGCAAGCACTCCTCCTTAGGGTAAAAAATGGAACTAGAATTGCAACAATAATTTTAAGACTCAACGATTTTTAAGCACATCAAAGTACAGTGGTACCTCGGATTACAGATGCTTAAGGTTACAGACACTTCGGATTACAGACTCCGCTAACCCAGAAATAGTACCTCGGGTTAAGAACTTTGCTTCAGAATGAGAACAGAAATCGCGTTCCGGAGCCCCTTTTGCAACCGGAGCAGAAAGCAACCCACATCTGTGCGTCTCTGGGTCGCGATTCACCGCTTCTGTGCCTGTGTATGATGTCATTCTGAGCATCTACACATGCGCGAATGGCAAAACCAGGAAGTAACCCGTTCCGGTACTTCCGTGTCACCGCGGGACGCAACCTGAAAAGATTTAACTGAAGAGCATTTAACCCGAGGTATGACTGTAATTAATTCTTCCATGGTAAACATTTGTGCAAGGACTCCCCCTTATGGTAAAAAATGGAACTAGAATTACAACAATAATTTTAAGACTCAACTATTTTTAAGCACATCAAAGTACTAGTAGATAAATAAGTATATGTGGACTGTCCCTGGATCAACTGACTTTTCTTCCTTAAATTCTCAAAGCTCTTAACTTGGCTTAAAACTGTCCTATTATCTAGCCAGATGTTTAACTGAGAATCAGTCACAGTCATTCCAATGAATATGAGAGGCACCTGTGTTTAGGCTCATTATTCCAGGACTTCTAACAAGTTCCCACGCAACCCACAAGCCAATCCTAAAGAGACTATATCACACCACCACTGGAAAAAAACAACTTCAAATCAGGAACCAGCATAGTAACCAGGCAAGAAAGGATCTGCCAATTATGGTTCTCGCAGTTTCTTTTTTCCAATCTTAAATGCAGTTCTCCACATTTTGCAGGAATTTGAATTAAAACAAAACTCATGAAAATGCATCAGTACTTTAGTGTGAAGTTTCCCTAATAAACACATTTTTACATGCAGTATTGACTTATGTACACATGTTGGCAAGTAACTTCCCCAAATGTAATGCAGTTTTGTATGTTATTTTTACCAATATATCCATTTTGATGCACACTTCTTCAATTGAAAGAAGTACAACTCACTATTTTAATTACAAAGCAGATTTCATTTCATTTCATTTCATTTATTTATTTATTGAATGAATTTATATACCGCCCTATACCTGGGGGTCTCAGGGCAGTTCAAGGAATAAAATCAAGATATAAAACCACAAAATATATAATAAAAAGAAAAACAACAACTCAATAGCGCCCCCCCACAAAAAAAACAATTTTAAAAGGGCACAGTATGTAAATCAGATCAACCCAAGGACTAGTTTAAAAGGAACGTTTTTGCCTGGCACCTAAAGGTGTATAATGAAGACGCCAGGCAAATTTCCCCGGGGAGAGCATTCCATGGACAGGGAGCCACTGCAGAGAAGGCCCTGTTCTCATGTTGCCACCCTCTGGACCTCTCAAGGGGGAGGCACACGAAGGAGGACCTCAGAAGATGATCTCAGGGTCCGGGTAGGTTCAGATGGAAAGAGGCGGTCCTGAGCCATTTAAGGCTTTATAGGTCAAAACCAGCACTTTGAATTGGGCCCGGAAACTAAATGGTAGCCAGTGTAGTCGGACCAGGATCGGTGTAATGCTCAAACTGTCTTGCTCTGATGAGCAACCTGACAGCTGAATTCTGCACCAGCTGAAATTTCCAAACTGTCCTCAGAGGCTGCCCCACGTATAACGCATTGCAGTAATCTAACCTTGAGGTTATCAGAGCATAGAGAACAGTAGTTAGACTATCCCTGTCCAGATAGGGGCGTAGCTGGGCCACCAGCCCAAGCTGATGGAAGGCGCTCTGGGCCACTGAGGCCACCTGAGCCTCGAGCGACAGCAAAGGATCCAGGAGTGCCCCCAAGCTGTGAACCTGCTTCTTCAGGGGAAGTGTAACCCCATCAAGAGCAGGCGACCTCCCACCCATCAAGTCTAGGGAACCACCCACTAACAGTGTCCCAGTCTTATCAGGATTGAGCTTCAGTTTGTTGGCTCTCATCCAGTCCATTACTGAGGCAAGACCCTGGTCCAGCACTTACACTGTCTCACCTGCAGATGTGAAGGAGAACTAGAGCGGAGTGTCATCAGCATACTGCTGACAACGTACTCCAAACCTCCAGATAATCCCACCCAGTGATTTCATGTAGAGGTTAAGCAACATGGGGGAAAGGACTGAGCCCTGCAGAACCCCACATTGAAGGTTCCATGGGGCTGAAAAGCATTCCCCAAGAAATTAATTCTTCCGTGGTGAACATTTGTGCAAGCACTCCCCCTTATGGTAAAAAATGGAACTAGAATTGCAACAATAATTTTAAGACTCAACTATTTTTAAGCACATCAAAGTACAGTGGTACCTAGGATTACAGACGCTTCAGGTTACAGACACTTCAGGTTACAGACTCTGCTAACCCAGAAATAGTTCCTCGGGTTAAGAACTTTGCTTCAGGATGAGAACAGAAATTGTGTGATGGCGGCACAGTGGCAGTGGGAGGTCCCATTAGCTGAAGTGGCACCTCAGGTTAAGAACAGAGACAGATTAAGAATGGACCTCCAGAACGAATTAAATTCTTAACCTCAGGTACCACTGTACTAGCAGATAAATAGGTACCGCTCCAGCAGGAAGGTAAACGATGTTTCCGTGCACTATTCTGGCTTCACCAGAAGTGGCTTACTCATGCTGGCCACATGACCTGGAAAAACTGTCTGAGGATAAACGCCGGCTCCCTCGGCGCATAGAGCAAGATGAGCGCCGCAACCCCAGAGTCGTTTGCGACTGGACTTAACTCTCACGTTTCCCTTGTCTCTCTCTCTCCACAAAGGTCATCATACAGGGTAACCAAAGCAGTTTCTGTGGCAAAACCAGGCCAAACCCTGTTCCAGGAAATCAGTTTCTTCCAAAAGTGCCTGGATCTGGTGTGCGACCACTTGCTCCGGATCCTTGCCCAGGAAAGGGGGCTAAGCAACTGGCGGGCAGATTGCAACAAACGGAAACATGCAAGTAAAATTATACCACCCAGTTTATAAGAAGCGCAACAAACTGTTTTAATGGTAAAACTGATTAACAATATTTCCTGTGGCCATCACATTAACCTGTCAGTTTCACATCGCAACGTTGGAAGCAATCCGCAAGAAACTTAAGCAGTTAAGATAGAAGCACAAAAGCAGTAACAGCAAGATGTCCTGCTGTCAAGAGCAACTGACGGGAGCGTGAGGAAAGGGCCACGCAGAGCCTACGACCAAGCTCACTTCAGGATCGCTGGAAGGAGGTTAAGCTAACCAGCGCCTAAGCAGGATAAGCTCTCAAAGGCAAGAACTCGTTCCCTGCGGGCACTGATTCCCACCCCTCTACCTGTCCTGCCGGCAAAGCGTTTGTTTACCTTTGAGGAGTTTGCGAAAGGTTTCCTTGTCCAGCTCCCGAACGCTCCTGGCCATCGCTTCCACCTCTGCGGGTATCCGAGCCCCCAGAAAGCTGACCCTGCTGAGGTTAGTCTCGAGTCCCGAGTGCTGGTAATGGGGTAACAGGGCCTTCGCAATCGCAGCCATGGCAGCAGGAGCCCCCTCTGCAAGGCTTTGCAAAAAGGAAAAAAAAAAAATGCAGGCCCGGCTGTCAAGTCACGTGACTCTCCTCTTCCCGGGGAACGTTCTATTTCATTCGAGCGCCCCCTAATGGCCCAAAGTCCGAAATGAAGGATGGGAGAAAGCTTGTTTTCTCCTGTTCTGGAGCGCAGAATTCGAACCAATGGCAAGGCAGGAGATTCCGACGAAACATCAGGAATAACTTTCTGTCAGTGAGAGCTGTTTGACGGTGCAACAGACTCCCACGAGAGGAGGCGGCCTCTGCTTCCTTGTAGGTTGGATGGCCATCTGTCCTGGATGCTTTAGTTGAGATCCCTGCATTGCGCGGGGTTAGACTACAGGACCTTTGGTGTCCCTTCCGACTTTATGATTCTGTGATTCTACGAATTTGTCTGTCTTCGGGAGGTAAAGGGTAAAAGCTCGCGCCCCGACAAAGAGCGTCCGTCTGCATACTTGTAAATCCATCGTTTGATAACTGCAACGGTAATAGCGTCCTGTGAGGCATGAATAGGACACTCCGCATATAATGCGCAGATATTACAGGCTTACCCAACCTGTGCCCTCCAGATATTTTAAATTTGTTTGCATCAATTTGTTTAAAATGCTGCCAATTAATCACAGCCAGTTTTTGTCATTTTCTTTAAAAAAAACCCCAAAACCTAAGCATTGCTAAAAATAAAGTACCAATTCTTACATTATGGTGTGAGATAACGGTTACGTAATATTCAGGTGGAAAGGGTGCTTCTAGTGTGGTCCATTCAGCTAGCTGCTTGTTAGAGGAATCAAGAAATGTGTGAACCCGGACCCGTCTATGTATGTAAACAGTTATCAACATTAGCTCAAATTGAACAGTCACCATTCTAGGCACACGTAACAGTACTTTGCATCTGCACCTATGAATTGAATAAAGTTAGGACGACAAATGAGAATAGTAATCATCATTCATAATTATGTGATTTGGCTATAATGGCTAGGTTTGCAAATTATGTCCAGTCACAGCAACATACTTTTATAATAAATTGCTCTGCGCCATTAACTTTTATAGACAAGAAGTCAAGGAGGAAGAGGTAAAATCAGTTATGGTCCATTGGGCCCGGGACATTGGACATATATATATATATGAATGAAAGGCTTTGGAGAGAAAACATAATGAAAATGCTGTACCGATGGTATCTGACCCCGGCCAAACTGGCCAAGATGTAGAAGAAAAGCTCTGACGTTTGCTGGAGATGCAAAAAAGCGGTTGCAAATGTGATGGGACTGTGTGAAGATAAGATCATTTTGGGACATAATATCCAATGAACTCAAAAAGATCTTTAAATTTTCTTTAAAAAAAACACCCTGAAGCCTTTTTGTTAGGCATTATGTCCATTGATATAAAACCCTCCGCCCCAGAACCCTCCTTATGTACGCAACCACAGCGGCGAGGATTTTAATAGCAAAAAATTGGAAATGTGATGTAATCCCCGCAATAGCTGATCGGCAAACAAAGAAGATAGAATATTCAGAACTTGCAAGGATGACTGGGAGAATAAGGGGAAACTCTAACCAGAAATTTAGTAAAGATTGGATAATGTTCAAAGAATATCTTTAAAAGTACTGTAATAACACAAATCTCCTGACAGATTCGGATTGAATCTTGAAGTTCAAGGAAATTATAGAGTAAAATTCCCCCCACCCCGATAATTAACTGAGAAGAATAATAAATATGAAGTGCGTATACACTAGTAAGGTATAAAAAGCACAATGAGGTGAATCGGAAGTTAAAGGGTATGTAATGTCAGATGCGGTGTTCTATGTAAATTGTTTTGTAATAAGGAATCTTCTTAAAACAAAAAAAAAACTTTTATAGATACAAACCACACTCATCTAATAATGTTATACGCCTGCACTTATTTATTTTTAACTTGCTGATAAAGCCTGCAGTCCAGATCCACTTAACTGCAAACAAGTTCACTTGAAAGATAGAGGTCTTACTTCTGAGCAGGCATATATAGTGAAAGATAAATGTATATTTGTATGCACAGGTGAGCCGTAGCAGGAATTTACGCCAGCAATACAGGCTGTGTACACGTTATCGCTTACTGTGGCTCCAGTGCGCTCCCGCTGCTGTTGTTTAAAGTCTAATGCACACGGCATTAGCCACAATCCATAAGTATACTGTAGTTTGTTTCAAAATACTCCTCTTTGATACGCTTTCCCTCAAACCAGCTTCCATCAGTTTTTAAGCTGCGATGTGTACCTTTGAGACCGGCTTTGCCAAACGCGATGGAAAAAGTTTCGTTGAATGGGAGTTTGATGCAGGAAAACAAATCCAGTAATGTACACGGGGTGAAGACATCCCCGCTCCCTCTTTGGTGTGCCCACTGGGGTTGCCTCCGGATGCAGGGTTGCCCTGTATTTAAATGTGAAATACGTGAAATATTTGAAATATTTAAATACGTCCTGTATTGATAGTTTTGTCCTGCATTTCAGGTCCCCTCTATGTCTCTCTTCGACAAGTTAGGGGCGCTCCCGAAACGCGTGTGTTTGAAAGGATGTGGGAAAGGTCATGTCTTTAAGCTCTGGGTAGCCAGGGACAGGCAGATGTACAAATTCAGGTGTAAGTGTGCGCCCAGGTGTGCAGCGAGTTCCAGAAGGGCTGTCCTGCTGGGCTGCAAATAGGTCGTAACGGATTTCTTCAGCACCAGATGAAAATGCAAACGAAAATCGCCCCCGCTTCGCCCCGTATCATGCCAGAACAAAGGTTGCACCCCTAGTACAGCTTTGTTTAAAAACAAAACAAAAACCCCATATGAAAAGCAGTGTGTGGAGGGGAGGAAATCACCTTGCAACATTTTAAGTCGCTAACGAGCGTGTAGCTGTATTCATTCACTTATTTGTATATAGAATTATGTTCCTCTTTGTAGTAGCCTGGGCAATGGGGGAAATGTAAATCCTCCTCGGTTTATTTATTTATTATTCTTAACCTGTTTGCTCACAACCTAGACGACCCCAGATTCAGTTCCTGGGAATCTGCGGGTAGAATTGGGCGAGGCACTGCCATCCCCCTCCCCACCCCACCCGCCCTTCAAAAATGGCGCCGAACGCCAAGGAAAGTGGTGAGGCGGGAGGCGCGCAAAGCAGGGGAGGCTGCTCTCGAGTAGACTCTGAGAAAGGTCTTCCTTCACCCTCTTCACGCCGCGCCTCTTGCAAAGTTTCTTGTTGTGTCTGGAGGCCGGTTGAATCAGGCACGACCCCTTTCTATTAGTAACCAATTTACCCGGGACTAGCCTGGTTCCCCCCGCACCCCAGTGCACTGTATACTGATGCTAAGCCGCCTGGAACCCGCTCCCTCAAGGCTTGCAATTTGCCTTTAACCTGTAATCGGGATGTATGGCATTTCTACATAACCTTGAAAATGCTTAAGAGTTTACAAAGTGACAAGTGGGGAAGGAAACTTAATTGCAATTTATCGGAAATGGACAGTAAAGGAATGCAAAATCTAACACGCAGTGTTTCTTGCACTTAAATGATAGTTGCAAGGACCTGCATCTGCTTAAAGTACATTGGAATGCAGGTCCCTAACCCTTCCATTCCCGGGGAACGTTCTATTACAAAAACTATTACAAAAACAGGTTGCCCATTTTGGGTCTTCTGGAAGACCCAAAATGGGCAACCTATTGTCTCATTAGTATTTTTAATTAAAATACGTAGTTAATTAAAATACATAGCATTCTAGTTTACTAAGCAGATAATTGTAAAGAAGTGAATTAGTCATAGTTAGGTGAACCAATTTTTTTTTATTTTTTCCCCATCAATGCAGTTGCACCCAGTGCAAAATAGTAATAGATATGCAAGATATGCAACAACCCCAAACTCCAAAGTCAAACCCCAAAGTCATTAACTCTGCAGACAATAAACTTTCCCTTTCTTCTGTAGGTGAGCACTAATTGTGCTAACAATGCAGTAAGCCAAACATTCAAAGCTCATAGAATTTGTCAGCAGGAATTATAGTAATGTCACTGCATATGTCCTCTTGCTTCATGTCAATAGCTCGCATATTTGCAAGCTCCAACAAACAGTAGAATGTTCCTCCTACTTCCTTGCAGCCCATATTATATGTTAGTTCAAAAAAGCTGATGGTTTTATTGCCAGTTGTGGCAACTTTCTGCTGAAGAACACGGAGCAATTTCTGAGGGGTCTTGTTCCATTCGCGTTCCTCTTCTCCTTCATCCTCGGTTGATTGAATTTCCTCCATTTCACTTAAGAGCTGCGGCTCAGGAGTTGTCCGCAACGGCACCAAAGTCTTCATCCTCGCTTCTACAGCAGCAACTGCTTCCTGCACATTGTACGGAGGTGAGGCTTTGGAAGGGGCTTCCTGGTAGCTACAGGAGGGCTGCTCCTCATCTGGCACTTCTCGATTTGTCTTTCTCACTTTCTTTTTCGGTTCGGAGGATGGAAGCATTTCGGTACTCTTGAAACCCTTTGTCACACTCGGCTCCCCTCCTGCCCTCTTTTTGGTAGCTGCTGCTGCTGCCTCCGCCTCTGGAGCCACAGTTGGTTCTGCTGCCGCCGCCGCTGCCTCTGGAGCCACAGTTGGTTTATCCGCAGGTGACGGAGGGAGGTCCACCATGGCCACTTCACTTTCCAAAGGAGCAGCTCCTTCAGCATCCAACATGCTTCCTTCGTCGTCAAAAAGCCCTGCAAAGGGGATCAAGCCATGGTCGCCCTCTCCGAAAATGTCACTCAAGTCGTCGTCACAGTCCATGAGGGAACTTTCATCTCTCGGGTTGACGATAAAGCAGTCTATGATGCTGTCGTCTCTCATTAACTCGTTGATAGTTCCCATATCAACACCAAATATATTTCCCTCATACACAGGGATGTTCTCCGTGTTCTCTTCCATCGTAACGCTGCTTTGGTGCCAGCAACGGCGCCTCAAATTTGGAGATTTCTGTCCCAAGGCTACCCAGCGCGTTATGAGCCTCTTCAACAAAACACGTAGCCTTTTTATTGCAAACCTGAGTAGCACCCAGCAACAGCTGTGCTGAAGCCTCCAAACCAGGAGAGATAATTTGTTTCACACGCCTCTCCTGTTTGCAATCGCCTGCAGCTAGCCAGACCGAGGCTAGTGCCCTCTTATTTTTTACAACAAATTGAGCATCCCTGGCTCTAAATTTGCAGCCGTCTAGTCCTTCAAATACTCTCGCGGAAACCATGCTCCCCACAATTTCGCTCTATTTTTTAAAACTATAGTTTCAACGCCTACTTGAGCTCGCTGCACCCCTTGCTATTGCCCGCCTCCACTGCAGGGGGCGCTGCAGGGAGAGAGAGGGGGGGGGGAGACGGGCTTTCTTCTTTCTCCCCCCTCCTAGGCAGGCGCGCGGCTCAGCATACAGACTTGCCTCTCAGGGAGGAAGCTGGCGATAGAGGCTTCCGGTCCGATCGGCCGCTGGATCTCTGACAGGAGGCTCAGTTTGGAAGCCGGCAGTGATCGCGGAGGGGAATCGCTTTCTTTCCCGTTATGGCGGCTCGGCTGAGCCTTCCCGTCGCGGGGCCCGCGGGCGCCTGAGGGACGCGTAAGCCCCGCCGCCTCCGCCATGGCCGGCGAGGAGCCGCAGAAGTTCCTGGCCCCCGACGAGCCCAGCGCCCTCCTCTTCTCCGCGCCGCCCCGCGCGCACGGCGCTGGCGGCGGCCTCGGCTTGTGCGATGAGGGGTCCGCCTGCCTGGACGTCAGCGACTTCGGCTGCCACCTCTCCTCCTGCCACCGCACGGACCCTCTGCGCCGCCTCCACGCCCACAGGCGAGAACGGGGGGTGGAGTGGGGGGGGCGAAGGGTGTGGGGGGAGTGTGTCTCAGGTGGTCTTGTGGGCCCCCGATGGAGCGGCGCCCCATCCCCCGCCTACCTCGCAGGGTTGTTGTGGAGGCTGGGAAGAAAGGGAACGGGAGAGCCGTGGGAGTTCAAAGGGTCGTCGACATGGGTGTGAGGTGCTGCGGATCGTCCTCGCCCCGAATAGTTTCTCCCTCCCCCCCCCCCACCAGCTTTAAAAGCCTCTTAACTGCGTGGGAAGCTGTGGGGGAAAGGTAGACGTTTCCTTGTGGGAAGCCCGAATGCCTATTGTAACACCTTACCTATCTGGAAGAATGAATCGAGGGGGTTATCTTTTCATATCTTCTTCTGCTTCAACATCTAAAGGGCCTCCATAATAATAATAAAAAAATTCTTTTGTAGTATTTAATAATGCAACATTTTTAGTAGAAGCCCCTATTTTTGTTTTTATTGATTTCCCATTGGGAAGAGTGCAGGTAAGAGAATTCTCTCCACGAGGTATTTGAATCCTGCACCCCAAAAGTATCAGAGCAACACTAATGGCGAGAGGCAGTGTGTGTGTGTGGGGGGGGGGAATTGGTACCAGTCGCATACGCATTGTGCATTGAAAAGCACATGGTGTTTGGGTACAAGGAGGCTAAGAAGACTGCTGGGGGTGAGGGGACTGTATGGACTTTTAAAAAACGTTTTCTTAATAAAACTAAGAAGAGATGGGACTAAATACTAACATATTGGCTTCAATACACTGATGTGGTTGAGGCTGAGTAGAAGCTAGGTAGGTTTGCCACTTCTTTTTTTAATAACCTGCTTGGCATGCAGAAAATTAATAGGCAGAGCCGTTCCCATTGCTGATATATCTGTACCAGGGAAGGTGTCACTTGTTCAGTTTTTTTATTTGCAGTACTGCTGTTCAGGGTAGAGGAGCAGGGTCAGAAGAGAAGGTGGCAACCCTTTCAGTGGGTAGAGATGGCAGCTTCTTTTCTAGCAGAGCTCCTGTGCCCTTAACATATTCCCACGGAAGCCTTTTACACTGTTAATATTTGCACACTAAGCAAGTTTCTGTGCCATTAATATGTTTCCTGAAAAGCAGAAATTCAAGAAGTTCATTTCTTTTTTTGTAGCAGAGTGAAGCCTGCCCTGTCTTGTATCTGCCTGTCATGTATAGGTGAAACTTGAAAAATTAGAATATCATGGAAAAGTTCATTTATTTCAGTAATTCAACTTTAAAAGTGAAACTAATATAGGAGATAGACTCATGACATGCAAAGCGAGATATGTCAAGCCTTTATTTGTTATAATTGTGATGATCATGGCATACAGCTGATGAAAACCCCAAATTAACAATCTCAGAAAATTAGACTATTAAATGAAATCAGCAAAACAAGGATTGCAAATAGAGCAATATTGGACTTCTGAGAAGCAAAAGCATGCATATATACTGAGTACTTGGTTTGGGCCCCTTTTGCATCCATTACTGCCTCAATGCGGCGTGGCAATAACAGATTGCCCATGGGATTACTGAACCAGGTTTTGGTACTTTTGGCAGTGTGGGCAGGTGCCAAAGTCCTGCTGGAAAATAAAGTTAGCATCCCCATAAAGCTCATCTGCAGAAGAAAGCATGAAGTGCTCCAAAATCTCCTGCCAAAAGTACCAAAACCTGGTTCAATGTGCATGGGATTACTGTGCTTGATTGGCCAGCAAACTCGCCTGACCTGAACCCTATAGAGAATCTATGGGGCATTGCCAAGAGAAAGATGAGAGACATGAGACCGAGCAATCCAGAAGAGCTGAAGGCTGTTATTGAAGCATCCTGGTCTTCCATAACACCTCAGCAGTGCCACAGGCTGATAGCATCCATGCCACGCTGCATTGAGGCATTTAATTTTCTGATATTGTTAATTTGGGGTTTTCATCAGCTGTATGCCATGATCATCACAATTATAACAAATATTTTTTTTTTTTTTAAATCATATTTATTGAAGTTTCCAAAAATATAAAAGTACAAAGAAAAAAGATAAAAGAAAGAAGATATTTAAAAACCTTACTTTCATTCCCTACTTTCTGGAACTCCCCCCCCCCCGGTTGTATTCCCCTTTCCTTAATTTGGTTCTACAAGCTCTCACTCCCAAATTTAAAGCTTAATTTGTTTAACCCACTATCCAATTTGAATTGTACAAATCTTACCACCGTCCCACATCATTAACAGAAAAAGAAAAAGATTTTCCCCAAGATCCACCCCAGTTCCTTCCACAAATTCCCTTTTTTTTAAACACGTCCGATCAAAGTAAAATAACATGCGTAAGTTATGTAAAGAAATAGAAAATAAAAGATATAGAAAAGTTCAAAAAATGGTTACACAGCCTTTGGATTTCAAATCTCCCCCCCCCCTTCCCCGGTTTGAATTCCCCATGTCCATCAGTCTATACATTATCAGCTTGGAAATCTCATTTCATAACCAAATTTCTCCCCGATTCCATCTTGCCAGTTTTCTTTTAGTTTATTAATTTAAATAATATTTGACTTCAAATGTCCAATCTAACAAAGGCCTTTAATTTCCTTGATCTTTACCACTCCTCCCGTTGTTCTTTCCGTGTCGTAATCAGTCCTTTATTCTTCTTATTCCTCACTTTCTCAGGTTTCTTGTCCTGTTCAGCTGCTAAAACTTTCTAATTCAGAAATCTAGTGTCTCTGCAGAGGTTTGTTATTCAGGAACAAAACTTACGTCCAGTCCCTTTCTTTCTTCAATAAAAAATTCCATTGTCTTCCTCTGTAGACAAAATACTCTTTCAGTTTTGCAGCTTTCCCAGAAGATAACAAATCCTGTGCGAATCCCAGGGTATTTTTCCACTTACGACCGTTCTTGTAGTATCCTGAAACCCCTCTAGGGGTTTGTAATAACTTTGTATCCTCTAATCCAAAAGTCAAATTGTTGCTTATTTTCCAACAGTTTATATCCATATTATAGCAAATTGTAGCAAAATTTACCAGCAAAGTCCTCATAAAGTCCTCTTTATATTCTCCAGCTTTGACAGCCACTTTGACAGCTGTCAAAGTCTCCGTCTCTCTTCACCAGGCTCCACGAATCGCCCCGGTTCCCAGGGGGGGGGTTGCATTTTTCTTCTCATCCTCCACTCTTCTCCTCCAGCACATTTCTTATAATTTCCCATCGTGGAATTAATGATTTTTATCAGAAACATACTTCCCTTTGGACCTTGGTTGCCCAGTCCTTGTTTTGGAATGCTTACAATAGGGGGGGGGATTGACTTCCTTTTTAAATCGCCCCCGCTCGTGCCAAATCCAAAATCCAAAATTTTAAACCCGGTTTCCCAATTACTCACGGGTTGTTGTTAAAAGTCCAAATTTTCAATAGAAGAAGTCAGCGCTCTCCGTCGAATGGCATGCGGCTGCGCTCGGCAGGGAAAGCAGTGGACTCAAAGCACCACGCCACTCCCGGCACCCGATCCGAAGCCTTTAAAAAGGCTCCTTCACGAGTCGGGAGGGCGCTAATGGTGCAAGCCGAGTCACCCATGTCCACGGACTCCGTGCCCGTGGTTTTTAAGGGTCCCCGCGTCGCCGGCGCGGTAGGACCCAGCCCCTGCCGAGCAGACTCCCTCCGGAGCTCGGAGGGAGTCCGCCATTCGGCGATGGCGCTAACCCGGAAGCTCCACAATTATAACAAATAAAGGCTTGACATATCTCGCTTTGCATGTCATGAGTCTATCTCCTATATTAGTTTCACCTTTTAAGTTGAATTACTGAAATAAATGAACTTTTCCATGATATTCTAATTTTTTGAGTTCCACCTGTAGGTACAGAACCCCTGATAGAGAAAATAAACAATGGTAAACTTCAGAAGGGTTCATGGTGGTCATAGAAATCAGTGGGACATTATTCCTGCTTTTTTGCCTGTTGGATCCCTGAAGCAGTTTGAAATACACAAATTGCAAGATAAATACTTATAACAATAAAGCATTATACAATACTCGGGAATTTGCTTGGAGGGGGGGTTGTTCTTGATTTTTTTTTTTTGTATCTTTATTTTAGGTCTGATTATGATTTATGTGGAAATTTTTCAATTTGGTCATGTAATTTTGATGTTTTATTGTTTATGACTACTTTTCTTTGTAGTTGAGCATTCCCCCCCCCCCCCCCCATTTTGCAAGCCGCTATGAGCATGGTTTGAATTATGGAAAGGCTGCATACATATAAAATGGTGTATGAATGTAAACAATTTCAATTTACAGTTATTAACACATCTGGATGCAGCAGCATATTGAAACCTAAAGTTTTGTCTGTGAAGTTCATTTGAAAAAGAGGTGCATTTACTTCTTTTCTGAAGCCTGGAAAGCTGCTAAGCTTGTGGACTTCTGATGGGATAATGGAGTTTATAGATGGGGTACCATTGCTTAAGAAATATTAACTAGAGGTCTAACTTAGGGCTTATTTTGTCATTCTTCGAGGCCATTGTCTGGCTCACTGTGAGCTGAACATGAACAATCCCTAATCTGCCATGTACCCTTTGTTGCCCCATAACTGGTGCATATTTTGAATGGCTGCTTTGAAGCTTGATGCAAGACATGGGGGGACAGATACCTGTCAAAAGCTGTTCATCCTGGTGCTTACGTTAGTTGGCTTTTAATTCCAAGTAAGCTAGCAACATTGAATGTTACTGAAATACTAAGGTCAAATGTGACTGCCATTCTGTTTTGCAGGTGGAACTTGACTTCATGTGGCACGAGTGTAGCCAGCTCTGAATGCAGCGAAGAACTGTTTTCGTCTGTCTCTGTCGGTGACCAGGATGACTGCTTCTCACTTTTGGATGATCAGGACCTGACATCTTTTGATTTGTTCCCGGAGGGTAGTGTCTGCAGCGATGTCTCTTCTTCCATTAGTACATATTGGGACTGGTCAGACAGTGAATTTGAATGGCAGGTAAAAATGCTTTTATAGGCTGTCCCATGCATTAATAAACTGCCGTGGTCTGTATAACAACATTGAAAGCACTGTGTTTCCAGCTAGACAGTAGCCATAAGTCAATGCTACTTTTCCTAACACAGTTGGCTCCCATGTAGGTGTGTTTAGGATTGAAGCCTTAATTTTCCGTATCTAATTCTAGTGTTTTAGTTTGTTGCTGAATGTTGGACTGCATTGCTTCATTTCTGAAATTGATCGGATATATGTATTTTTTTGTCTATAAGTTGCCTGGCAGTGACATTGCAAGTGGAAGTGATGTGCTTTCTGACATCATACCCAGTATATCAAGCTCTCCCTGCATGCTCCCAAAAAAGAAAAACAAGCACAGGAATCTTGATGAGCTTCCATGGAGTGCAATGACTAACGATGAACAGGTAAAACCTTTTTGCATTTGGAGACTACATGCTTGTAAACAAATTTTTAAGGGCTAAATTATTCATAGCAGATAAAACTCTGGTTTGCAACAGTAAGTGCTAATTCTCTTAATTATATAGAGGAGGTTAATTTCTCAAGTTTTATTTTTCTCTGATGTTATTCAAGGTATCTTGAATTGTGAAAGAGCTGACATTTATACCCTGCCTCCATCTAATAAAAATGTTTTAAAAGCCCCCCAAAGGCCATCCATAATAGACTAAATAGAGGATAAAGCATAACTAGCAGATAGCAACTGGTAGGAAAGGATTGGGAAGGATAGACAGTAAGGCTTGGCTTGTTGTCTAATGAGAGCAGAGATGATACTACCCAGATTTCTCTGAGGAGGGCAATCCAAAGGCAGGAGGCTTCAGCCAAGAAATCCCTGTCCTCCTCTCACAACACGTCTCTCTTTGAATGTGGAATTCTCAGTGAGCATCACTGGTAACTAACTACCTGTTCCAATGTTTTCTTAGGTGGAATATATTGAATATCTGAGTCGTAAAGTCAGCATGGAGATGGGGCTTCGAGAGCAGCTTGACATCATTAAAATTATTGATCCCACAGCTCAGATTTCTCCTACAGACAATGAGTTTATTATCGAACTAAATTGCCTCACTGATGAAAAGCTGAAACAGGTATGTGAAACCGAACTTGAGATTCTTTTTAAACCAACTGCTTGTCTTCCTCTGGTATGCATGATCTTGCTGCATACTTCTATAAACAGTAACAATTAGTTGTTAATTTAAGGGCAACTGAAAGACTTAATGCATTTTATTTTGGAATGAGCTGTCATAAGGTAGAGACCTCTTTGTTGGGCCCCTCAAGAGTAAGAATACATACTTCTACAGTTGTGTCAGGGTTGTTCCATCCCTTTCGTTCTCCATCAGATTTTTTTTGTTACTCATATGTGTTTACTTGAAAACATTTCCACCACACCTTACTTAATAAAGAGATACTTACTGAAGGTAGTGGCCTGCGGATATCATCGTCTATCAGCATACTCTCTGGAGATGGGGATCCTTGAATATCCTGGTCCCAGGCTACTTAGGGCTTTAAAGTATATTGAAAAGGAGGGAAAGTCATTGGTGTTGAGCATCTACTCTTGGGTTTTTCTTTCTTTCTGCAGCAGAGTTCCTTTTACAGAAAAGTTTTCCTGCATCTTTTACTTCTTTACAGCAGCAGCATTGCAGCTCTTAGTGAAATTCCCGTTACAGGAATAAACACCATTTGGTTCTGTTTCTCAGAGCCTTTATTGTTTACAAAACTTTACACTGGTCATTTAATAAAGAAAACAAACAAAGCAACAAAATATTTTTCTCTTTTAGCTATCCGGCCAGAGACCTAATGCTCACTCCTTCACATGCTCATTTACACTGACCCAGACTTAGTTGAACACCTTTTGCTGGGGAAATTTTCTGTTGCCTAGCAACCTGTTCAAGACTATTTTCAAAAGTTTCTTCTAGAATATTTCAGCAACTGGACCTGGTAAAGCACCTGTGTGTCTAGTAGGGTTCCCCCTGCAGTTGCTTTTAAAACCAACTGAAGTTTCTGAACAATCTTCATACAGCATCGTGTGGACCATACAGAACTAATTCAGGCCCCATCTGCAGTAGATATTCAAAGCAGTACCATACCACTTTAAACAGTCATGACTTTTCCCCAAAGAATCCTGGGAACTCTGGGGTGTTGTTTTTTAATGGTGCCGAGAATTATTTGGGGATTCCTGTTCCCCTCATAGAGCTGCAATTCCCAGACTTTCTTGGGGAGAGAGATTGGTTGCTTAACCACCTAGGAATTTTAGTTCTGTGAGGGGAACAGTAGTTTTCCTAATAATTCTCAGCATCGTTAACTAACCACAGTGCTCAGGATTTTTTGGCCATAAGCCATGATTAAATTGGTATAATAGTGCTTTGGATCGAAACAAAATAAAATAAAAAATCCTTTCAGTAGCACCATAGAAACCAACTAAGTTTGTTATTGTTATGAGCTTTCGTGTGCATGCACACTTCAGCCCATACCAATAATAAACTTAGTTGGTCTCTAAGGTGCTACTGGAAGGAATTTTTTTATTTTGTTTCGACTACGGCAGACCAACACAGCTACCTACCTGTAACTAGTGCTTTGGATGTTATTGTGTGGATGTGGCCTCAGTCTTTTGAAGGCCAGGTGTATCCAAGCGCTTGCCACTTCGACTCTTCGCCTTGACTTCTTTCTTTGTGTGTTTAGGTCAGAAATTATATCAAGGAGCATGGCCCCCGGCAGCGGTCTGCAAGGGAGAACTGGAAGCGAAGCAGCTACAGTTGTGGCAGTGCCAGTGGAGTGAGCGGTGCCAGCGCCAGCAGCAGCAGCGCCAGCATGGTCAGCTCAGCGAGCAGTAGCGGTTCCAGCATTGGCAACTCTGGTTCAAACTCCAGCGCTAACATGAGCCGGGCTCACAGCGACAGCAACTTATCTGCAAGTGCTGCAGAGCGAATCAGGGATTCAAAAGTAAAGCTTCAGATTCAGATGGACATTAAAAAAACCTTATTAGTATACTTTGAATCATTACAGTTAAAATGTAAATGCATTTACATGTTGCAAAAGCTCGATGAATGTTATTTTTTGAGGATTCTGGAGAAAAGGGTAGCCCACCTTTCCTGTAGGTAACTTGCAGCTTAATGAGCTCTAACGCTCTTTTTATTTTGCCATCAGATTTGAAAGTATGGAATAAGAGCTAAAACAGCTTAAACAAACAAGTTCAGTATTTGTTAGCATTGTGGACAATTGAACTTTGAAAGATTAGCACTTTCAGTATAGCACCATCAACTTCAATTACTCATATTATTTCTTCAGGAAAGCCATAGGATACTCCTGACCCCAAAGGGAAACTAGCTGTTAACTTTGGATTGTAGTCAAAGAAAATGTCATTAAGATTTCTCTTTTTTGTTTTCTTTTTTAATTTTTATATCTATATAATCAAAGGTGAAGGAAAGCAGCCATTCCCAAGTCGAATCACGTTTTGAACCAAAGAAAGCAATGAATATGGTCTTATGTTGTTGTTAAATTTATAGCTCCAAAAAAGAAATTGTTGGTTTTTTTGATTTATATACCACCCTTCCTCCTCAAGATGCCCAGGGCAGGAAACAGATATGCAACTTAAAAAAAGAAAACAAAGCAAAAACATTCTAAAACAGTTTAAAACATTAGGAAATCAGTTACAGTTACATTATTCCATCCCATCATTACAGGATTGCCAGAAACAAATATTCTTCAGCCACCAAATGTCTGGGCAAACAGGAATGTTTTCAAATTCCTCCTGAAAATTAATAACGGTAGAGACAAATGTGCCTCACTAGGGAGGCATTCCAAAGCCAGGGAGCCACCACTGAAAAGGTCCTGTCACCCACCTTGCTATAAATCTGCTTTCATGCAGATTTCTGTAAAGAGTCCTTTCTCATTGAACTTTGTGTAGGGAGGACAGAGTTGGCATATCTCTGTGGGTGGAGCCTTCCAGCATCATCAGATTATTGCCATATGTAACTGGATATTACGAGGCATGTAGAAGAGGGTTCCTTTCTTCCTCTTCCATCCCAGTATCCCAGTAAAAGATGTTTACCTGAAAATATTGGATTAGTTTTTGGCTGTAAACACAACATCTGTTTAAAGCACGTCTCCCCACCCTAGTTGGAACTGTGGTTTAGAGCTGTGATGCTCAGTATCCTTAACAAACTACAGTTCCCAGAATTCTTGGGGGAGGGGTGCTTTAAATGTATTGTGTGTACGAAGTCCTAGTTAAATATGTGTCTTGTTTTACAGTGGTGTGTACAGTTTTGTGTAGAGACTGGGATTGACTTTGGCCATTTCCTTTATTTTGACAGAAACGTTCTAAACAGCGCAAGCTTCAGCAAAAGGCTCTACGCAAGAGACAACTGAAAGAGCAACGGCAGGCTCGAAAGGAGAGACTGAGTGGTTTGTTCCTTAATGAAGAGGTTCTTTCTTTAAAAGTCACTGAGGACGACCATGAAAGAGATGTGGATGTCTTGATGTGACAGGGGTGATTTTTTTATTTTATTTTAAATCAGTGTTCTTTCTAAGCCTTAAGCCTATTATATTGTTTACATATATTTTTACCAAAATTTGGATTGGAGCTGGGGCTAGTTAGCCTGTGTCCCTCATCTATAGTTTAAAAGCAAAAAAAGGCATGTGATAAGAGATTAAGAGGATACTTAAAAAGAAAAAGAAACTAAGGCTAATTTATTTTGCTTTCAAATATCTGTGAGTACTTTACTGAAAAGTTTGCATTTCATTTGTAATTCCGCCTTAACCAGATAGATATAATAGTTGTTCTTTGGGTAAGAACATTTCCCCCTCTACCTGCTTTTTGGCCTGAATGGCTTAATGTTATTTTCTTTAAAAAACAAAACAAAAAACTGCAACTCCATTAATAGTTACTGGGTGACATGTTCTCCCAGTGGACGTGGCAGGATTGCCCTTCTTTCTCCTCCCCCCGTGCCCTCCCCATCTGCTCTGAAGTATCCCTCAGTTTTTGCAGAGCAGATTTTGGGAATGTTGGGGAGGGCTACAAGGGCAAGTCCTGTTTGCACAAGCAAGACACTACAGTTTGACGTCGCACATTTTTGTTCCTACTGCAATCATATCAAGGCTTTAAGGCTACACAAAATCATTTTTAGATTTATTGAAATAATTATTATTTACTTTTTATTTTGCCCTATGCCCATAGAACTCAGGGCAGTTCACAACATAAAATTACAATAAAAAAAAATACATAATAAAAACAGAAACAAAGAAACCCCAATAATCCTCCCATGGCTTCATTTATTGCAGGGACTGGGGAACCTTTTAAGCCAAATGCACCCCATGACTAACGTATACGTGGCCCACAAGGGACTATTGAACCTGCGTTTCTGCTTGCCAGGGAATTCAAAACCAGGCAGGCAGAAAGTGCTTGCAAGTGCCTGTCAGGCCATGAAATATGGCTACATATAGCTGGGTGGGTCATTCATGGTGCGAAGGCCTGATGTGGTGTTACAAAGCAATAGGACAATCTGGTGAAGGAAACTTCTAGAAACAAATTCACATTTCCTCCCTCTAGATGCATATGTGTATATGTTCCAAATCACTGTAGTGTCATGTGCCTTAAAATTTATTTGAGACCTTTTCTTTAAAGTGAAGGTTTTGAGGAGAACATTGCAAAATTGAAATTAAGCAGATAACATTTTCCTGGTGTTTCAAAAAGATAATAATGTTTATTTCTCAAAGCCCTGTTCAGCTTTTTTGGGGAAAAAGGCAGCGGTTGAGAGATTTCCATCCTGACCTTATGTTTTTGCATAAAACCACATATTTCTTTATTCAGTTTCATGGTTAAAGTGATCTCATTTGGTTAATATTTATGAGTGGCTTCATGACATTATTTGCTATAACAGAGTTAAGTAAGTGCATTTAAAAGACCCATTGCACATCTTCATTACTACTGCCTCTACATTTGTTTAGCTTTCATAGCGTGAATCTGTGGGAGATGCACTAAATTCAGCGTTATGTGCATCCTCCGATACCAGCTAGGAAGCACCTTCTTCCATTTCCGACTAACCTCTGTTTATTTCACTTGAAGTGTTTTCGAACTGGTTAGTGTAAGCTACTGTTTGTCTAAAGACGCCAAATCAAAGGTTGGTTTCTGATCTTGGCTCTTTTGCATAAACCATGGTTAAAAGCAACTGTAGTTCCCAACTCAGGTGAACGTGGCAAACTCTGGTTAGCTTAAAACTGAAGTGGATGTTACTGATCTCTGTACGGCCACACAGGATAAAGAGATAGAAATGGGGAGCAGGTTCATGCATGTAATGTTAAGCTGTAGTTTAATGTTTCTGAATCACATCTAACTTTTAGGAACTGATGATACTGTGGATGAATTTCAAGTAGTTACAAGTGTTGGACATTCACTAGATAAAGGGATTTCTGCTTTAAAAGCGGTTCTTAATGATGTGATACTCCTGGCTCTAATTCTAAAAAGTTTCTACTAAAGTCTTGTTTCATTAGGCAATCACACATAACACACACACATACCCCTCCCCCAAAGCAGGAAACATTTGTTTTGAAGTAGCTCATAGCTCACAGGTAAAATATTTTGGAGTAAATAGGATAAGACCACAGCCAAAACTCATCATTATGACAATTTTTTTGAGTGTTTGATCTATTTTGCCTCCCTCCTAGATCTTGATTTTTGTAGCTGAATGGTTGCATAACACTTTATAGTTTCCCTTTAAACCCCCACCCCCATTAATCTCCATTCTATTGAGCACATAATTTACTGTGTTTAAGGTGCTTCTCTGTCTAAACTGAACACACTGGTCACTCAGTGAACATTCATTTTGAATTAAACTAGCATTGTAAGTGAAAATGGAACTATAGCTGAGGCCCCACCCCATTCACACACACTTGTTATAGAATGGAAGCAAGTTGGGGGGTCTGCTTGGTAGACTTTTGTCTGGGTCCTATTTATCTTGAATTCTTTACAAGATGCATAAATAATTTAACTAGTGCAAGTGAGCAAATACACAATTCACCTTCTTTGGAATTGCTGATCTCACAAAGCTTAGAAGGAGCACTGAAAACTTGATTGGAAAAAAGTTGTTCTCTTAGCCTAATAAGATCTGTTTTACATCTTGTTCTTGCATCTGCATTGGTTTCATTTTCCGATAGAAATGTTTTGACTGAAATAAAGCAGTGACATTTGTGTAAGGCAGGAAATAGGATGCTATACCCTGGTTCTGTTCAAAATGCTCGCTGAAGTTGGCGATCTCAACATTTAAGATGATCTTGTGGTTCGCAATAAGTTTTTGTTTTGTTTTTTCTGTATGTTGGTCAAAGAAAACCATAGAGAATTTCTCACACAAATATTACATCAGATTGTATATATGACTTAAAAACCCCTTAAGGCTGGTGTAGAGCACTTGTAGAAAATCTTATAGGACATTAGCCAAATTTCTTACTAATGCTGAAATAAAAGGACCTGTTAGTGCTCATATTTTCCCCACCCCCTTGGCACACCTGCCTTCTAAATATTAGCATGCTGTTGACTTTCTTCCTTTTTGCAAACAGGTTTTCCCAGTAGATCAGATTCTCATCACTTATCTGGAAACGTTAACTTGTGGGTGACTAGCCTGTGGCCCTCCATATGCTGTTGGGCTGCAACTCCGCTGATCCCTCAGGCTGATGGGAGGTGAAGTCCAACCACATCTGGTGGATGCACAGTTTAGCCACTTCAACATGTTCTATCTTGGATCAGTAGTATTATACTCCCTGTGTCTTGCAGATTATTTTGGATTATTATTTGTCATGTTGGCCAAAATCAGTGCAGCAGGGGGGCAATTAACATTATAACCTGAGCTGTTATCAGATCATGTGCATCATACGGGATCAGAATGCATTGGGTGTGTGTGTGATGGTTTGTGACCGGGGTGGGGTGGGGGGAGATTAGAGAGATGCAGGGAGCATCAAATATGTTCAGAAACATGGTTGAGAGTTGCTTTGTAAGGGCCAATGGCATTGGCATTCTGAGCATTTGTGCTTCATAACCAAAGCAAAGAAGATGTTTACCTTTGGCAATATACTTCAGATGGTCTTAAATACAAATAGATATATTAAATCTGGACTATTTTCCAGGTTCTCTGCAAAAGTGTATTGTATGCTGAAATGCACATGTACATACAACTGTTTGCTGTACATTCTGTATCTGCTCACTATGATGTTTGTGGAAAACTCTGTTCTTTCTTTATTTTTTGATGTTGTGAAGGTTTTTCCCAATAGGGTACTGTTTTACTTTTCTCCCCCTTAAGCCCTTAATTGTACTTTAAATTAGTGGATATGATAGTTTGGAATAATATTAAAAAGAAACATAATAATGCAACTATATGTGTTCGGTGCCATACTTGGGTTGCTCCTACAGATAAATGGATTATGTGTACTATACGGTCATTGCATATGGTGCTTTGCAGAGTGAGTCAGGAAACACAGATAGATCCCTGTTCTCAAGAAGCTTACAACCTGATTCCTATCAAGTCAGACCACTGATTTACCAGGTTCAGTATCATCATGGACTGGTAGCAGCTTTACAGTGTTTCTGCAGCGCTCTTCCTATTGTCTTTAATTGCAACACCTTTTCCCAGGGACAGGGACTGGTGGAAATGACAGAATTGGTGTGTCAGCATGGGCCCTCCGCAGCCTCAACATCTACCCAACAGCACCAACTACTTAATGCTGCCAGAAGGAAATTTTAAAAATGTGCTGTACAGTGGTACCTCGGGTTACATACGCTTCAGGTTACAGACTCTGCTAACTCAGAAATAGTACCTCGGGTTAAGAACTTTGTTTCAGGATGAGAACAGAAATCATGTGCCGGCGGCAGCGGGAGGCCCCATTAGCTAAAGTGGTGCTTCAGGTTAAGAACAGTTTCAGGTTAAGAACGGACCTCCAGAACGAAGTAAGTACTTAACCTGAGGTACCACTGTACTGTTTTCCTCTTAATTTGCTTGCAAGCACCTTTAGTTTCCACTAGAGGGCATGCTACAACCACACAAATAGTAAGCCCTTGGTTTAAAAAGCAAAAGTTATTGCTATGTATCAAGTAGGTGCAGATAAAAAATTTCTGGAATGCAAAACCAATCAGAGCAGAATTTTAGACACATAAAAAGGTGTTTGCCTGTTTGCTTTCTCCATGAGAATGTCGAAGGTAAAGTAAATCAGTTTACATTAACAAATGATAAAATGTATATGTGATGGCTTTTGCACGTGTGCACCCCCCCACCCCCCCCGACATACTTGTGTGGACCATCCTTTAGATATCAAATGGTATGTGTATTAGCATAAGGATCCTTGGAAGATGATACTGGGCAGCTTCTGTAAGTAAAGGTTAAACGGTGTTTTTAAATATGTTCTAGCAAAATGAGATCATGCTCTACTGGTGGCATCTAATTAACATGCCAAATGTGAAGTCTGAAAGACAACTAGATCTGGAGGCCATTTAGGTCAGCACTCTGCCAGATAGTGTCCAGTAGCTCCTGTCTTAAGACCAGTTCCCAAACTCACCACACCTGCTGGACCACTTACAAATTGGTTACTGATTTTATTATTATCATTATCATTGCCTACTGTAGCAATTGTAATGCACTGTGCTCAGTGGCTCGTGGTTTTTAATTGTATTTTTATTGAGTATTACTTTTTTATTGTATTGTAATTTGAACGCCACAGAATAAAAATTGTAATACGGAGCAATACGTCTTATACAATGTATAAGATAAAAAGAGGCAATACAAATACAATTAAGAATCAATATGGATGTTTAATGTGGACATGTTGTGGATCACCTGAATGAAGCTTTTGGGCCACAGATCACAGTTTAGGAACCCCTTTCTAAAGATAGAGCACCATCTTAGTTTCCTGATACTTTCCAAAATACAGGTACGATAGCCTAAAAGAGGCACAGTGAAACCTTAGAGAAGGGGGCAAGGGAAGACTATGTCATCATTTCAATTACACATGTTTAGGCTGAGTTGCAATAAGAGCCAAGGATTAGGCACTAGGTTAGCATCTCCCAAATTATTGACCCCCCTTGGGGTTGATGGGACACTGCAGGAGTTGAATAAGGACATGAAGCAGTTACTCTGTCACTGAGATGCAGCCGTTCAAAGGAAACCTATTTTAAACGACGAGGGAGAATGATCAGTGGATATAGGAAGCTGTCACAAACCAGGTCTCCACCTGTCTCAGTACTGTCTATTCTGGGGCTGTTTTTAAGCACATAGCTTCCTGCAGAGAATCCTGGAAATCGTAGTTTGCACTGAACACAGCTATAATTCCCAGCATCCACAACAAACTACAGTTCCCAGAATTCTTTGGGGGTGAGCCATGTGCTTTAACTGTGTATGCAGCCTGGGAGAGCCTGGGAGTAGCTTTCCAGGGTTTCGGGCAGAGCTCTTTCCTGCCACTTGCTGCCTCATTGGAGATGCCAGGGATTGAATCCGAGACCTATTTTCCATTCAAAGCATGTGCACGAATACTAGCTCTCTCAGTTGGACAAACCCATGTTTAGGTGTGTATGTCCACCCACCTTAATGGCTTAAAAGAATCGGTACCAGTTGCATCTTGGGAAGAGAGAGAATTATGTAGCCAGGGTGCCACTGTCACCAAGAAGACCCATTGCCACATGGTGAATTTCAGCTGCTCATAGTAGAGCTGCAAGGGCCTCCCCCCAAGATCTCATGGACAGATCTTTAAGGGAGAAGACACACTCCTTTAGGTATCCAAACCTTGTGTTGTTTAAGGACTTTATAAGCCAACGTAAGAACCCTGAATTTGGCTCAGTAGTGGATTGGCAGTCAGCATGCTCCTTTCAAAACGGATGTTCTGTGTAATTCTTAGGACAAATCCACTTCCTTCTTTCCAAACCAGTAGATCTGGGGAAAAGGGGAAGAAGAAAAAAAAACAGTTGAAAGGAACCAGCTGCGTTTCGTCCAGCTGCAAAACAGTCGATCATAATGCCCTAGAACAAATCCACTCACTGACCGATAAAACTATTTGCAGACTGATAAAATGAGTAATTTATGGTGCTGAATACCTTGTTGGTGAATGTATTAAAATTCTGAAATATATCTGTCTGCCTGGAAATTACAGTTAATGCAATTCCATATAATGCTTGAATTCATTTATATATTTGCACAGCATGCTACCAGATAAAAAGTGCCAAAATGTGTATAAGGAGGTCATCACTTGAGCTTAATTGCACACAAATTTCCGGCAGACTCTGATGTTTAAGACCAACAACAACAGCCCGAGAGCGAGAATTAATGCATTAGCCCATAAATGGAGAGCTTATACTTGCATGACAAGGGCCACATCGTCTCTAAAGGAGCTTAGTAACATTGATTTGTGATTAATCATTTTACTTAATGACTCATCTGTGATCACAGTGCAAGGAAAATGCCATGTTTGCTTAGTTGCATTAAGTCCATTTATCTTACGTTCATCCAGCCAATGTTGGGCTGTGAATATGCTTCGGCTATACAGTTGTGAGAAGATGGATGTTGGGGTGTTTGTTAATGTGGATATTGGACACCCTACCTCTTCTTTCCAATGTGCCTTCCATTGTCCAACTGTAATCACATGGTACAGACCTATGTAACGCTGCTGGTCTCTTCTCTATAGATAACTGAATGGGAATGGGTTATAAGCTTGTATCTGTTTAATGCTAGCCCTACCATTCGGCAGAGAGAAGCAAGCAATTCTTTCTGCAGATGCTGGGGGACAGTGGTGGTGGGTAATCCATCTGGCTGTTCCTCCTGAGTTTTTTTTAGTCATCCCCTTCTGTTGCAGGGCAGTTCACTCCTAAACTAGCTTGCTGCTTCAGGTGCAGAAAAGGATGCTATCCCACCACTTGTGTTGATGTAAGATTCAAATGCCCATCCAAATGGTTTTTGTACATGGAAGGGGGAGGAGGCACCACCTTGTCCTTCACCTTAGGAAGCAAAATGTCCTGGGCTGGCCCCATGTGCATCCCTTTTCTTCATCATGGTTTAGTATGAATGCGTGTACCAATCCAACCATGGTTAAGATCAACCAGAGAAGGGGCAGGGCATGCATGCTAGAGAAGAAGGAGGGAGAAGTCTGCAGGCCTCTCTTGAGGAGCACTTAATTGTTACTAAGAGTGAGTTCTTCCGTCTGCTGTTAAGTATGCACATTCCTCAGAGATTCTGTAGCAGCTTCCTACAGAGCTTGGCATAGAACTGGACTCGGTTTGCATCTCTGTTGAATGATTTCATGCACAGAAATTTATCCTTTTATGATCTAATACTGTGGTTCCCAATTAGGGATCCAGGGACCGCTGGGGGTCCGCGGAATGCACCCTGGGGGTCCGCGGCACCATCCCCTGCTGTGGGACTCACTTATCTTGTTAATTGCACAGTGAAAGCCTTCCATGGACCACCCCAGCCTCTGCTTGTGACCAATGCCTGCTTGCTTGCATATGCAGTTATTTTTACATACAGAAGTGTGTTGGCTGTCAAGGATGAAAATACTGAAGCGATTCTTTGAGTTACGTGATGAAGTATGACTTTTTCTGAAAATTTCCACGTGATCAGTTGAACAACTTTTTGTGGTTGTGTGTGGTAGCCTACTTAGCAGATGTTTTCACATACTTGAAGACTCTCAACACAAGCCTTCAAGGTAGTGATGTGAATATTTTCTATGCTGAAAATAAGATTGAGGCAGTGATTAAAAAAATAAGGTTATGGGCAAGCTGAGTAGAAGGTGGAAGCCTCATTAACATCCCAACACTGGAGACCACTGACAAAGAATTGATACCAGAAGATTACCGTATTTTTCGCTCTATAACACGCACCCGACCATAACATGCACGTAGTTTTTAGAGGAGTAAAACAAGAAAAAAAATATTCTAAACGAAACAGTGGATGTATGATTTTTGTGGTTCATGCTGTGGCCACAGACATGTGATCTGACAGTGAGTTTGGAGTAGCCCAATGCAAAAATCCTGAGGATCCATGTGGATCCATGCTTTGTAACCACATTTTAAGTGGGGAGGGAAGGAAAAGCACTCAAGGGACAAGGAGCACGCGTGGGGTGGGTGGAGAAGGATGCTGCTAATAATGAAGAAGAGGGGTATAAGGGGAGAAGGAGCACGCCTGGGGTGGGTGGAGAAGGATGCTGCTAATAATGCAGAAGAGGGGTTTAAGGGGAGAAGAAGCACGTGTGGGGTGGGTGGAGAAGGATGCTGCTAATAACGAAGAAGAGGGGCATAAGGGGAGAAGGCTCCTCTCCCACTTTGCTCCTTTAAAGCAAGCAGGCTCTGCTTTTCTTCCTCCTCCCCGCTCATCCCCGGCTTAGCGAGCTGAAA